AACTATTTTATTTTCTATAGCGCTATCTCTACTAATATTTCTACTAAACGCGCTACTAGTATAGTATCTATATATTCGTACGCTATCTCGTTATCTAATTCTAAATTATTAACTATCTCTTTATTAGTACTAGTAGTACTATTACTAGTAAGTTATACTACTTTAGAGTTACTAATATAGTTATAGATATCGTTTAGGTCTATTATATAGTTATAATTAGGCGTATTAACGACCTCTATAGAGTTAGAAAGTATATAAGAAGATACTTAGAATATACCGAATAGCGAGAATACTAGTAGTATTATAGTAATAACTACTTTCTATAGTAATAATAATTTATACTAGATACTACTTAAGATATAATAACGATAAGATAGACCTCGAACACGATCTAATTAGCTGTAAACCCCTGCGAAAGGATCCACCGGAAGGTCCTTTCCGCGGATTAAGGTCTACGCTAATTCGCGTTGAAAAATCAGCCCGTAAGCAAAGGGATGGCAGGGTCGAAGAAGAAGCAGTCACATCGCGTCCCTGCAGAGATCGCGTACCTGCAGCGGGCCCAAGCGCCCGGATCTGACCTCATCGATTTCGAACTCTCCTTGACCACAAAGCGCCTTCGTCGACCACGCTCTACACCTCACTCCAATATTCGTGACTGGCAGACTGTCCGTTCGGACTCTCTTCGGTTGCTGTCTCGCACGTCGCACCTTGGGGCTCATAAAGTGGCTTGTCAGCTCCTACGCCATCGAGCTTTATTGCCACTGCTATATAGGCCAACATCGTTTCGATCCTTGCCTTTCAATTTCATTCAGACCCGCGCCATCAAAGGCGCAATGGCCAGAGCAACTCGTGCTTCCGCGGCTAAGGCGAAGAGTGGAGCAGAGCCACAACAGCTCTCCAGTCCACCGACCACTCCAGTCGCTGCGAAGGCAAGAAAAGCGCAATCTTCGTCCAAAAAGGCTGGCAATGCCTCAGTCAAAGTTAAAGACGAACCAATCACTCCATCAAATACTTCCAAAAAGAGGTCGAGGAGGTCTATCAAGCAAGAGAATGTTGACGACGATGAGTTGCCACACAATCTTGGCACCACTCTTCCGACACCTGACCAGGAAGAGCATAATGGCAAAGCACCACCAAAGAAGCGCACTCGTCGATCTGAGCCAGTGAAGGAAGAGCCGCCCGTCGGACTTGAAACGACAGAAGAACCAAGCTCTGCGAAGAAGACCCCAAAGAAAGCCAAACTGGCTCTGAATCACGGCGTTTCGCCCTTCCCCGACTATGCGCGTCCAACAAGGGAGGAATGCGAAGAGGTTGTGCGTATCCTGGAGAAGAAGCATGGCAAAGTTACTGTGCCCAAGGCCATCCCACCACCCTCGTTGGACGTCGCCGGATGTGGAGAAGTGCCATCAGTCTTGGATGCACTCATCAGGACCCGTTTGAGTGCCAATACGACAAACAGCAATTCCAGTACTGCGTTCAGGGGACTCGTCAATCGGTTTGGCACGCTGAAAGAGGGCATTGGTAAAGGCAGTGTAGATTGGAATGCGGTCCGCCTGGCTCCGCAACAAGAAGTATTCAAGGCAATCGAACGTGGAGGCCTGGCTAATGTCAAGTCCAAAGACATCAAGAACATCCTGCAGATGGTGTATGAAGAGAACCAAGAGAGGAAAGCTGCATTAGCTAAATCGAGCGAGGATGTAGCAGGCGCTCAGAATGAAACGGAGGGCGAAAAGCAAGAGGAGATCGACAAGGCTGAGCAGGAGATCATCTCACTTGATCATCTGCACGCAATGAGCACAAACGATGCCATCGATAAGATGATCACCTACCCTGGAATCGGCGCCAAGACGGCTTCATGTGTTGCGCTGTTCTGCTTGCAACGCCCGTCCTTCGCGGTGGACACTCACGTCTTTCGCCTGGTGCAGTATCTGGGCTGGGTACCAAAGTCGACCAAGAAAGGACAACCGAAAGTGGACAGAAACACCACATACTCTCATTGCGACGCAAGGATTCCGGACGAATACAAGTACAAGCTGCACTACTTGCTGATCAAGCATGGGAAAACATGCCCTCGATGTCGAGCGGCGACTGGACAATCGAGTGAAGGCTGGAATGAGGGTTGTCCGATTGAGCATCTTGTCAAGAGACACGGAGACAAGAAAGGTGGCGTATCCGTGGCCGCAATGAAGAAGGCGATGCAAGATGCCGACGAGGACGAAATGTCTGGATATGATGCGCCAGAAAGCCCTGAGGGTCAGCCAGAGAGCCCTGAGCTGAGTGATCACCCCTCGGACGTGGAGTGATCAGCAAGTGACACCAAAAGCTGGTGAGGCATTCTTGAGTAAGAGTAACGATGAACGTACTTTGGGAGACAGAGCTCCGCAGAGAGGCTGAGATTGCATGGTTGCATTCGGAGGCTTCCATTTCTGAGAGTCGTCCAGGAACACGTCTCGACCCATCGGCACGCTGGATGGCTTGGAAAGATCATCTAATGCCAAAGCCTGCTGAGATACATGGAGCCCATATCTGATGAATCCTTGCAGGTTTTGCTGCTCAGAATTATCCTCAATGTTTCTTGTGGGGATACGGAACTGCAGAAACTGAAGACTTCGTTGTTAGCGACTGGAAAGGAATCACAAAAATTGTCTGGGAGAGTTCCATTCGTTCATCTGCACGGACCTTGTGAGCCACGCACAAGCCTCGTTCAGCGGCGAATCCTTGTCTCGAGGCGCAGGCAGACGTCATCCCTGTGGCTCCGCGGCATCATCGTCGTGAGACCAGAAGTCGCGCCGCGGACATTCAGCCTTACAAGGAGTGTCGCTAGGTCGTGCAATGCTGGTATAATAGCACATCGCAGGTCCAAGTCTGCTGCAAATTCTGGTCTTGTGGTTATTTCATCTTGTACAGCCCTGATCCATACCATACACACAGGCCAACACTCGTACATACACGTATTGACTATTTATTGTCGCAAGTTAGTCGTCACTTCCATCCCAGCATGTCGTATAGAGACTGATGAGTTATTTTGCAGGCATTCAATATGGCGAAAAGTTCCAGCAGCGACGTTCTTCTCTACTTCCTCGCCATTTTTGTTCCTCCGGTGCCAGTATTCATCAAGAAAGCATGCGGCGCCGATCTACTCATCAACATTGCACTTTGCGTATTGGGCTGGATTCCAGGTGAGCGCTGCAGGAGCATCCACATGCTGCAAATTGCAATAACTAACTTATGTCATCAGGTGTAATTCATGCGTGGTGGGTGATCTCAAGGACCGAGAGGCTAGTGGTACATTGAGGTGGTGAGGAGCACAGGCAATGATTCGATACATTGCGATTATGTGGTTGTGGGTGCTCAATTTGCTTACGATATCCAACTGGTTGCGCGCGCGAGACTTCCTGGCGTTGAGAATATAACTTTCTGCATGCAGCTTATGCGACGACACATTCGCGATTGCTCCTAGCTTCCTTTTCACCTTGCAACATGTGACCACGTCACTTTCATATTCACAGACATGTGCAAATCACAACTGCGACAACTTCTTCGACAAACTCTCCAGCAAACTCTTCGACAAACCTTTCGACGAACGCGCAATGGTTGCAAAGTTTGGTTCGATTGATGAAAGCTTTCGCCACTTGAAGGAGCTCCTCAAGAACAGTCCGGCGACCATTCGAACGAGCGGTAATGCTGTTTGCATACTCTTCAACGATCTTTCCCGAACGCTCGATACATCGCTTCCTTCCTCAAGACACATGTAAAACCGTACTTCCACAACTTTAGACTCGACAATCTCCTCGAAGCCATCATCAAACTCATAAAAGACAATCCGGGCACAGCAACGAAGACGTTCATCGCCGCCTTCCCCATTCTATTTCCGAGATTATCCTGGGCGTTGGTGCTGGGCATAGTCGGTCTGAGTACTCATGGTCCCACTGTGGGTAAGTAGGCGAGAAGACTTTCAGTATTGGAAAGGGTGAATCATTGATGGTCTCCGACAGGTGGGCTATTTGTGAAACTAGAGAATGCCATCAGTACGCCGCTGCCTATGAAGATGATCCAGAGCGCGGCCTTGGGCGCTGGAAGAGGACAAGCCGCCATGAAGTGTATAATGCGAAGTGTGTCAGTCCTGGGCAAAGCCGTTGTCTTGGGAATGCGCGCAACGAATGACACGGTCGGGAATTGTTGAGATATACAGGCCGAAACGTCTGGGAGCAGGACGTAAGCTTTCCAGACATGATGAAGACGATCGCTCCATGGCATCTGTTTCTCTCACGCCGAGCCTGTAGCCAACAGCTTGCCCCAGTTGGTTGCAGAGAGAAGCTATCGGCGACGGTTCGATGGATCGCGCTACGAACTGATTTATGATGAATGATGAAGAAGGAACTCACAAAAATGCCACCACCTGTATCGCTACGCTAATGCTACTGTCGAGCATAAAATCTTAGGGGACCACGAAACGCCACGCTATTTACAATCTCTCTTTGCGGCATCATTCATCAGCCATGTCACATTCAAAACCGCAACGCTCTCGTGATATCATCCGGGTATTTCGAAGGCCAGCAAGTACGCGCAGGCGAAGAACAATAATCCAAGAAGGTAAAGTAGCCAACCAGATACCTTTCCTCGGCGGATTCATACAACCTCGACGTAATTGCTTGGGAAGATGCCCTCCCGGTTTCCAATTCGTCCAGTCCACCAATCGGCTTCGTTCTCAGTTCGCTTCACGATGTCGATTACATCGCCTTTCTTGAAGCCCAGATCGCCCGGCTGATCAGCTTCGAATGTGAACTTGGCAATAGCTTGTCCGGGGGACGCTGATGCTAGTTTACTGCCAAATGCAGGCTTTGGCGCTGAGGGACGACCAGGTGCCGGTCCTTTGCGGTCACTGTAGACGTATTCGGACTGATCGCCAATTGTGGATGATCGACTTCGAGATCCCATGGTGTCAAATGTCTCGTTCGGATTGGCACGGCCGTAGGTTGTCTGTTGGTCCGACCAAGTCGATGCGCGATTCGGTCCACCGAATTCGTTTTGTCGGAAGTCACCAGTCCTCTGTGTCGGAATCCCGGCGTTGTAGCCGTCGCCAGTCCGCCCTTGCCAGACCACGTCCTCATGGCTGTCATCGTAAACCGGTACATCGTTGTACATGGCATCGTCTCTGAATGTACCTCCTACGCCCGCAAAGACCCTCGAGTTCAGCACTCTTGTAAGTGGCTCCGCTTGTGGAGGCACAGGCACGTTACCACCCAGCAGCTCCCTCGCAGTCAACTTGCGTCCATACATCTTTTCATTTGCATCTCTTCGCTCGATCAACACCGAGCCTTCCAAACTCACACCCGCAAAGAGACCTTTCGTCTTGCTGTATGCGAAGATGCCACTGACACTCTTCAAGCTCGCGGCTCCAGCAGCTTCAGCGTTGCGCCCGACCGGTCCGGCAGCGATACTGACGTTGCCTCCCAATGTCAAGGAGCCCACTTGCGAGAAGGTCTTGACAGCACTCGCATCGTTGAGGATGAAGACGAAATCCGTCAATTCGAATCCAATCTGTCCACCAAAGCCGCCTCCGACTGTTCCAATGGCGCTCGGTGCTGACCATGTACCATCTGCAAGACGCGCTACCACAACACCCGATCCAAACCGCCCGGAGCCGAGGAAGCCGGCCTTGAAGACTGTGATGATGGCGAGGCCCTTGGCGTTGGCGAGAATGGAGGGCGGAATGACCTTGTCAGGTCCAAACGCTTGTCGCGGATCGATGAAGGATGCGAGGATACGTCCGCATTTTTTGCATTCGCCTGTTGTCGATCTGTTAGCAGCTGACGGAGAGGATGGCGGGGTGGTGTGGCTACGCACTTCGCATCGACGACGGCAGCGGGTTGTTGAGGAAGGGCGGCATGGTGGGCGATGAGGCGGGGGATGGCGAGGGTGAGGGGAAAGAGAGGTCGGCGGTGGGTAGTGAGTGGTGGATTATTAAGTGAGATGCCACTCCAGGCAGCGTTCGTCGAAGTCGTCGAAGCGCAGCTTCCAAGACTGTGTGGCTGAGGCTGCACGTCCCCTACCACCACCGGACAGCAAACAGAACCTACGGTTTCGGACTTTGGAAACGACATTATCCGCCACAGGAACTCGAAATTTCTACGCTCCTCGTATCTGCGCCTTGTTGAGTTTAGCTGAGGCACTCGTCTTGAGAATCGTGGCAGACGTAGGATCAAGGTCACGACGATAGATCATAAAGTGTGCATTGGCCCCTGCTCGACCGACCGGCCGACTGTTTCCCGTCGCGTCACCTGCCGACTTGTCCTGCGAACCACACACGATACCAACGCGAACACCCGCCGACGACCGCGTCTCCGTCTCCGCACGCTCCTCCGCAACACCTCCGCCAGCGACGCCAACTCAACCACCACCGCTCGGCATCCGCCATGTCCGAAGCCTACGAGCGCGAAAGGTAACCGCCTCATCTGACCGCTTACATGCCTACTCTCACTCACATCCTCTCTTCCAGGCAGAACAATGACTCCCTAAACTCCCTCTCCGCCAAAGTCTCCGCCTTGCGCTCCGTCACCATCGACATCTACGACAATGCCCGCGACCAGCATGTCATCGACAGCACGTCCGAAACCTTTTCCACCATGGCAGGGTCCCTCAAAGGGTCTAGTAAACGCCTCATCACAATGGCGCAGTCGGGGAATAAGGTTGCAGTGCTGAAGCTGGCTGGCATACTCATAGCCGCGGTGGTGCTACTGTATTGGATATACCATCTCATCTTTTGAGAGAGCAGTGCAGTGTTGTCACTTCAGGAAGTTTGCGACTTTAGCGAAGGCGTTAGGGCAGTTTTATGTGCATACAGCGACCATAGGAGACGGCAGTTCTCTTTGATATGATCACAATAAAGGCATGAAATAGGGGCATGATCTGTTGCTTTTATTCGTTATCAAACCAGGGGCCGCATCTCATGATGGATCGTGGTCTATCTACCCCCACACGTTGCCGAACAGGTCATCGGTATTGTTCACATTGCCTCCACTCGTTTTGGCTGGTCCTGGAGATGTGGCGACTGGACTGGCGTGTGACCACCCTCCGAATTCCTCGTCTTGCTGGACGGAGAATCCGCCAGCGCTCGTGGACGTGTTTGCAGGCTTAGCGGGCTCGGGATCGCCCCAACCAGAATCGAACGCACTCGTCGTCACAGCAGGGGCTGGAGTAGACTTGAAGGCGGGAGTCGAAACAGTAGCTGGTGCTGGGGCAGTCTTGGCCGGCTCTGGATCTGGCGTTGCCCATGCGTCATTTGAATCCCAGACATTCGAGCCGGCGAATGTAGGCACTGCAGAAGTTTGAGCGGGCTTTGGCGCTGGTGCCGGGGCGGAGCTTTGTTGAGAGAGATTGAAAGCTGAGAAGTTGGCAGCCTGTATCGGAGGAGGCTTGTTCACTGGCGCTGGCTTCGGAGCGGGAGCAGGAGCGGGAGTGCTCATGTCGAATAAGTCGCCCATGCTGCTGGTCGTCACCGGTGGGCTTTTCGTGGTCGCTGCTGGGGCTGCTGATGAGAAATCACCAAAATCTGCGCCGAAACTGTTGCTAGGCTGTCTGGTCGTGATGGCAGGTTGAGCAGGTGGCGAAGCCAGGGGAGATGACTGCTTCAGAGGTGGCGAAGGCTTCATGTCGAAAAAGCTGCCACCGCTGAGGGTCGATGTCTTCTGCGCGGACGCTTGCCTAGAATGCCCGGTTGGCGCGGAGAAGTTCGAGAAAGGTGCAGGTTTCGCTTGCGCTGGCGGGCCGGAGAAAGAGAGCGAGCCAAACGCATCGTCAAGACCGCCGAGTACTTGGGCGTTTGACTGGGATGAGGGCGACGCCAAAGGTGAGGATAATGCGTTGGCGGCGGGTTGTGCTGGTGGAGCTGCAGGCTTTGATGCGTATAACGATAGAATTGACTGCTTCAGATCCGATCTGCCAACTCCACCTGCGCTTGGACCAGTGCTGGAAGGGCGGGCGGGTGGTGCAGATTGAGTGCCTCCAAAAAAGTCCAGCCCAAGCAAGCTCTCGCCAGGTTTAGTTTGCTTGGGTGCTGCCGCAGGTGCTTTTGGAGGTCCAGGTCTGCTGATTGACGGCTCCGTTGTACTTGGTCGTGCAGGTTGTGCTGCCGGTTCGTTCATATCTCCAAACAAATCCATCTGGGGCTGCGGCGCCGATGGGCCTGGTACCGCTCTTGACGCCTGTCCATTTCGAATGCTCGCACTCCTCTCACGCTCCTTCACCTGCTGCTGTACCACATTCAGGGGCACATCGTCGTCCACGCCTCCATCGTCCAGGGTGCTCGGATCTGGGATGGGCCCGTCCATCACCCATCGCTTGCTGTCGTACTTTGTGCGTATGAAATTCTCAATCTTGGCCTCGTTAGGCACATGCCCTTCCGCCAATTTGTGCTCCCAATATTTGTTCGCTCGTCCGTTTCCCCATTTGAGCATGCTGGCCATCTGCTCATCTGTCCACGAGTCCAAATCCACGGACTTCACCCTCGAGATGTGAGTTCCCATGCCGCGGTGAATGCCCGAGCACCGGATGCAAATGAATATTCCAAGATTCCAACTCGCCCATCGCGGATGCTTGTTGCGTTTGCAGTCCGCGCAACTCTTGTTAGATTCCAACTTGACCAACTGCTTCAACGTGGCTCGATTCTGTTCGGCCTTGTCTGGCCCCGCGGTTCTACGAGACATAACGGCGGCCTCGTTTCCAACACGATTCTCGTTCCTGCAGAGGTGGTTTATCGCGGCTTGCGTCTGGGCCAGAGAGGGTCGGCGTTATCAATTAGCGGTAGAGAGTGAGTTGGGGTTTGTGACTGCCTCCTAAGAAAGCGGACGTGGGTATGTCAATTGGGTTCCCGATTGGGCAGCAATCTGGCTTTCGGTTCTGGGACCCACAATTCACCTTTTGGCACGTGCATCTAACTAGGCCTCACAATTGCAGCATTGCGCTTCACCACTCTCGTCAAACGGTCAAAGCATAGGCGATTGTGGGCACATACCACGCGCCATTGTCTCTGATACTGCCTGTAAGGCGCATTCACGCTGCATCATCCGACGAGGGAGCAGAGTCTCACCGTCAGCTTCAGAGAAAGAGATGCGTTCAAACTACGGTTGGGCTCCTTCTCCCTTTCTCTTCGGTCATGGCTCATTAGCAGATATCTTCCACTATCTGCCTACGTTCTCCACTGTTCCTGCTGCTATCGTGCTGCCCTCAGCTCTGAGCACTATGCGATCGCCAGGCTCCAGCGGCGCACCGCTGTTCAAAGCAATTCGTACCAGAGCTCTCTGGCCGGCCTTGATGATTCTCGGCTTCTTCTTCACCATCTCGTCCTTGGCGTTGACCACGCTAAACAGCTGGCTGATCTTGCCCGGAACGTGAAGCCGTCCGACGTGCACATCTACCTCCTGCGGCAACAGAGCACCGATGGCCTGAACCCGGGCGATCACGTTCTTCACAACGGAAATGGGCTTGGTCGCATTGCAAGCAACGTCGCCACTCCGCAGGTGCTGAGCCTCAATGTCCGCCAGATGGAGTGTGACAATGTTCCCTGCCACAGCCCAGTCTTTGGCAGCTCCCACCAAGTCGATACCCTTGACAGTGGCGTTCTCTCCGCTAGGCTGAATTGTCATGGACTCGCCAACCTGCACATTGCCTTTTCGTATCCGACCAGATATAGAAAGAGGATTCTGTATGCCACCTCGAAACACATTCGCAATTTGCAAGCGCAGTGGACGCGAGACACTTTCCGGCAGTGTACCTGATGGGACTGATTGCTCGAGTTGTTGTAGTAGTGTCGGATGCTTGTTCATGACCCAACCTGCTTCCGATTTGGCCTCCGGTGCCTTGACCACATTTTCGCCACTTAGTCCACTGCAGGGCACAATCGCAATGTCGTCCTTGGAAAAGCCAGTCTCCACCAGGAGCTTGCGAATCTCCAGGCTGATCGATTTGAACGTGGATTCGTCCCAGGGACTCGCCGTGGAGTCGAGTTTGTTGACAGCCACGACGACCTTTTGCAATCCGACGGCATGTGCAAGCAGGATATGCTCTCTCGTTTGGCCTTTCATACCGGATTCGAGCTGATTCGCATCCACAACAAGTAGCCCAATATCTGCCATGGATGCACCGCCAATCATGTTGGGCACGAAATCTCGATGGCCCGGGGCATCCAGTATGGTGAAGTCCGTGTCGTCGGTGCTGAAATGGTGCTGGGCTATGTCTACAGTGACACCTCGTTTGCGCTCTTCTGCGCCGGTGTCCATGACCCATGCCAATGCGAAAGAGGCTTTCCCCATTTCTGTAGCTTGCTTCTTGAATCTGCTGAGCATTAACACTGCTGAGAAGACTGGCGGCAAGGTGTACTCACTTGTCAATGTCCCTTTGAGCTACCGCGCCAGTATCCAGAAGCAGTCGACCCATGAGTGTACTTTTGCCGTGGTCAACGTGGCCAATGACCACAAACGCTGCGGATCTGCGTTTCGCCTGTTCCTGGATCCACAGCTTGGGCACGTCGAGCCCTTTACTTTTCGCTTTGGGCGCAGCGTCAAGCTTCATTGCTTCCGTTTTCTTTGCAAGGCCATTCGCCGTTGTCGGTGTCTGTTTCACGCTTTCTGTCGCTTCATGTATGGTCAGCTATGTTCCAGCTGAAGGTATTTATTTGTTCAATCCTTTGCTGGATTTCTGAGCCCGAAGCACAGTGTCATCGGGTGAGGGTGCTGCAAAGGGACCAAGACTATAGCCAGAGCCAAATAAATCACGAAGAGTGAGTTGCTTGGAATCATGTGCTTCGCGATCGCTCCTGGCTAATGTGTGGCCGAATGCGGTTGGGGAGCTTCGAAGGTCCGGCACATCTTCTTCTGGTTCTGGAGGTGGTGGAGTTGGCTCTCGTGGAGGGGGCGTTGGCGACCTCTTTCGGCGAATGGGATACTTCTTGGCTTCTTCTTTGGCAATAGGTCGATCGTTCTCCTTTGCCTCCTTTGGTTTGCTCAGACGATCGAGTCCGCTGATAGGATCGGTGCCTATCGTTGAGGCAGGTTGCTGTGCTGCCACCGCCGCCTTCCTACGGCGCTCTTCCGCTAGCTTTGCCAGCTTCGAAGAACCTCCAAGCAATTGTGGCTCGGGGCGCGCTGGTTGAGCAGGGACCAATTCACCAATGCTCCCAGCAGGTACATTCGTCCAAGGAACTCCTCTGAACCAGTCCACAGCTGACATTGGCGGCGTAGGCTTCGGGTCTACCACCGCCAAATCAGTGGCTGCCCAGAAATATCGTCGGAGAGCCTGCCGATGTTTGCACTTGGAGCCATGCGAGCTACGCCAGCAAGCATGACCGGTACAAGACTCCAAAGAAATATTCAACTCACCTGCGTTAGCCGCATTGGCTGCACTTGCCTCATCAAACTTGGTCTTCGGCTTTTCTTTCTTCCCCTCCTGCTGCTTGGGCTGTTGCGGTGTCCTCGAGTTCTTCAAGTATGCCACACTCTTGCCCACGTCCCAATAGTAATGCCATAACGCATCTTCAATCTGCTTCGTAGTCACTGTGATAGCCGCCTCTTCCAGTTCTGCTCTCACTACAGGAGTGAGAGTCGCAAAGTTCTCTTTGTCCTCTGCGGTGAATTCGTCCTGCTCCCCCGCATATTCGTCCTCGTCGGAGTACAGATCATCTTCGTCATAGCCGACGTTCTTGACGCGTTGCATTTCGATGTGCCAGTCAACACGCGGTCGTTGTATTGCAAGCTCGACTGTCGAGCTCGTCCGGTTGTGTAGGGTTCAGACAAACGTGCAAGCTCATGAGTCGAAGGTCGAAGTTAAGGTACTGCCGTCACAAGCTCCACTCTGAAGTGGGTCCGAAGGTGAACAAGCACTGCACTTGGGGCAAGAGCTGACACTTGCACTGATCGACAACAGCAGTGTCGTTTCACGACTCCGACCTCACGTCTGCTGCAAACTCGAACGTTGGGCTGTTTCGATGTTCATGCCCACATGTGAGCTCGTGGTATACCATCAGTGCACTGAAAACCGCCACCGTTCCTTCCTGCAACTGCTACGCCGAACCGCCCCCATGCACAAAGAAGCTCCGCTGGGCGGAGAAGAAACACTACTGTTCCAGAGCAGTCGCTAGGAGGCAGAGCTTTGCCCAAAGAGATGGCAGCTTCCTAGCTCACGAGGTTGGCTACAGGCACGCCTCTGCCAGAGACATGCTCGCTGAAACCGGGCAAGCAGCGTGGTAGTGGCGCAGGAAGCTGTCCGAGACAGGACCACACATGCCTTCAGCCAACGGCTTCTGAGAAAATGAATGAAGTCCGCAGTGTTCAAAGAAGTTTGTTCTCACCAAGCTAAATCTATCTATCCAAGAAGGGTAATCGAAAGAAATCCACACGAAGTGTCGAAAAAAAGGGGGTATATCTTCGTTCGGTCAGTCATCATCGCTTCCTAGGGTATAGGCTCGTCCATGCGCATCCGTCGACGCCAAGAGAGGCGACGACGGAAAGCTTTCCTCCCATTCGCAAGACCTCCCAGCTGAAGAACATCAACAGTGAAGCGCGCTTCCATCATGCATAAGTCGTAAGAACGGTCAACATCGACAAACATCTCCTCCTCTCCTCTGCTCCTAAGAATGGCGCGAGCGCGCAAGCACGCCGCGATGCAAGAAACGATACCAAGTGGCATCCCGTTGTGACCAGTCTGCTTAGATGAAGAGCAGACCAACCACACCAGCGGCAAGTGCGACGCCCATGGAACATACTTGAAGTCCGCTGGCGCCGCCTTGCGATGCTTCGACTCCGGTCGTCGGAGCAGCGCCAGGATGCACATTGGTGCCGTTGCCGTAGCTTGGGATTGTCGCTGATGCCACCAGAGTCGTTGGTCCACCAGTAGTGGGGTAGGCGGTCAGTGATCCGTTTCGGGTTGCGGTCACGGTGGTTGCGACACGGTAGACGGTCATGGTCGTGTAGTAAGTCGTCACCGCCGAGGTGGTGGCTTCACCGGCGCCGTAGCCCTGAGGTTGCTCGGCCGCGACGGCACCTTGGAGCAGCGCAGCGGCTGCGATAGCGCTCGCGGAGAGATCGAAGAAGCGCATGATGACGGCGATTGGAATGGGTCGATCCGATCAGTTGGGGGTCGAATTGGATGCGCGATGACGCTGAGCTCAGGAATGCTGGGACGACAATTGTTTGTTGTCGCGGATGTTGCGAAGAGATGGTCGATATTGGACGATGACGGAAGAGCGGGCGATCGAGGGTCGATGGTTGATGCTCTGAGAGACGTGTCGTCGTCAAGACGATGGCTGGGACTGTCTCGGGGGTTTGACGCCTGGTCTGTCTGTCGATGAAGCTGCTAGAGAGCGTGGGTGGCACGTCGTCTAGACGTGCGTCGATGAACGAGTGCGGTTGTTGGAGCAGAGCGTCCAATGTGAGTGGCCGGAGCCGGTGGTAGTGAGCGTGGTGGTCTGACGGTGTCGCGAGCGCAGAGAGAGGAAGCGAAGGCGCGAGCGCGACGGGCATCAATAGACTTCTATATTGGCGGGACCTGCAATTTGTTTCACGCGCTAAGCAGCCCGGCCCATCGCCATGGTCTTCCCAACTCAATCACACTTTAGCTCATGCCGTCCGTGCGCCTGTCCAAACAAAACGAGATTACCCACAAAATTCACTTCGTGCCACGAACGAGCGCGCGTGGATTCTGCTGATTGCGAGCGCTGCAGAGAATTCTGTGCATTTTCTTCGCCAACTATTGGCATGGCGCATACTCAACAGCAGCACGTCGTATTCTGCGAGCGCGCGCGCGCATCGAGCTGCCACGTCGAGCGCCGCATCGGCACATGCTGTGCGGCCCTGGCATTAGCGCCGGTGTCGAAACCTGGCAACACACGAGCACCACCAACGAGTCATCAACGACCACCGCCCACGCGAGGTGTTCCTCAGTGGGGTCACGTGTGCGACTTCTCTCCGAGCAGGCATGTCTCTGTTCTGCGCTGGGCCTGAGCGTGGGCCGTTGGCAGCGTGAAGAAGACCCACGGGCCCTTCTCCACCTCCGCACGCCCATGACCGCAAGGCAATGCTCGCGCCCTCCCGACCCAACATGCCAACTGCTCGAGGTCTGCAAAAGCAAGGCAGCCATGCCTCACCGCGCAGTCTCGACCCCCGACTCGCCCTCCTGATTTCTGGTTGCCTCGAGCCCAGCAGAGGCGCGAACCTCCAGAGCCTCTTCCGGCCTATCACCTCTGTTGTTTCTTGCTCATTTCTCGCCCGCACAACACTCGTCGTGCGACCCATGTCCGTTGCTCGGAGCCACGGGAATCACTCCGTCTAGCGCAGCCAATGCCGTCACTGTGGCCGTTAACTAGTGATTGTCCACGCTTCTTCTGGACTGAACCATCATGTCATTGCAGGACCTGCCGTACCACTGCCACTTCCAATGGATCATGCGATGCGCGAAGCAAGGCACGCAGCATTGTCAGGCCACGTTACCTCTGCCGGAAGTGAGTGAAGACCACGCGCGGTGGAGTTGTGCAACAATTCATTTCGGCTTCATGTCTAGCGCTGTGATGTCTCCAGTCCGGCTGGAGAACATAGATTGCCGTCTCGGTGATTGTGCCACAACTCGTTGATAGGCCGGGGCACAGACTGCGCACCTGCGATGCAACTTCACCTGTGACAGCCTGCACAATGCGCCGAATCGAGTTGACCGCTGTTCTCAGTGCGTGTGTAGATGGCCGCCGTCCGAGTTCTCACAGTTTCAAGCTCACGAGCATTCAGATCACCGGCTGGAGTGTATCCTGCAAACACAACTTCGACATTTCCCATGCGATCTCATGCATCTCAGAGGTCATATCTTCATAATTCAACACCTTCTATATACAATCGTTGCCAATAATACCACCAAAGTAATACTGCAATGATCAACCCGCAAGGCCCCCATCCAATGCTAATGCACAAGTCCTTTCACCCCAAACGCCACGCTGAAATCGCAGACAACAGAACTCAGCACCAATCATATATGCAAAGCTCTCCAGTATCCAACCAATCGTACTTGTATCAGAAATCGTTCCACAGCTCCTGTGCGACTCTCGCAATATCCGCATTTGACATTCCATTAGGTGCCTCATCCCTGCTCGGTATCTCCCTCGTCTTGGGAGGTCCTCCTGCGAAACTCACACCTCTCCTCGACTGATGCCTTTCGCTCCCTCCGCCAGTTCCGCCAGTTCCGCCGACAAGCACCTGGCTCTGTCCGCCTCTCTTCAATGCTCCATCTCCCTTGGGAGGGCTTGCTGATTTACTCAGACCGCCTCCCCTCTGCGCGCTCGGTAGGCTGACTGCGCTCTTGGAGATCGATAGGCCCGTTGAAGATCTATTCGGACCTGAAGCAGATGGAGGACGGTTGAGCCGACTGCCTTTACAGCCCCGCAATCTTGAGATGGCTTCACCAACAGGATCGCGGAACTTTTGCACAACACGCAGCTCGGTATTAACAGCCCTGAATCGTCCCTGGAATATTTGCGGTCCCATGTTCAGTCCGGATCCGCTGTGCAGTTCAGCGCCACTCATAAAGGACTTGAGACTCTCGTTTCTGCGGTCATACACGTGGCCTGGGAGAACCGGTTTCGCACCTCCTAGACCTTCAGCGCGAGATTCAAGGTCGGCTAATGCCTTCTCCTGCAGCAAACGTAACTCTGTTCGCGAGCGGCCCATTCCTTGCGCGGGCGTCGTGTAGCCAGACGAGCCCGACACCGTAGAGCCAGGACTGGTGGGGCCGACCTGAAACCCACTTCTGTCTCGAGGGATGCCATGATGCTCCTCGGGGGTGTGGAAGCCGCTACCTTGTTTTGGTGTATTCAGTGCTGTATTGGCGCCGCTGCCCATCGAGGGATGAGATGCAGAAGGCATGAATCGGGAAACCAATTCGGCATCTTCCCTTTCTGCATCAGTCATACTATCGCCTACGAGATTCGACCTTGAGGAACGAAGAGAGGGAGCGGGAGAAGTGGTGCTGCTGTGATTGCTATCCAGCGCACTCACGTTAGACACCACTGCTGGCGAAGGCAATTGTTGTTGGCTGGCCACACGCTTTGCGGCAGGGTTGGCATATTCCTTTCTCGCTTGATGCGCTTGCTCTCTGACTTCTGGCAGCGAGGGCGCAGTCGCGTGAGTCTCGAGTTGCGCGTCCCCACGGGCAGTTTGTTGCTGATAGATCGGCGGCGCGAAAGAGTGTTGAGGTGCCTGAGGCTTGGCCAATTCAGGATCCTTACGAGGCTCGTGCATTGCATCCCGAGTTGAATTCTTCGCAGGTGAAGCTGACCTCTGATCCGCGTAGTCATGGACCGATGTGCTTGGAGCAACAGGAGCTGCTTGCTGCTGCTGCTTCTCCTCCCTTGGCGTCTGCTGTGGCCGAGTCATTGACTCGGCAGGCTGTTGAAGTGATATTCGTGGAGCAGTCTGAGGAGTTTGTCGTTCATCGGCGGCCGCTGGCGTGGGTGGTGCTCTCATCGTCGCCATTGTCATGGGACTCGTTCCTTCTTCCTCACTCGAGTCTTCACTCTCGCTAGCCTCCTGTCTCGTCTCCATTTCCGCCCTCTTTCTCTGCATTCCCTCGCTCACTTTCGCCGCTAGAAGATCGCTGGGCGTGACAGCCGTAGTATTCCTTTCCTTCCCAGTGAAATTCATGCTGGTACGCCGCGAATTGTTGGCTGTATTTTGCCTCGTGCTGTGCGGGCTTGCGCTCGCTGACTCTTCAGTCCACTCATCCTCCTGCAGCCCACTGCCCTCCATGTCGAGCTGTCTGACCCCAACATCATCATCGTCGTCGTAGTCTCCACTCTCGTCACTTCCCACAGCAAAGCCAACCTTCTTGGATGCGTTCGCCTTTGATCCGGAGCCTTTTCTTTCCGGGTTCGAGCCCTTTCTCTCCTGGTTTGAGCCCTTCCTCTCCTGACCTGAGCCCTTTCTTTCTTGCAGCGCGCGATACTCAGCAGGCGTTATTTCCGCACTCTTGGGCCGCTTGCTTCGCCCCTTCAAACCGGGGCTCATGGGCGCTCGCGTCGCATGTGCTCCCAGCCCCGACAGGTTCCTGCTGCTACCTCCATGACCTCCGCCCAGCCTCGTGAGCTGCCCATGGCTCAGATTCTTCTTCAGCTTCACTTGGCTCTGACTCTGCGTGCGCGGCAATTGATACGCAGTCATGTTCCGTTTCATCGGCGGCCGGCTCTGTTCGTCCAGACTCCCGGGCAACCGGATCTCAGTGTCTCCTTCGTGCGATCGTTGCCGCGTGTGTCGCCGGGAATCATCAAAGGCGACGTGATGCCCTCCGCCCAGGGGCGGTTTGCTCATCTTGGCCAGGTTCCTTGCGCTGCTGTGGTTGCGCGGGAGCACGACTTTGGCGCCATGATGCCGCGGCTTGACGCGCGCGGGATGGTGCTGCAGGTGCTGCTCGCTGGCCGTGGGACTGGCGAAGCCGTGGCGGCTGCTCGTCTGCGAGTTCTGCGAGCTCTGTCGCTTCATCAACGGTGGACGGGCTGCATTGCCGCCACTTGACGCGGTGCCGGGCGAGGTCGGTGTGGCCTTGGATTGGTGATGGTGGTGGTGGTGAGCCCCGGGCGCCGCCAGTGGTGGCTGCGGGGAGGGCGAGGGCATGACGGAGGTGCGCGCCTTGTCGCGCTCGTGCTCAATCCAGCAGTCAATGCATGAGACAGGCACGCATTGTCTGGAGGTGGATGTGCAGAGAGTGGAGCCCCGCTGTTGCTCTGGCTTCGCTGCACTTCTGTGGTTCGCCTCACCGCGCTGAATCATTCACGCAACCAGACATCCCCGGCTACTGTGCAATGCGACTTCATGCCGCGGTCACGCACGCACGCTTGCACGACTTGTCACTGCATGTGGTACAATGCCATTGTCGGATAAACTCGGCGTGAGCCTTGTGTTACCGTGTTATCTATCAAGTCTATTCTGTAGACCTTGCATATGAAGAAGCATCGCCATTTTATCTCTCACGCCGCATGCCATGTCTAAGCTATACATCGGAACATAGTGCCGGGGCCGACGCCTTTCTCCAGGAAGATAGGACCTTCTCTGCGCGTGAGCGTGGCCTCGGGCACAATGGTACTGCAGAGGGCCATTTGAGACACCACTACTTTTTGCCATCGACCTTGGTTGCTTGGGTAGTGCCTTTTGCGTTGCCTTCACCCCCAGGCTTCTTGCCCCTTCCGCGTGCACCGCCTCGCCCTCGTCCTCTACGAGAACCCTTCGCTGGTCCCGCGCTGTCCTGTTGCGCCGCTTGTTGTACGCGAGCACTCTCTTTGTCCCACCACTCCTGGAACTCCTGCTCTGCTTGGATATCTTGCAAGTCTCGCTTTGCCACAGCTTCCCGGATGATCTCCTTTTCGATCTGCTGTTGAGCAACTATTTCCGACATGCTCAAGCCCAGATCCACCTCCACCATAGGCTGGTGACGAATCGATTGGGGTATAGGTCTACTGCTCGATGGCTGCGATACTGGCAGAGTCTGCACTTTGCCTTGATTGGTCCCCTGCGGTCCGCTGACCAGTGACACTTGCTTACTGTCTGACACGCTCCTCTGCTGTACTACACGCGGTCCGATGGCTTGCTTGGCATGCTTGGGATTGGCCACTGTCTGCCTCATGGTCATCTGCGGTGTGCTGTTCGAACGTGAATTGGGTGACCCGCTTGGAGTCGATGTCTCACTCTCCATGACATTCTTCAGCGTGGGTCGCTTTTGTGAGGATATTGTCTGCCACGAAAATGGCTTAGCTGGTTCCCCTTGGGCTTGGTTCGCCGGCGAGACCGACACCGCTCCTTGGAGCTGCGCTTGTTGCATGCGCTTTCGCTCCTTCTGACTCATCTTTGGCGCTGGTAGGCTGAAAGGTGCTGGCACGTTCTGCGGCGGACTGGCTGCGGAAGCAAGGCCTTGGGTGAGATTGGAGGTACGATCCGAAGTTGACGTCTGCTGTAGGATATCTTTCATGTCCACCTTGCTGGACAAGGCTGCGAGCGACCATGGTTTGCCTGCATTGGCACCAAGCAGTGGTGATTTGGGTGTCCTCGGAGTAATGGCGCCAGGAGTAGTAGAGTGCGGTGCAAGTTTAGGTGAAGGTACTGCTTTGCCGCGAGAGTCGAACCACGTTTCATCGGGGGGCGTGTTCTGAAATGTGGCATCAAGGCCTCGAGGACTCATCATTGGTCTGATGACGGGGGATAGGCGTGCCGATGCTTGGTCTTGGTCCTCGTCCATGTCAAACATCATGTCCTTGGTGGATGCCTTCGCTTTGAGCGAAGGCACTTCACGCACTGACTCGGGTTTCGCGACCTGAGATGACCGTCGTCTAGCCCTGTGATGCGCTGGAGAGTTGCTGGAAGCATCGTTAAAAACCCCAGGGCTAAGCACGTCGTTGAACTTCGCTCGTAGTGCTACAGCATCAATTTTCCTGCGCCTATTCCGATCAATTGCTTCTGCCAGTGCAGGATGACGATCGTGAAGCAGCTGCTCAGCTCGACCACTTTTGGCGAAGGGCATGCAAGCAAGTTGATTGGCTCTTACGACTTCGTCCAGCTCTTCCAATAGATCAGGATCGAGCTCGTTGAGGTAGTGACCTTGCAGCATGGCTTCCAGATTAAGGCACAAGTATTCCAAACCAGCATCCAGAAATTCGCGGACAGCACTAGGTGCCATGGCGTTCAGAAGCCCACAAACGTTTCGCACGTTGACATATTGTCCAGCTACGGACTGCGCAACCTGACTGAGCCGGTCCAACATCAACTCGTTGGCACAACTGAGGACATCAGTTACCGTATCGAGGAAATCGTCGGTATCTGTGCTGACAATGTCGTCAAAGAGCTCCACTCCAGCCTCGCAATATATGTGTCTCAATACCATGGCAAAGGTCTTCGCGCTGACATGCTTGAGATCGACTTTGACATGGTCGCCGTCAGCTCGCCCAGCAATCCAAGCCCCGCGGGACCGTCCCATGAACAATCCCTCGAAGAATGGACACCGCGCGCAAACCAGCGCGCTGTGCAGCTTGATCTCCTCGTCATCTTCTAGTTCAACGACAATATCTGCATCATAGAAGAAAGCCGGATCAGCGTAGGCAAGCTCCAGATCCATATTGAGGCACGGATGCGGGGAAACCATCTGGCGCACCGCAGGCTCCAAAGCTCGCATCTCTAACTTATGTGAAATCTTCATCAGCTCGGCACGAACCTCTTTATAAGAATAAGCCATTTTTGGTGCCGCCTTTGTGAAATTCCAGAACGGGACTACATCGTCGGTGTACAGATACATTGCCAGATCCACGATAGTGAGCAGGTCTACACCTTGGAAAGTGAGTACTAGTTGTCCGTGTTCGTTTATTTCGGACTGACACAGATCGGGGATAGTGAAGGTACTTGCTTCACACAAGTCCCGAAAGCCTCGTCTTAACACTCGACTCCGCGCAGTGAGCATAAACCGATGTACTGGAATCTGGACATCTGAGGTTGTTGTTGCTATGCATGCGTTAAAACTGTGATCCGAAGTGGCCGAAGCATTTGCGAAGTACGCTCGGAGATCAGCGTCAATGTCGGCACTACCAAGGATAGCCTTTTTGACAGCGGCGAGGCGGTCGTGTTTCTTGGGGCCTTGCCAGAATCGTGGACGTGTATCATCGTCATCACTTCGCCTGTCGTTGTCACCGAAGTCTCCAAATGACATGAGAGGGAATACGTGTTTCCACAACGACGGATCCTCAATCACAATCTGTTTTCGAAGCACGTCACAATCGTACCGAAGCGCAGAATATGCACCGCTTCCGGAGGCGCGAACCGCCAAAACGCGAGTGAGACCAGGAATCCGGGAGAACTTGTAGTCTTTCGGGCGATACTCTGAAGCGGCGGTGACCGTGGAATCCTTAATCTTCGCGCGTCGAGTGCGTTTCCATACACTACCCTCATCTGTGCTGAGGATGACAGAGCCATCTGCATCGAGGCCGACATCTCTCGCAGCCATATTGCTCTTCTTCGGAGACCAGATACGCTGGGGTTGGCTGATTGCGCTTCGGATCTTCGCAGGATTAGTGGTAGAAACACTCGATCTATCATCAGCTCGCTGACTGATGGACACAGTGAAGATCTCTCCTCGGCTGCTGAGAGCGCAAATGGTATCTCCTTCGGCAGTGATCTTGATGACTCTGTTGGGTGCAGTGTCATACGTGGTCACCAGGAAACTCTGCTTCAGAAAGTAGTTCGTGAACCCATCCAATGGAAACTGGATCTTCGCGTAGCCATAATTTGCAAACACCCAAACATCATGGTTGTCCAGGAGACACACTGTTGCTCGATCGATCGCCGCGACTGCTGATATGGGCGAAGAAAAGAGCGATGCCGCGACCTTTCGAGGCGTTGTCTGGAATTCCAAAGAGCGTGCATCGGAATCCACGATGCCAAGCTGACCTTCATTTTTGCCGAATGTGAACAGTGAAGTGGAAGTGTGGGCAACAGAATGGAAGCGTGAAGCAGCAATGCCCTGTACTGTTTCCCTTTTCAGCGACCCAAAAATCTGGCGTGGGACCGTAGAGATGGGATCTTCGTCTCCAGAGGTCTTCGGCAGGCTAAAGCCGAGCTGTCCGTAGGCATTGTTGCCCCACGAATAGATCTCTCCCGCCTCGTCCAAAGCAAGAGAATGATTGAGTCCAAGAGCAACAGTGGCGACATGTTTGCCCGTCAAGGCCCCGCCCTCGACGCAAACGTAGGTGAAGCGCGTACGTTCATCTCCAGTGCCTAGGCGGCCACCCTGCCCATGGCCGCACATGTACAGGTTGGAGATCGGATCACTCGTCAAAACTGCGCTGTGCAGCTTCGACATGAAGACGTCTTGAATAACCAGAGGGCGGGATCGAATTACCCATGGCATGTCTTCGATCCACATGCCACGAATATCGATCGCCTCGCGTTGATATGTCGGGTCATGCATTGCCCATTTCAGGTCATGCTGCTTCAAATACTCGGAGTAGAAGCGCCGTAAAAGGTGCTCCGGTCGGCGCAGAGTAACACGTTCGGGAAATGCTCGATCATCTTGGTCTCCCAGACCCAGGTTGTTATTGCTTCCGGAGCCGAACGAGAACAATTGATCGCCGCCGATCTCTGTAGATTGGATCCTTGAGGAGGTGGACTCGTCCTCTCCATCCGGACCTGGTATGTCTTCCTCACTTGCATCCGAAGCAGAACGACGACGTCCGGTCGCCTCAGGTCGCAACGTCCGGTCTTTGATTGTAGCAGCATACAAATCAAGGGGGCCAAGACCCTCTCTATCCTTCACTTTCAGCAGCTGATTGACCTGCTTCGAGGCAAAGATGTTGCCGCTATCGCGTTCGAGAATCAAGCGAGCAATGGTGACATTGCCGAAGTAGAAGGCACGATGCAGAGCTGTCCATCCATTCTCCAGATCCTGAACATACAGATCGATAAGCGGGTGATCGATCAAGGCAGTTGCGAATGCCACCGCATTCTCCGTTGTGCAGGAAGCAACGTGATGCAGCAATGTCATGCCCTGGTTGTCCCGTCCATTGATATCAGCTTTGCTGAGGACAACTGCGCCAACAGCAGGTGTTCTGGGTGTGTGTGATTTCCGACTTCTCGCCAACGTGCTCGGCGATGAAGCATAATCTGGGCTGCCTATGGTGGCAGAACTTCCATGCGATGGCCCACCGCGTGACACATGTACCGATCGGGCATTTTGCGCCGCGGCCTCGAGACACCTTTCGAAGGCATCGATCGAGTCGTCGTAGAAGGCTTGCCACAGGAGGCTGCTCATAGGCTGCAGAGGCGTGGCCTTGGGTGACAGATCCTTGGAGCTTCGTGGCACCTCGCTGTACACTTGCGCGTGCACGGCTTGTTTAAAGGTGCGGGCGAAGCACGGATCTGCACTCCGGGGGCGGAGCGGAGGATAACCGTGTGTGATTTACTACTCTTGCTTCCCGATGATATGGTGGTCGTCGCGTGCGAAGATATCTGGTCGTGGTCGCTCGTGCGGAATGGAAGGCGTGCGGTCGCGCGTTATCGGCAGTGTGGTGGCGACTGGGGTCGGGCTTGCAATTGTTCTGGTCAAGCCAACACTCGGCGGGCTGATGCGGTTCAGGGCTCACGAGAATCGCTGATACGCGTAGTTTCTGGCAGCAGTGGAGGCGATTGTGGTGCGGGAAACGTGTTTGTGCGTGGTTGCAAGTTAATGAGTCGTTGGTCTGACTGTGAATCGAGACGTCAGTGCCCCTCATCAACCCTAGCTGCATAAACACGTCCGCCAACCAATCAAACGATGAACGTGCCTGTATCAGCATGTGTGAGTAGTCTTACCACTATCCCGGTCGTCGTCAGATGATGTGCATCGAACGGGTATGTAGAAGAAGTCACTCTCAGCGCCTCTGCGGCGCAATCACTCATCTCAACCAAGCCGATGTGCGGAGTAGCTTCTGGTTTTTCGGAGTCAGTCATGCTTAGGGGAAACGGTTCGTTTAGAACGCATATGCCATCGATATAGCATCAGGTCATAGATAATCATGTGAAATTAGTCAATTGCCGCAGCTGAGCGCACTAGCTACTTCCTAGTAGCGATGCCAAATGGTCAACGCGGGGAGTCTATCCTACACACTCCCATAAAACGCAACCTGCAAGGTCGAAAAATCAAGTCCGCCTGCCGAAGAACGCCGCATCATGCATGAACTGTGCGTAAACAACCATCTTTGAACGTAATTCCGGCCCGCCGTTTAGTGGTCGATGTTATCTTGCGGGAAGATGAACGGCTCCTCGTCCTCTTCTTCTTCCTCCTCATTAATTTTTGGGCTATCCGAGCCAGACAGTCCTCCCGAGGCGCCAGTGACCTCCTCTGCAATGCTGTGCGTACTCAGTCTGCTCCTAACAAACGGTGCATGCGCCCCAGCAATGGCACGGGAAGGACTGGAACTTGTCGAAAGGCCAGGGACATTGCTCAGTCGTCTGCTTGGCGGAGTGCCACTTTGATGCAGCAACGAACTAGCGCTCATCGCCTCATCCAGCTTCTCCTGTTGACCAACCCTTCCAGAGTATTTGGAGAGGTTAATTGTATTCCCACGAGATTCGGGCCTTGAAAGTGGCAGATCTTTGGCATCGGACAGCTGCTTGATAAAAGAAGCAATGTCGTTGTCGTCTGACTGCTGGCCACTTCCAGAAGAGCCGGGGGTGCCCTCCATCAGCTGGCCCGAGCGATCTTTGGATGAGCTGCTTCCTCGTCCCGAGCTGGCATTACTCTCCGCCGCCTTATTACTGCTTTGAGAGGTGAAGCGCTTATTGCGGTTAGCAAAACTGCTGCTGTACCTGTGGACAGGTGCTGGCTTCGGTGAAGATGAGCCGGAAGATGCAATAGCGGTCTCGCTCGGGATCGGCGGCGCTCGAAGTGCCTGCTGAGGGAGCGTGTTCAAAGATACACGCTTTTCCGATGCTGAAGTGCCCAGTTTCCTCGAAATGGAATAACTGTCCGATCGTCCAAGAGACGTGCTGGGTGATGGCTTTGGTGATGAGGCGAGCGACCCGGCCTTGAATGGCGGGTTGTTGACCAGACTCAATGGAGTTCCTCTTCCAGACTCTCCTCCTCTGCTGCTGCCTGGCCGATCTGTATCGTCGTCCATGTCGTCTAGCACTCGTTGCTTGAGCTCTGTCACTGGCGAAGCACGTTTCTCCGCTGCATGAAATGTGCCAAGGCTCCCATAGGCACCAATGCGAGTCCTTTGGTTGCTGGTAGCTCCAGCAAGACTGCTATATTGCACTCGAGACTGACCACTGCGCGGGCCAGGCAGCGATCTGCCTTGCACGACGACCGGTTGGCGTCCTTCGTCTAGGCCCATGAAGCGCGAGCTCAGCAAAGCCTCCGAATCAGCTACATTCAAGTCGCAGCTCGTCCGGTACTCCACAGATACCGATAAGGGACCAGTCCGGCACAAAAGAGGAGGGATCTTGTATCTCCGTATTGGAGTTGTAGCATTCTGTTCTGTGGGACACAGGGGAGTATACAGAGGATCTGACAGTGCTTGCGGAACATCGTGTCCTTCTCTAATGCGGAACCTCAGTCTCAGTGCCTGGTGGGCGCCGGGTTGTCTGGTTAGCTTCCGATGCAGTTTCCACGCTGGAAGGCAGCGAGATGCGGTGTATAGCGACCTGAAGAGGACGACACCCTTCTTGTACACGTTTGGCAGAGCGTCGTTCAGCTCCGATGAAGAGTAGTCGTCTGCATCGCCAAGCTCAATGGTCCAGCGCTCAAGCACCACCTCAATCAAGCGTCCGCCGTTGCGATTCTGGCGCGGGCTGGAATCGGCTGACGAGCTCAACGCGTCAGAGACATCCCAGCGTTTCCCAGCATCGTCAACTACGACCAAAGCTTGACTGTGCGAGAGATGAGAGGTGTCGGCATATACCTCGATGACTAGTGGTCCAGGACGTCTCTCGGAGAGGTCTGGCCGCCTCCATGGGTAAAGATCATCGATCAGTACGTCTGTCTCGTCAAGAACGAGGTTGAACTTCTGAAATGTTAGCAAAGTTTGATCTCTTCCGACTCCGTGCTAATACGTCGTTCGCCGAAAAGGGCGAATTTCGCGAGGGCTGTGCAGTACAACAAGGCAGACACGAATTCATGAAGGCGATCCAGCAGCTTAGTGCACCAATGCGCTGCCGTTGCGATAGACTCACCCATCTATTCTGCTTCAACTCGCCAGCTTTGTTCATTACTTGGGGCAGGTTCGCCCGTGCAGAGCATATTGTCAACGCTGCTTTGGAGTGAAAGTGCTAGGCCAGCTGATCAGCACCAGATGTGTTGTTCTCGCGTGTCCCTCCTACCTGTATTATCTGATTGAGTTTGGTAGCTTCCCTATCTTGACTTCCAGTCGCAGTATCTCGATTTGAGTCCTGGTAGGCATCATTCACGGGCCGTTCTGTGTACGAGGAAAGGTCGACGCTGGATCGTGTACGTTGTGGCGGTCGATCTCTCGGGTTGTTGGTCCGTTCGGGGTTCGGGGTAGGGTTGCTCGCAGCAGAGGCGCTGCGAGGCGACAAGCGAGGCAGCTGGTGCATGACTGCGCAGTCGACGTCGAAGATCGAAGGACGGGTTACTGTCTAGAATGTATTCCGTAGCACGTTCGAAGCTGGTGGCTACGCGGAGATGGTGACTGCGAATAGGCCTGCAGCTTGCTCCATATTCACGCCAGCCTAGGGAAACTGCTAGGTGGGACCGGAGACGGCTCGCAGCGATGGACGGCGGCGTGTCGCAAATGACAGCGTCTCGTTCAAGAGGCCATGTTCACCACTGAGGCATCGACACAAAAGTACACGAGTGGCCGAGCAGCTTGTGGCACGATGGTCGCAGGCACGCGGAAAGCGCTCGGGACGCAACGAGGCTCCGCAGCAAGAGACGTGTGGCGCTAGAGACGGCGAGTGCACTGGAGTCACCGTCGTCGTCGATGGAGGTGTGAGCGAGTCTCGTGGCCGTTGAGGGCCGCCCAGAACGGAGTCACGAGCGAGCTTGACTCGATAGCTGTCAACCCGGCACGCTAAGCACTTATCAGCGGCGGGCTTCCGTGGGAGCGTTGCGATGGGTCGGCGCGCGGCTTCTGGCGATGATCACGAGCCAGATCCAGCAAAGACCAGCGGAGCAGGAGGAGGAGGGAGAGGAAGACGACGGTGCAGCGCTGTTGGGGAGAAGCCGCGGCGGATGGCGGTGAGGTCGTGTGTTATTATGTCAACATGGGAAGCATAGATTGCTTCATGAGCTGTGTGTCGCAATCGTGCTGCATCGACTGGGATCTGCAAGCACGTGAACGAACTACTTATCGCCGTGGTTTTCACGTGAACAAAAACCATGTCGTCATGCCGTCGCTGTCGCCAGGAGTAATAATGCGCCGCGGGCTTCTGCCATTTGCTTACCGCCCAAGCCGCCCTATACAGTTGTCAATTGAACGACTCTTTGGGGAAATGGTATGGACGCAGCTATCATCTCAGGACGCCCAGAGTTTTCACAAGCAAGTGTTCACAGAGGAGCTGCAGTGCAGAAGGCTCAGGCCATGCGATGGACAACAAACGAGCCAAGAAACATGCGCGAGACTGGGACAGATGCACAATGAACGACTACGATATATTCTGACAGCTATCTTCAATGACTGCGCATCCATCAGCTCAGGTCCTCGAGTAGGTCCTCTCTGTCACAGAAGCTCGCAGGTCTGCTGCTCTTGCGAGCATGCCAGAACCTGCACTAGAAGTCAGCCCATACGCAACTTCCTCATGCGCCCATCCATTACGACGCAGCGGCAACCGCTTCCTGCGTGAACGGCCGAAATCCAGGATAGTTGTTCTCCTGACACTTCTTCAGCTCGCTCAGATACCCTCCCATCCCGCCAAAATAGAACCTCAAGCATTTCTTCTTCCCTGTGCAAATCATTAGTGCCCGCCATCTACATATCGCAAGACTGCGTATGCTTACCTGGAATATTGGCACCGAATATCCAATTCTCAGTGCCCTTGTGGAAGAGCGACCCTGCGGCAAGCTCTTCACACAGCTGTGCCCATCTCTGCTCTCCCTCTGGCAGCACTTCGACGAGTCGGGTACCAGCTTTCTCAGCTCGCTCGATGGTCTCCGTGACGAAGTCAACCTCAACTTCGATGGCCGGTGGCTGGTTGGTAAAAGGTCCCTTGGCGCCATTTACCATATGAAAGTTTGGAAAAGAGGGCACGAAGATGCCCAGAGCAGAGGTAGGACCATCAGACCAAGCCTCCTGGAGTGACAGGCCATCTCTGCCATGAATCGCCATTCTGGTATAATTGCCTTCCACTGCGTCAAAGCCGGTCGCCAAGATCAAAAGGTCGATTTCATGCAAACTCCCGTCGGAAGTCCTCACCCCGCGGGCTTCGACTTGCTGGATCGGTGTCTCCTTCAAATCCACAATGTCGACATTGTCTCTATTGAACTGTTCGAAGTACTTCTGTCCATTCGACGCATTGCCATCGCAAAGCGGACGCCTCGCGTAAACATCGTATGGCTTCAGTTTGCGAGCCTTCTCTGGATCTTTCACGATCTCATCGATCTTCCTTCGAATGAAATCGCATGCTCCCTCGTTTGCTTCTTCGTCGATGGTAATGTCGTTGAATGTCCCGAACATCTATGCGAATCATTAGCGAGGGTCACAGAGCACTGGAAAGGCCCATTCTCACGAATCTGAAACCATTCCCCTTATCCCAATTCTCCTGGAATATCCTCTCTCGCCCCTCAGGAGACACGGAATGATAGGATATCTTGCTTTCCTCGAAACCGAAGGCTGTGATTGAATTACGCACCCGCTCCCAGATCTCATCATAATTCTCATTGATCTCTTTGCGCTCTTCCGCGGTGACTTTCGCGTCTCCTGAAGGCACGCTATATTGCGGATGTCGTTGGAAACAGGTCAAACTCTTGACTTTGCTACCAATCTCTGTGATGACCTGGACACCTGTCGACCCAGAACCGATAACGCCCACTCTCTTCCCCTCGAGCGTAACACCCTTCGGCCATTTGGCTGTGTGATACATTTCGCCAGAGAACGAGTCCAGACCTGGTATATCTGGGATGTTCTGCTTCGAGAGAAGACCAAGACAGGTCACCAGATACTTTGCAACGATCGATTTGTCGCTGCTACTGGTACTGATCTTCCACGACTGTGACGAATCATCCCAGTTCGCACCTAAGAGCTGAGTGTCGAACCGCATATCTTTCCTGAGATCGTGCTTGTCGACAACATGGTTGAGATATCTGAGTACTTCAGGTTGCTTGACATAGTGCTCCGGCCACGGATATGTAGAGAGATCTTCCTTATCAAAAGAGTATCTGTAAACATAGCTTTCCGTATCGGACATTGCTCCTGGATAGAGATTCCAATCTGTAAGAGGTCAGCAAATGTTGATCCAGTGAGTCTCATTCGAGCCTACACCAAGTGCCTCCAACTCCTCCAGCTTGATCGATCACGAGACATTTAAGTCCGAGTTTGCGAAGTCGATAGAGCTGATAAATTCCGCCGAAGCCTGCGCCCACAATGACTGCGTCGTATGTTTCTTCTGCCATATTTGCGATCAAAGAGGAGCTAATTTGTGACAAGTGCAATCAGATCTAATAGATAAAATCAGAGGATTTCATGCATTACCTGCTAGGAGATGGATGTTGATCGATGACAAAACCATGCTCGCTACTACATGTATCGCAATTCTCCAATGGCCAACGTCGGGGTAGCCATAAGAGGGGTTGCATGCGGAGCTGCAGTGCTCGCGCTCGCGTGGTGGCACACCCGTGATCGCACCATTGCGGACCGACTGCCGCATTGCTATGCATATGGATGAGACAAACTCCGTGGTGCTTTGGATGGTGATGTCGATCAGTTTGTTTCTCCACATTCTATTGAAGATCGGCGAGAAAGCTGCGCTGGCAGCTTGCACAGGTCTCCTAGAGCCACCAGAAACGGGATAGATTTGCGCCTGCCAGGTAGAATGTTTAGACAAGAAGTGACGTTGGCCTGACCATCGCAGAACTTACTGTACAGCAGGCGCCACCGGAAGCGATAGCTCAATGAACAAGACTGTGCCGGGTGAACAAATTTGTCCTCTCTTTAATAGGATGAACTATGCTCTATAAGCCCATCGTCTCATCATAACTACATATCTCATAAGAACTGTCTAATCGTGTCATGAACCCCACCAACGACCAGCGTTGCATATTTGAACATCATCAATAATCCCATCAATATTTTCGGCCACGCCTATTGTAATCGTCCTCTCGTAAATTGTAGTGTCCGTAATCGAAGTCGTTGCTGTATGACCTATGCCGTCTCTGGTTCGGATTGCTCGATGCTCGTTTCTTTCCATATTCGTGCCCGCCGATACCACCTAGCAGTGCACCACCGAGTGTGCCTAGACCAGGGAAAATGGCATCGCCAATCAGTGCTCCTCCTCCAGCCCCGAGGAATGTATTGACACCGGACGACTTCTTCTTTGTAGGCTGAGGCCGGCCATGATGTTTTCGATGTCGATCTCTGCTCCTACTCCGGCTCCTGCTGCGACTGCGGTCACGCTCGCGCTCGCGCTCACTCTCACGATATGGAGAATGCGACGGCTTGTACCCGGGAGTCGTCGAGGGCTTACGATCGTCTCGATAGATTTGCTGCGCACCTGACCCGCTTGCTGCAGGGAAGTAACCTTGCTGTTGCTGGTAGGGCTGCTGCGGCGTGTAGCCAGACTGCTGTTGCTGTTGCTGATAGTGGTAATAATCGTTGATCTGATGCGGCGGTCTCGAACTCTTCTCGGGCGGATAGGCGTTCGCTGGAGGCGGTGCTGGCCGATAGATGTCGTCCGCTGGATTGGGCGGTCGCTGTTGTGGAGGTGGTTGTGAGTGGGGTCGCGCATCTGCGAACGCACTGTAGGGAGGTGGAGCGTCTGTTACGTGTCAGACAACGCGGGCCAGCGCATGGAGGGAAGTCTTCGTACCTGACAGAGGGTAGGGAGGGTTTTGCGGCATGGATGCGTTGTTCTGGTTCGGTGGGCCAGGCTGCAAGTAGGACGAGCCCCCGCCAGGTTGGAAGTAGTCTGCTGCAGCCATACTGCGCGCTATGCGATTGTTGTCCTGCCGGTCAACGTCTTTTCAAGGTGACAGGAGATTGAGAGAAGAGAGGATGTGGTGGGAGGAAAGATGGAGTGGAGATTGAATGCGGGACTCGGTCGATGGCTCGCCACGTCTGGTAGACGAGAGACTAGTTTCGTCGTCGAGGGAAATGGATGGAAATAGTGGCAGACGATGCGACGGCGGCATGTGACTGTTTCTGTCGACCGGTGACCCAGGAAATGCCTCGTCCTATGATCGCATCTTCTGCGCTTTGCGGCCTCGCAGTGGCACTCTCTCCAGCGCGCGCTAGCGACAACTCAGCGCCACCTCGGGAGTGACGTGCAGCAGCAGTCCCCGCAGGCTGCGCTGCGCCTCGCCGCCTCAGGCACCATTCGGTGTTGCCGTCGACTGGGAGGGAATAGCATCTCGGTGGTTGGTCGATTGTTCTTCACTCATGCATGTCTGCCACCGTATCTCCGTCGCCCTACGCACGGCTCCGTGCTGCTCTGCGAACTGCTGCCTCGCCCTGCACCATCTGCAGTGGTCGAAAGTCTCCTGGGGTTAGTTGGAGATGTCTCCGTCGATGACGACGCTGACAATGTTGACTCCGCCAGTGACCCATCTGTCGCAGCGTGCATCTGCGTGTCTATGATGACTGGAGAGGAAGGGGTGATGCCTGGAGAATGATGAGCAGACGACTTTGCTGTACTTCTGAAATAGAAGTCGCGAAGATTCGGCCCGTGCCAAGACGCGAGCCGGCGCCACAATGTGGCCAAACATCAACCACCACCTTCTCCCGCCCGGTCAATGTAGACAATGTCATCAATATGCTTGCGGCTTCTCAGTCTGCCATCGATACTGCGCCAGACATGCTTCGAATCGATAAGCAATGCGAGATGCTTCACAACATCTGCCTACAAAGCGGCATCTGGCCATGAGAACCCCCTTGTATGAAGCACCCATCTCGACCTCCAGCAACATCTCGTTGACGTTGCACCCAAGGGCTTGCCCAGATCGGGCACTCCACCAAACCTGGCTGCTCGCATGAAACGCGGTATAGCCAATGCTCACCTGGACCATGACCTGAACTAGGCTAACGACAATAGGCTTGCCGGAAAAGAGACCCATCCCCAATGTGCGCAAAGTCATCGCGGTGAGCAGCGCCAAAGGCGGTGTCGGCAAAAGCACCATATCCGTCAATTTAGCTCTGGCAATGGCTCAACAAGGACTGCACACAGGAATCCTCGACACCGACATTTATGGCCCCAGCATTCCAACCTTGCTCAACTTGGAAGGCTATGAGCCAGAACTCGACGCCAACAATCGGCTACTCCCCCTCACAGCATACGGCGTCAAAGCCATGTCCATGGGCTTCTTGGTCCCTCAGGATAGCCCCGTGGCCTGGAGAGGACTGATGTTGCAGAAGGCCATGACCCAATTACTATTCGAAGTGTCATGGCCGAGCCTGGATGTCTTAGTGATCGATTTACCTCCCGGAACTGGCGACGTCCAGCTCACCCTGACACAGAGCGTCGAGCTCGCCGGTGCAGTCATCGTCTCTACGCCTCAAGATCTGGCGCTTCGAGATGCCGTTCGTGGAATTTCCATGTTCGAGAAGGTCAACGTCCCTATCCTCGGTATGATACAGAACATGAGCACATTCACTTGTACGAATTGCGGGCACAACCATGACATATTCGGTCTCGATGGTAAGTTATTTTGCTGACAATGAGTACAATTGCGCACACATGCGCTAACAAATGACAGGCGCGAAGAAGAAATGCCATGAATTGGGCATCAACTTCCTGGGTGACATACCCTTGCATCCGGACATATGTGCCAGCGCGGATAGCGGGAAACCAACGATGGCTGCGAACCCGAACTCGCCACAAGCGCAAGCCTTCACAAACATCGCGAAAGCTATTACTGCGACTATTAGATCATGAAAAGACAAATCTCGAAATGCAAGAGAAGAATTCCCGCAGATTAGGCACATGTAGAGAAGCCTTGCACATATTGAAGCTATGTAAATTATAGGGAACGTATTATGCCATGCGGCAATCCCATCATGCGAGCTCTGTCGTTAATTTCTTTTTGATTCCATCTCTCTCACAATTTTTCTTTCCTAATATCCACCAGGACCGCTCTGGCTCAAGTCCAACACTGCGCTGAGCGGCAGTCTGCGACTGGAGTTACCAACGTACACAGTCTTAGTGTAGTTGGAAATGACCCAGTTCTGAGAAGCGGTATCCCAGTTGCTCAGGTCCCTCCTAGTGATGTTGCCGGTGAAGGTGGCGCTGGCACCTGCCTCGATCGTCAAGCGGTCAAAGTCACGGAGCTGGACCTTTGGATCATTGGGGCCACCCAGTGCCACGTAAAGCTGTGGCACTTCGTCGCCGACTACGGAACCGGTGTTTGTGACAGTGGCAGTGACGGTGAAGAGAACATCGTAAAGCTGTGGATTGCCACCGGGAGCACCACCTGCTGGAGCATATGGCTGCGCAGAAGAGTCGTACGAGCCCTCTGGCCAGCTGTAGTCGGTGCCATAATCTGGGTCGGTGCTGGACTCTTCCAGGTTGGTCGAGTTGATGTAAGGGTAGATGTAAGCGTAGACACCAGAGAAGTTGGCTGGAAGGACGTATTCCTCTGTGTTGTTGGCGATGGTACCAAAGGTAGGAGCCGGTGGGGTGTTGCGCGTTGTCGGGGTGTATGGCGCGACTTGGTGTGCTTGCACTTGCAAATCGGAGAACGAGAATGTCGTGTATGATAGTCCGAATCCGAACTCGTAGATAGGCGTGCGGTTGTACTTGTCCAGAGCACGGTAATCGATGAAGACGCCTTCCTCGAACGAGTCCTGGGGCGCATCTTCTCCATTGTTCGGCTCGTAAAGGACGTCGGTGCCGTAGTCCTCGCGTTGCCTGGCCCAGCTGAACGGAGTCTTGCCGCCTGGGTTGACTTTGCCGTAGAGGACGTCAGTGATGGCATTACCTGATTCCTGGCCAGGAATACCAGCCCAGACAATTGCAGTGATGTTTTCGTTGTCAAACCACGGAGTGACAGTGACTTCTCCAACAGTGTGCAGCACAACGACAGTGTTGTTGCAGAAGCTGGTCACGTTCCTGATAAGATCGTCGCCGTTGTGCCAGAGGGTAAGGTTGTTCCTGTCTCCCTCATTACCGTCCACAATGATGTAACCCTCGCCGGCGTCCGAGTTGGCGAACACAAGACACACGCCGTCGTTGTCCGGGACCCTTCGTGCAAGCGCGTTGATCTGGCTGTAGGCATAGTCGTCGATGACAGATTCGATAGCACCATCGTTGCTGCGAACCTCGGCTTTGATGGCCTCTAGAGGGGTGATCAGGTATGGAAACTGTGCAGTGCCGGATCCCCAGCCCATGGCAAGCGTCCCGTTGTCACATCCCCTGTCAGGACAGCCGTTTGGACCATATTGATTCTCAGCGGCGTCGCTGCCAAAAATTGCCGTGAGCTTCTCCTTGCCGGTGAGTGGGAGGGCCCCTTTGTTCTTAAGTAGCACAGTTCCCTTGGCAGCGAATTCTCGGATGTCCTTTGCATGCTCTGCGCGAACATCCACATGGTAGTTCAACTGGGTGTAGTTCTGCTGAGCGTAGAAGTGCTGGAAGCCGAAAGTGTCCTGGGTCCATGAAGAGAAGCTCGGTGCATTCTCAACCTGGTTACCAGGACGATCGACGTAGTACCAGGCAGCCACGATACGCACAGCGGCATCGTCCAGACGCCATTGTGGAACCGTGCCGTTAAGAAGAGCAATAGTCAAGTTTGGACCCCAGTAGGATGTTGTTGAATCAAAGGCAACGTCGCCGGGCATAGTCATGTCCAAGCCTGCGAGTGCACTGCTGACACCCGAATGCTGAGCAGCCCAATCCGATACGATAAATCCCTGGAAACCCAGTTCACTTTTTAACAGATAATTCTGTAAATAGCTGTTTTGGCAGGCGTATGAGTTATTCACTTGGTTGTACTACGCTTCGTCAGTTTCTGCAGTCGCTGCTGGAAGAATTCGAGATGCACATACCGAGCACATGATTGAGCCAGTACCAGCACGGACAGCGTCGGCGAAAGGCCACAGATACAGCTCGTGCATGGTAACATCGTCCAGGTTGGAGCTAATCGATTCAGTGAGGTTTGGACCACCTTGTCTGAAGTGCTCCTGCTCGTTCGCAATATAGTGCTTCGTGCATGCAATGACACCAGCATCCTGAATACCCTTGACAGTCTCGTAGACCGCAACACCGGTCAGAGATGGATCGGGACTGAAGCCCTCCTGCAAAGCTTGGTCAGATGAGGCTACTCTTCGTAATGGCTCTTCTTCATACCCAGTTTCGACCGCCTGCGGCATTACGCCCAAGAGGTCCGATTGCAGGGCCCAGCTGAACGTCGATGCCCTTGTCTCTGTGTTCAGAACCCATGTCGTGGCCTCGCTTGTAGAACAGCTCGCGGCTCCATGTCGCTGCAATAGTAACTCCGGCAGGGTACGCACTGGCGAAGTCTGCGAATCGAATGCCGAGAGGAGAGTCCTGAAGACATAGAGATCTGAATCCCAAACGTGGAATGGCGCCAGTGTTACCGACGCACTTCTCGCCTTCCCATCCGACACCTTGGCCAATGTCAGCTTACTCTGTCTGGGCATCACCAACGCGATTGAGATGTGCTCACCCGTGGTGAGGTTCACTTTCTCGAGCAGTGTCAGCTGCGAGACAAATGCCACTGCCTTCTCGTATGCCTCTCGCCAGTCACCAAGACCTTCCGACCACTGCAGGTGGAGTTAGCTACCATTTGAGACACAGCTGCACTACCGTGCCCAGTGATTTCACTCACTGGAGAAGGGTATTTTGGCGGGCTCTCCGCGAAGTCAAGGTTCTCTCCAGTGTTGTTGGCAAACGGCTGCAGCTGTGCACAGACAGCTGGCAGGAGCGCCAGCAGCGCAGCACGAGGAAGGACCATGCTGTGCACTCCGATCGGGCTCTGGAAAGGAAGAAGCGAAAGTCTGTTCTCAGCGACGAGAACTAGAAAGCACCAAAGGAACTCTCAGTGACACGGCCATGCCACTACTTGTAGTAAGGATTTTACTCCGGGGACCGGAGCTAGATGCTACTCGTGTTCACGCAAAGGCGGCAGTGTGGCATCGTGCTGATGCCCACGCATGGATGTTACCTGCACCCCCCTCACGGATCGAATGTTCTGATGCACCTTCATCGTTCTTGTGCCTGGCGCTAGACGGCATTGAGATCTCTCTCCAGGCCAACTTAACCTGAAGCGGCAAGTATCGTCGGCAGAAGGAACAATCACAGGGGCTAAAGACGTAGTTTTGCATACCCGACCACCGCGACAGTGCTAGAGCCCGCTCCAGGTTCTCCAGCTACTCCGCATGTTCCGCACCAATGCCCACTTATTCGGTTTACAATATGGCGAGGGCGGAAATGATGGATGCAGGACCCATCAACCACTGTCTCACGAGTGTGCAAACATGGATCAGGGTCTCGCCTCCAGAACGAACAGCATGGCTGCCGTAAGATTTCAACTGATCCAGATGGTCCGTGGTAGGGGCGAAAGAGAAGCCGGAAAGGTCTGCTGTGCTCTTGATGAGAGCAAGAGCTGCTCCGGGCGGTGACTGATGGATCGTCGTTTAGCAGCCGACGATGGAGATGCTACGGGGTACGACATGCAGTGGTGCAGCGTGCAGTGTGATGCAAGGATGCAAACCGGCTGTCATCTCCATCATCACCAGGTGTTTTGTGATCACCGGCTCATGCGAAATGAGCGGAGTGGCCGTTGGAGGTGTCTTTCAAGAACCGCATCACAATGAAGGTGAAGTGACGCCGCAACGCCCGCTACCATTTTGTGGCGCTGGTTGTGGTGCATAGCAGAGCATAGCCTAATGTCGTGCAGCTTTCGCGCGTAGCAAACGTGCAGCAGCGAGGCCGGTGGCATCTTCGGGTGCAAGGGCCGACGAAGCGGATGCGATGTTCCAATTCTCTTGTGCACAAAGGCAGCGCTCAGAAGCACATCGACCTGCGCCTCTGCCAGCTGCCGCTCTCCGCTGGAACACACGCCGCCAGCCGGGCCGTAACTAGTCTTGGAGCACGAGGTTAAGGTTCGGTCATGACTGCTGTTGTCGCGTTAGCTGAGCTCTCAGATCTTGGTACGAGCTGCTCGATCTGCACTCGGAGTCTTTGACACGACGACGTCGCTGTCTCTGCACACACCCGCTCCCGGCTGGCTGGAATGCAACCTCTTGACATGCAGCTCCTCTCGCACAACACCGCCGGGAGGCAGCCATGAAGCCCTTCGCCCTCGTTACCCCGGCCTCGCGTGGCATTGGTCTTGAGCTGGTGCGTCGCCTGCTGCAGACGACCAGCGTGCCGGTCGTCGCGACTGCGCGGAAGGATCTCGATCAGGTGAAAGAGAATGCTCTGTCTGGTCTGAAAGATGTGTGCGAGGAACGACTACATGTCGTCAACCTGGATGTGCTCGGTAAGCGGCGCTTTGGCAAACGCGGCCGCGCCAGCAGGCATTGACTTTGGGTAGATGAGACAATCGTAGCCGAAGCAGCAGACCAGATCTCGAAGCTTTTCCCTAAGAAGGAGAACTATCTTCATCTTTCGCTGGCCATTCCCGGCATTCTGTTTCCAGAGAAATCACCTGCTCAGATCAACTACGACGATGCCCTCCTCACCTTCCGCACAAACACGCTCGGTCCGATGCTTCTGCTGAAGCACCTGTCGCCCTTCTTGCCGAAGAAAGCAACGAAATTGGAAAGAGCCGATGGGCTGCCTAAGACGGCAGTGTGGGCGAACATGTCTGCAAGAGTGGGCTCAATTACGGATAATCGACTCGGAGGGTGGTACAGCTATCGTTCAAGCAAGGCCGCAGTCAATCAATTGACCAAGTCCTTTGACAATTACCTCCTACCGAGCGCAGGTGAAAATGCCATGAGCATTAGCCTTCACCCTGGCACAGTGAAGACGAATTTGAGCAAAGAGTTCTGGGACAATGTAAAAGAGGACAAGCTGTTCAGCCCTGGATTTGCGGCAGAGAAGCTGCTCGAGGTGATCAACAGTCGTACTCTCGACGACAGAGGAAAATGCTGGGACTGGGCCGGCAAAGAGGTGCCTCCGTAAAGCTATAAGTTACAAAGTTGGTTCAATGTTGACCGATTACATCACTACTTCTTGTTCAGCTCCTCAGAACGCTTCTTGAGTTCCTCTTTGGATGCTGGTTCACCCAAGTTTTCGGCAATCACCTGCATGGTCAGTACTCGTGCATGCCGAATGCATCATGTGGAACAACTTACCGGTCCGGGGTTTGCTTGATGGTGTTCTTGCGAAGCGAGGCCGCTCTTCTTCGCATCCGCCTCATTTTTGCCTTGAGCCAGCTTCTCCTTGATCTCTGCTTGACAGTCAGTCATGCTTCGAGTAGAAATTGGCGTTGATCCCACCTTTATCGTTGTCTCCTGGGATCACCGGCACTGAGCAAGAGACAGGAGGTTAGCAGGTCTCTCGAGTAGGCATATTTGGAAGTCACATCAATAGCCTCCCTCTCATTGATTTGAGCGGACAAGATTGGAAAGGAAACACCGTAAAGCGGACACATACTGACTACTGACTTGCTCTTGCTCAGGATTTTTTTGATGCTTTAGCTCGCTGATCGAACTCAGCTCGACTCTCTTGGATGGCTTTTGCGGCGGCTCGGCCAAACTCGTCTTGCTCGATTTCTGGCGGCTGGCGCGGCTGGCGCTTACTTTCTCGCAAGAGGGCGTCGTAGTCTGGCTTCTGTGCTTCGTAGCTTTGAATGGCTTCAAGTTCGTTCTTCGTCGGTGTGGCTTTCGTACTGTTGCCTCTGGGTGGCATTCTAATCAATCGACCAGCTCAATCCAAGGCAGCATCGAAACCTGGACCGGCTGCGATGTACGTCATAGCGTGTCGCAAGCGGCCCGCCAGTTCACGTGTTGCGTGGGGCGAGCAATTGCAAGGGTAGCTCCAGTGCTCGAGCACTCCTTCGCTAGGCAGAGTCGACGAGACGTCTCTTGGTCACAACCGAATCAATAATTCATGCACATCAAGAGGATTGCAGCTGCGTTGCTTGAGTGGATCGATACCATCTGTACAAACGCCTCTCTGCTCCTTCGTATCCTCGAGCTCCCTCCGGACCGTGCAGCTCGTTCCGAGTATAGAGCATGCGCTGCGCCAACGACAACCTGAACGAGACTTGGCAACCAGTGAGCTGGCCATGCTGAGCTGGCAGCTACCGCTCACAAGTGAGGCGACGGAACGGGTGGGGAGTCGTCACGGCTGGCTGCCACGAGATCGATGCAGTCAGCTACTCACCGCAGCCTCCAGCAATCTCAAGAACACAGCGAGCCATATGTCAAAGAAGCAGAAAACAAGGAGATTGGGAGATGCACCGTGATTCCCGGGAATTGGTTGAATTGACAAGCTAACGAGCGTTTCCAACAATAATCATCCTCTGCCTTCGCCTCCGTTGTCTTCAACGCATCGACAACCCATCTCTCTTCCTCCCCCGTCTACCAGCGTATACAGCCATCGTCCATTGAGGATGCGTAGGGTCTTTGGCAATCCATCCTCGAGATCAAGACAGGCTCATAGCGTCGAGTTGTCTATTTCTGCGTGGGCAGTATGGTTAGCCATTGTCCAACAAGCTTTCATCTGGTATCGTTGGCAAAGGAATACTCACGCAGGTGCAGCTGGAGCTGGAAGCGCAAGCGCAGTTGGCGTTGGAGCAAGCGGAGCAGCCACCCATGTTGATAGTGTGTGTTTGGTGTTGGTTGATTGGTTGTGGTGTGGTAGTGTGTTTCTCTGAATGACCTTGATGGAGCTGATGGGATGAGAAGAACTTCAAACCGACGAAGATGGGAGTAGATATAGGCTGCTGTTCACATGGCATTGCCCACGTACATCCACTCGAGCTCGAGAGGATTGGTGCCACGCGAACTCTATGCAGCTCAAGGTTTGGGTACAGCGCGCGCGCTGAACGGAGCTCATCCCACGCATTGTGGGCATCTACTGTGTCTCGGAGCTGTCTTGATCATGTCTAGCTGGACATGCTGGGCCATTCTCACTGCGACAGTGGGTCATGCGACGATTGACATTGGTGGAAGCTTAGGCTCGATTGCAGCTAGGAGCTTCCTCGGGGTGCCTACTGACCTGGAGGTGCGTATGGAGTGAAGGCATGTGAGATACGGGCGAAAATCTGATTGGGCGAGTCATGTATGCAGCCTGCTTTGCTGTCCAAGCAGCTCCCAACAGCACTGCAGTCGGTCTCTTCCACGACAGTGGCCACACCATCGATCACAGCATCAAATTTCATTCAGTAAGTGTTGTTATGAGCCTGTCGGTATCTGGCAAAGTCACGCGATCAGATTCCCGCCAGTTTTCGTATTCCGCGCCAGTTGCGCTGCAGAGTCTCGCCGTATCCCACTTCGACAACACCCCGTGAAACATGCCACGCATTTGGCCGCATCGGGTAATCCAGATTCGCGGGTATAGCGGTTTTGATCAACGCCGGCCATCTGTCCACACACACCGATTTGGCATTGCAAAGGCTTCTGAGCCCTTCTACGCCGGCGAACCTACCATAACCAGAGCCACGCACGCCCCCAAATGGCAGCTGCACAACGTAATACCTGTTTCGACACGATCAGTATCAGTCACGAGATAGGTCGCAGGAGTGGCACTTACGCGGCAAAGTCATTCACCGCTACCATGCCGGCCTTGACTGCATTTGTCACATGCGTGAGGATGCGTTGTGCTCCACTCGACCCAGTGGGTCCAAACACGCTGGCACCAAGGCCATACTCGGTGTTGTTGGCGATGTCAATGACATCCTCTACGTCTTTTGCCCTCATGAAGAGACAGACTGGGCCGAATAGCTCTTCTTGTGCGATCCTCATCGATGCCGTAACATCAACAATTAGCGTTGGCGTGAAGTAATGGCCTTGTGGGTATTTCTCATGGCGGTATCGATGTCCTCCCACGACCACCCGTGCACCTTGCGCCCTCGCTTCCGCAATCAGCTGTTCGAGGCGCTCAAATGCAGCAGGCGAGACCATGGCTCCGACATCGACGGCATCTCCTTCAGCTCGGTCCGGGTCCAGGTCGTTGCCCAGCCTCAATGCGCGGATACGTGGCTCTAGCAGTTTGATGAGTGTAGCATACGCGCCAGGCATGGCGATGATGCGCTCAATGCCCACGCAGTTCTGCCCTCCAGACTGGAATACCCCTCGCATGATGATGCTCGCAACTCTTTCGATTTCCGCACTTGACATGGTTCGTCCATCAGGATGATCCAGAATCATGGCAGGATCCTTGCCTCCAAGCTCGATGCACAACGGTGTCAGGACCTTCGATGCACTCTTGGCCACTTCATGAGCCACCGGGCGACTGCCAATGAACGTCAGGTGAGCAATGCCAGGATGAGACGTAAAGTAGTCGGCGGTTTGTGGCCAGCAGGAGAAAGTGTGGACGACATCAGGACTGTGGCCACAGGCTTTCAGAGCGCCGCGGACGATCTCAATGAAGTAGTTTGACGACCAAGCTGTCTGTTCGCTGCCTTTGACAACGATTGCGTTACCAGAGAACAGAGCGCTGATGATCGGGCCAAGCAGATTGTGAAAGGGGTAACTGCGAGCGGAGTCAGTCACCAGGCAGCTCTTTCAATGCAGGGTGTAAACACTCACTTCCAGCTCACACAAGCTGCAACGACTCCCAGAGGCTCATAACGCACTTCGTTCTTCTTGTAGAACATCAAGAAATTGGTCGGCCTTCGATCAGGTCGCAATGACTTCTCGCCATGATCGATGGTCCATTTGAGCTTCTCGGCGGTGACGAGCACTTCGCCGAACAGAGCGTCGACGCGAGTCTTTCCACTGTCGAGACATGCTGCGCGAATAATTTCTTCTTGATTGTCAAGTAGGTATTTCAGTAGTGTCTTCAGCACTTGCCGGCGCTGAGCAAAAGTGGTTTGGCTCCATGACTTTTGTGCTTCGGCAGCACGAGAGATGATTCTGTCAATCCGATCAGGTGAAGAAGGGTTGACAAGTCCAAGATATTGGCCCGTGGCTGGCGCATAGCATTGTATAGCGGTCGAGCCGGGCACCTTGATGGATGGCTCGGGCAGCGTCTTCCCCTTCCAGCCCGGCGAGCAGGGTTCAGGAGGCGGCACTGCAAAGTCCACCGCCTTCTCTGCGTCGCCTCGCAGCAGGAGCACAAAGGTGAAGTATGCGATGGCAAGTGCTATGGTGGCGCCATATGTCTTCACGTCCAGCAGGACCGCTGCGGCACGCTCCATTGGGCGAGGTGGTAACGTGACTGAGCGAGTGGTGTGCGGTGCAGGTGAGAGTGGTTGCGAAAAGGTGAGAAACGCTTGCTGGCTCGCGTCTGTGCTCGCATCGTCCCATTCTCGTCCGTGGCAGCTCATCGACATTTCCATCACAAACAACTCTCTGCTGATACTCGACATCTCATTACTTCGACGAATTGTGATGCTCCTGGCGCCTGGCAACGAAACACACCAACGAGACCTGACACAAGCTACAGCTTCAACCACACGATAGATCAGACTGCAATTCGTACTTCCAGCACAGCAGTATCGCATTCGCAAGATTCCACGATTCGGACGCTGACACCGAGAAAGACATCCATATACCGCATGGGATTGCACTTTTGCAGCCGCATTCCACGATCAGATGCGTGAAGCCAACGTCCTGGCCCTATGACCTTGTGCACCAACAGCCAGTCGCGCACCCGCTTACTCTACAACTTTCCCATCATAATTGCCCGCAATGGCTTGCTCGATTTCCTTCGCCTTTGCGCCGGTCACGCTTGCTCGCAAATCTCCATCCTTGAAAATATGGAAGGTTGGCATCTTGAGTACACATCAACCCATCTGTACGCAAGCGACCGCATCTCGAGAGGCTGAATGACCAACTCACCTGGCGTGCACCCAGCTCTTGACTGATGGCCAATGCAGTATCGGTGTTATATGAGTAGAACCGAGCATCCGGATACTTGGACATCATCTTGTCCATGAAAGGAGCGATGGCCTTGCAGTTGCTGCACCAATCCGTTACTGCTTCGAGGATTGCCGTGCCATCAGCATTAGAGGCCTTGAGGTACCCTTTCATATCAGTGAGCTCTTCCATCTTGACTCCTAATAGACCAGACAAGTTGTTGTCTTCACGAAGCCTAAGTCAGAATGGGGACGACGCAACAATGCATGCAGCTTCCCCACGCGTTCGCGTTCAGCCTCCATTCGTCCTTTTTATTTCTATTGGCAGAACCCCCCGGCAACACTAGTTGATGTCCATGCTTGGCGCAGGTGGCGGGCGCTTCAGCTCGCCTTGGGCTTTGCTGATGAGACCATCAGGCATACCTCGCCGAAAACGTCGCACACCAAACAGCGCCCGCCACTGCGTCGAGTTATATTCGATGGCTCCGTGTCAGAACTGCTAGGTCCCATTCCTCATTTTGAACCCGGCATTTGTCGTGCCCCTTTCGATTACATTGAGAGTGAGAGTGAGTGTTCAGAATTGCCCCGCCATTCCGACACATCCAATGGATACAGGCGCCCGTGGAGGAAAGGACACTGCAACAGCGGATGAACAGCCATACTATGATCTTGGTACATATAGTCGCCCGGTAACTACCAAGAGTAAGCTGGCTCAGACTTGGTTCGATCGTGGTCTGCAATGGTCGTACGCATTCAATCAGTATGACACGAAGACATCGTTTCCTACAGGGCAAAAGTATCTGATCTCGTTGCAGTGAAGAAAGCGCTACTTGCTTTCTGAGAGCAAGCGAGGCGGATCCAAGCTGCTGCATGTCGTTATGGGGAATAGGCTATGCACTGGGACCTAATTACAATAAGCCTTGGGAGGCCTTCGATCCAGATGAGAAGGAAGCGAATCTCCAGCAAGCCAAGGACTCCCTCCTTGCGGCAGAGCGAGCTGCTCAGGCAGACGCTTCACCTGTCGAGAAGGCATTGATAAATGCGCTTCAAGCTCGATATCCGAATGACAGGAGTGGCGACGATTACGCGAAATGGAACCAAGACTATGCGCGAGCTATGAAGACAGTCTACGATGAGTCTGGTGACGATCTCGATGTGGCTGCCCTATATGCTGATGCACTGATGAACATCACACCATGGGCGCTTTGGGACATACGAACAGGGGAGCCGGCTGAAGGCTCTCGAACGCTCGAAGCGAAGGCTGTATTGGATCAGGCCTTTGCACGACCCGGAGGAAACGACCACGCGGGTCTCCTACATCTCTGGTGTCATCTGATGGAAATGTCTGCTCGACCAGAAGATGCTATTCCTATTGCGGATCGACTACGAGGTCTGGTACCTGACGGCGGACATCTGCACCACATGCCAACTCACTTGGACGTCCTTGCCGGCGACTGGCAGAATGCGATCACATCGAACAGTCAAGCGATTGAGGCGGACGAGCGGTATCTCGCTCAAGCAGGAGCATCGAACTTCTACAGCCTGTACCGCAGTCACAACTACCATTTCAAAGTCTATGCGGCCATGTTTGCTGGCCAGTATCAGACTGCTATCGACACTGTCGCTCGGTTGGAAAGCTCGCTACCTGAAGATCTGCTGCAAACACCTAGCCCTCCAATGGCAGATTGGCTCGAGAGCTTTTTGAGCATGAGAGTACACGTGCTCGTCCGCTTCGGCAAGTGGGACAGCCTACTCGCATTACAGCTACCTACGGATCCAAAGCTTTATTGCGTGACGACAGCCATGATCAGATATGGTCGTGGGGTAGCATACGCTGCAACTGGACATGTTGACAATGCAGCAACAGAACAGGAAGCATTCCGCGCAGCTGTCTCTCAGGTTCCAGCGAGCAGGACATTGTTCAACAACACAGCTGTAGACATTCTTGCAGTCGCAACGGCAATGCTCGAGGGCGAGCTAGAGTACCGCAAAGAGAGCTTTGATGAGGCATTCGCGCATCTGCGGAAAGCTGTAGAATTGTCAGACAATCTGCCATACGACGAGCCTTGGGGTTGGATGCAGCCTCCACGGCATGCACTAGGAGCGCTCTTGCTCGAACAGGGGCACGTTGAAGAGGCCGCTGAAGAGTACAAAGCTGATCTCGGTCTTGATGATACCTTGCCTCGAGCGCTGCGGCATCCGAATAATGTTTGGGCACTGCATGGGTATCACGAGTGTTTGACGAGATCTGGGAAGACTGATGAAGCAGAGAGTGTCAAAAGGCAATTGAAAGGGCTGTCTGAGAAGTCGGATGTCAAAGTGACAAGCTCATGTTACTGTAGAGGTGCAGCGCCAAAGCTGTAAATCGCAACTTTTGACCGCCTCACATGTGTAAAACACTCTTCTTCGGAATAGCATTACTTCCGCCAAAAAGCCAAGTGCGAGCTTTTACGCCATTAGCCGCTCCGCAAGCCGTATCCTGATTGCGCGTGCCCTTTATAACAATGCATGCCCAACCCTCGCTCGAGTCGTTGTTGATTGTCCGTTGCGGAGTGCTCGGTGGATCCTCGTCATATTCCTAGTCCCACAAGAAGCCTCTGCACTTCGGCTGCCCGCAGAGACACCGCGGTTTGTTGGCATTGCGCGGATCTCTCAATGCTGCTTCTCTCAAGGCTATGGCCTCTTCGAGTTCAACCTCATCCTTGTTTCCATAGTCGAAGTTAAGCTCCGTTCCTGCAGGGATATCTTCGTATGCGAAGAAGGCCAAGCTGTAGAGCTTCAAGTCGTGCTTGTTGTACGACACAGTATATTGGCGGATGTTGGGTTCGCAGCTGTGATTCATGAAGCGTGTGATATTGCCCATGTGCTCTCCATCAACAACATACAGGTCTTCTTCCTGTAGAATTGTGTCGGTCGTTGGATCCCGATCGCCCTTGAATTTGTCAAGCCAGTACAAGTAACTGTCCTTGTAGACGCTTCCTTCACTATCCCAAGTGGCATGGTGCTCTCTTCTGTTGGCCTCGTCGTTGGTAATAACTTCTCCAAGGTAGACGTCCACGAACTCCCCCTGGATCAAGTCTTCTTCACAGTATATTCCCCAGCCGCGGTCCTTGCCGGTCTTGAAGATGACCAAGGGAACCTTTCTTCCTTTCTGCACCAGTCGAGACTTGCAAACACTACCACATTTGCAATTGGGGTTGCATTCATAAATTGGGAAATTTTCCTCCCTATAGAAGGATACCAAAGTTTGCGGAGCGCCGTTAGCCTTCGGTTTGGAGTACGGAAACCGTTTGGGGAGGCCTCTGGTATCAATACCCTCTCCAGCCTCCTCTGCAACCGTTTTCGCGACCAAATACACATCGTACTTCGCAGGATCCTTTCGCTTAAGTGCCTGCTCGTCAACGCTAGCAAATTCGAGGCATTCGCAAATTGCAGTGTATTCGCAGCCAACTCCGCCGCCCATGTCTGGTTTGCATTCTTGGCAGCCTTGGAATGTGGTGGGTTCGTCCCCTGATACTCCTTCGCCAAGAACGTAGTCCTTAATGAAGTTAAAGTTCAAACTGGGAGTCGTTGAATCGAAGTGATTCTCTAGGCGCACTCGCTTCACTTTTTGTAGCTTTTCTTCGAAAGCAAGCCGGATTGCCCGTTCTGCTTGGTCGACAGGCGTGACTGCACTCTCTTTTGTCATGTTCGGGGTAGGCAGGTTCCTCGTATTTATTACATCGGCAGTGAGGTCTGCCTTCGCGACGATGTTCCCCTCTTTGAATTGAAGGACGCCATTGTAGATCTGTGGGCCATCAACGTGCTGTGGCGCTGCTTTGGCCAGGTCGATTGCGGAAGGCGAATGTGAGCGCGATCGCATAGAGTCCTGCGGCGTTAGGAGGCCGTTTGTGCCAAGGAGCCCACGTGACAGAGGTCCATCGTCTTCAGGGGACTTTCTTTTCCGCGAGTTGTCGTAAATCGAAGATGTCCCGCGTCCGGAATGGCCGTTCTTTTCAATGTAAGACTGCACGGTGTGGAGTGACTTCCTCAAATCTGGTAAAGGATGCCAGGAGGCAATCGCGCGTGGCGGGCAAGGAAGGACGGGCTTGGTACGCCATCGGACGAGATATTCTTCGTTCTAGCTGTAATTAGCATAAAAGCGAATGTGAGTGAATGTGCATTTCTCACCCCGTTTCGTTTTCGATGGCTTAGCACTTCCACGATGTCGCCAGGTTTGATAGTATACCGGCTTCGGGAAGTTGTCGACATTCTGCCCAAATTAAGTAGTTTGCTCCCTTAATAGTTTATAAAGTCGACGCGGCATAGTTTTGCGCGTAAAAGGAGGTCTTTAAGGTAGTAAGTAAGCTATTTAGAAGCTTAGAGATTAGTTTAGAGAAGTCGAACGCGTCGATTAAGGTTTGCGCTAGCGAGCGGCTCATTGAGTCACGTGCAGTTTAGTATAGACATCGCTCTAATTAATTAAAGAACTAAATTGAAGAGACTCGGACAAATTCCGAAATGTTATTATTCGGTTCTGCCACTTGAATAAGAGGCTAACATCGATTTCTTTCTCCTGGAAAACTGCGCGAAAGATATTGCCGCAATACACGAACGCACGTGCCATAGAGTGAGCTGTGCATCTCCAGATCTTATCGCCGAAGATCAACGAGCTTGACTTCGAAAAAGTTCTCGAGTGCAAGCATCGCATCGCGCATCACCTGCACGACAGCTTCCGACATGGCTGCCACCAAAGTGCACAAGGGCTCAGAGTCGAACCCCTTCATCAAGCAACTCGCGTCAAGTGGTAAGCTCGATCACTTACATTCGTCTTCTTCCCACCTCCTGACCGCCTGCAGATCGAAGCATTCGCGATCGCGCCCTTTCCTCACTTCGCACCTACCTCTCACGCTCCGCAGCCTTCACACAACTGGACCTGCTGAAGCTCTGGAAGGGCCTACATTACTGCATGTTCATGTCCGACAAACCACGAAATCAGCAACGACTTGCCCGCGACTTGGCTGCCCTCACAGATGTTCTCGCCCAAGAGAATGTGCTTCCGTGGTTGCAGGCATTCTGGAGGACGATTGCCCGAGAATGGGGCTCCATTGACAGTCTGAGGATGGACAAGTACTTGTATCTGGTGAGGTGTTATGTGAACAAGGGCTTCGAGATCTGTGCCAAAAAGACGTGGGAAGTGGAGCAATACCTGAGCATATTGGGAGAAGATGGGGGTCCATTGAGCATCAGGGATGTGAAGGTGCCGGTCGGGCTGAAGTTACATGTGCTGGACATCTGGGTGGACGAGTTAGAGAAAGTGGACTCGGATAAAAATGCTGCACCTGTCGAGCAAGTCATGAAGCCAGTCAGGAAGTTGCAGAAGGAGAGCTTAGTCAAAAGTGTGAAGCAAAGGGCCAAGGAAAGCCTAGAAGATGAGAGACTCTTTGAGGGAACAAGATGGAGGACAGGCGAAGACCCCGATGCGAATGAGGCCACGGGCTCCGCCCACGAGGACGAAGAGGATGGCGATATTGTGGGCGGCGACGATTTTGGTGGGTTTGACGACTGAGCCCGATTCATAACAACAGACTGGAACGTCAGCGCGTCGAGCGTCCTGGCAAATGTCGACGCGAGACGAAATAGTTCACGATGCCATGTGGCTCGAGGATTGGGAAGTGATGAGTCACGAATGTGGAGGACCATGATCGAGATATCACGTTTCAGGAGCGCACATCATTCTAAGGCACAGCGAAGCACCAAATCAGCACCAGGAATGGACCCGGAGCACTCACTCCAGGAGAGCGGGAACCATGCCAGCCTGGACGGAATACGATTGCACGCTACCAACTTGGCACAATGGGACCCAATGACAACACAATCTATGTTCATTTCTTCCTGCCATTGTCCGGCTTATATGGACCTCGAAGCCAGTCTCGTCTCATCCCAACTCCGCTCGCGATACCAATTGCGGCGTTTTCCCGTAGTCCGAGAGCTGGTAGATCGAGGCTTGCTTGCCTCGACCATTTATGTATTCAATCGGCATGTGCTCAACATATCGCGGCAGGTGATGCGCTGGCATCGACTCCGGGAAAGCTGCATTTGCTGCTGGATTCTGTCGCGACTTTCTCATCCTCAAGCCGATGAATGCCCCTGCAATCAACAGAAACGGTACCCCTAAGCCGACTCCCAAGCCGATGCCAATCTTCAGCGTAGGAGACAGTGAACCTGCACTACCTTCGCTCCGAACGTCTTGGCCATTCGCTACGGCCGTGGTATTAATGGCTTCCGCAGCTCGACTAGCAGAAGGAATCGCCGCGGTGCTACTGTCAACACTGCTGCCGACAGTTTCACCACCAGACTGCAAGTCATCTTCGATTCCTGCTGTTATATTGAAGTAGTGCGAAGTAATACCGTCCGGTCTGTTGGGCTTGAGCCAGAAGAAGTAGATGGGCGAGAACGTGAGGTTGGACGTGTACAACTGGACATCCCAAGACGTGGAATGCGCACCACCGCCAGTTCCTGCTATTGCAGTGTCTAATATACCCGTCAGTGGCCGTTCTTTGCAGGGTGCGAAGGGCTTCAACTAACCATAGACCGTGCTGATGCTGTATGCATAAGACGATTAGGGATTCTGCTGCCACAGTTCTATGCGGTAGGACGTTACATTCGTCGTCCAGCTTATACGCTGACTGCTGTTCAGTCTCCAGACTGGGTTGCCATCGTAGACTCTCGATGGCCCTGGTCCTGGGGGAGTGATGAATATGCTCTCGTCGTTCTTGCGGGGATGTAAGGATGGACTCGATAGGGAAAGCAGCGTGAACGACCACGGGGAAAACATGTGATGCAGCATTCAGTGAAACGACGGACGGCGATAAAGTTAAAACGAGGAAGACACTTTGAACCTCTCACACAGATATTTGAGCAAGCGCTGGCGAGCAACAATCGGAAGCGCTGCTACGCCGCACATGTGCAGCTTCGCTACTGAGAGTATCGGTCTCTCGTTGCGGGACATGGCGCTTAGATCATGAATAACAGACAGAGTCGCGACTCCACAATGTGCTGAACAACGACGAAGTTGGACCATAACCGCGCAGCAAGGCATGCGGCGCGTCGGAAGCTCGCTTGTGCCAGTTCGGCAAGGATTCTGCCACTCATATCGCACACGGCTCAACTTCGTATTCACTTCCCTGTCCGCTTGTGGAGCTGTCGCCGGCGACGTGCCGCAATTGCTGTGCCAGATCGCTTGTTACATGATGGGCCACGCTCATCACCATGGTTGAAAGGTAAGGCTGTTCTGCCTCTTCGTCACCCTTTCAGTCTTGCTCGCACCATGGTCTATGGGTTATTAGACACCCGGTCGTTGGCCGTCCGGACATCGCTCGCAATTGCCGGACTACTGACCATCGCCTTCCTGATCGCGAGCTTGACCAGATCATACAATCCAATATCTATTACCGCGCACACCAACTATCTGGGGAGAAATCAGGCCGCTAGCCTGAACGATGTGCTTAACCAGACTCTTGGCGTACGATATCCTTCGATCTCCATTTTCACACCCTACTCACGAGGCGTAGTTCCAAAAGATATTCGTCATCAACCTACCCTCACGAACCGACCACAGAGACTCGATGTCACTTGCTGCCGCCTTGACGCCCGGTGGCCTGAGGCTAGATTACGCCGACGGAGTGACGAACGTTTCTCGGAAAGCACTGCCTCCCGGAGGCGACAATCCCAAGCATAAGTCAGGCATTATAGGGGCTTGGAGAGCGCATATCAATGTGCTCCGCACAATAGTAGAGCAAAACATCACCTCTGCGCTAGTTATGGAGGGGGACGTGGATTGGGATGTGCGCATCAAGTCGCAGATGTACGATTTCGCTCGCGCATCGAGGCTACTTGTGCAGCCAGGAACAGAAGATGAGACAACCGAGTTGAACGATGACTTGTCGAATCTGCCACTTTCGTCGCCATACGGAGATACTCAGCATTGGGATGCGCTGTGGTTAGGGCATTGTGGCACCGAATTTCCCAAAACCGACTCAAGAATCCGCAGTGGTAGAGTTGTGATACCAAATGACGAGACTGTGCCTGAGCCTCAGCACTTCGACAAAGAATGGGGCAGTGATGCTCTCATCAGGGAATATCCGGAGCATACGCGCGTCGTCCATCGCGCACGGATGAATGTGTGCTCACTGGCCTACGGTGTTTCCCAACCAGGAGCACGTCGACTTCTCTATGAGCTTGGAATCAAGAAAATGAATGCCGCAATGGACATCATGTTGCGACAGGCATGCGATGGAAGCGCTGGCAGAGCACGACATAATTGCTTGACTGTAACGCCCCAACTCTTTCAACATCACAGGCCTATCGGCTCGAAAGCTAGCTTCAGCGAAATCGAGGATCATGGCGAGGGAGTCAACGACTTTGCGTACACCCGCAATATCCGATGGAGCACAAAAATGAACTTCGACAAACTGCTGAGCGGTGAAACAGATTATGTCGACCTGTGGCAGGACGGTGCACCAGCCAATAAAACTGCATTTCCGTGAGCTTGTATTGGAACGAATGAATGTTCAGTTGGTGGAAGATACCGAAGGCCTGTGACTTACAGACAACCAAGCATGAGACGAAGCAAGTCTGCGCCGCTGCGTGAGCCAGCAATTATGCTTCTGGTCCGGATGCTACGATGCGCTACGCAAGATGTAGTGAATGCTGAATTCGTGCTCACTTGCTGAGTCAATCACTCGCATGTTGAAAGCCAAGTTCCAGCAGTCTGGCATTCGAGCCTGGAGATCCTGTCACGGCAGCCATTGCTGGAATATGCCCACAGAGCATGCTCGTCTAGTTCACGATCTCCGAACGAGCAGCGTGCACTGGTGAGCAGCTCAGCTAACTGGTGAGCACGATCCATAGAAGATCGATGGGTACAAATTGACCTGCAGGGCCCGAGGCGGCGCGAATTGCATCTGTGGTATGCAGCCAGGATTCAACATTCTCAGATGTAATGATGATGCATAAGACGCAGCCTATAGCTAGCCACTTCTCTGTAAGTCCACCTCCGGCTTGTTTCTGGACTTGCTCGAGTAGTTATCATTCGCAGTCGTCATGAAGTAGCAGTGTAGAAGGTACAGGAAATTTCGAAGAGTACAGAAGAAGGAAAAACTGGTTAAGAAGCAAGTGACGTCTACCACCATAGCGTTGTCCACGAGGTGAGGTAGCAGCGCCACCCACGACAAAAAGCATAGGCAAACGATTATAGCTTCCTCTGCCGCACACTGCAAAGCTGCTCGGGCAGAATCGCAAGCGCAAAGGCTGACCCCTGTTCGTTAGTTTTGAAGATAAGCTATGGCGGCCCCAGTTTTGATCGCCGAGCATCTTGAGGCGGTAGGCGGTCAGAAGGCATCGAGGGAATGTACAATGCTGGCCAGCTGCTTTGAAAGACGGCCTGCCAGCGCCTAGATTTACAGCCAATATGAACGATAACTGTTTGTCTGTATAGAGTTCCGATCCATGCTCAAGGACGAACGTTGACGTCCAGCGATCCTGGGGTTTGTGGTTGGTTTGTGGTGGCGTCCGTTGTGAGTCTTGGCTCCCCGCGCGAATGAAAAACCCTTCGCATGACGTCCTGCAAGGTTTTTCCTTAGCCGCATCCACTTTGCCGTTTTGTTCACGCGTTTCGCGCCGGCGTGGTATATACGTCGGCAGCGAGGCCATCCTTGACGAACGCCCGCTCTCGACCGCAGTGCTCTTTCCATGGTACACCACTCATCATTGCTTGCGTTTTGCTGCTAAGCGTTCAGCATTGTCCTTGACTGTACTGGATCCGGCTATTGTAGGTATCCGAAACAATATACGAACCGGTGTGGATCCCTACTAGACGTTCGGAAGACCAGAAGGTAGACCAATGCATTGGGTTGCAATGCTATAGATAAGAACATACACAAGACATAAACAAGAATCTGCATCATGGAGCGCACTACTACATCAACAAGTCAATTCGCCAACGACCCCTACACCTGGGATGGTCTCACAGGATGGAAGAGTTACCGGACCCTAAGGCCCTTCCGTGGCATGTACCACGACGTTCGACGACGACTGCCATACTACTGGAGCGATATCACGGACGGCTTCAACTATAGAACCATGGCAGGAACAGTGCGCATATTCTTCGTCAACCTGCTTCCCGCGATTGCCTTCACATTGGACATGCAGCGAAGGACTGATTACTTCTTCGGCATTAATGAAGGTCTCTTCGCATCAGCGTTGGCGGCATTCGTGTTCAGTCTGTTCTCCGCCCAGCCTTTGACTGTGGTCGGCGTAACAGGTCTGATCTCCCTGTTCAATTACACCACTTATGATATCTGCGAATCGCAAGGAATTGTCGAACTTTACCCACAGTTCATCGCCTGGGTGTCGATTTGGGCCGCAATTACGCACTGGATGTCTGCTATCTTCAACTGGTGCGACTACATGCGCTATATCACTGACTTCAGTACCAATTCTTTTGGCATGTATGTGTCAATCATCTATATGAGTGAGTTCTATCGTTCCACGGATGATCGGACGTCTATTAATGTGTTCACAGTCAAGGGTGTCGAGGAACTTGTGTCCAACTTCGACGGCAACAGCCCAGAGGCGGGCTACCTCGGAATTATCATTGCTTTATGCTTCTGGGCTACTGTGTGGTGGCTCGAAGGCATGGGTAACACAATTTTGTACCGATCTTACTGGCGAAAACTGTTGTCCGACTATGCCTATCCAATTGCCACTATCTTTTGGACTGGGTTCTCGCACATTCCGGGCCGAATCAAAGACGCCAATCTCCCTAGAGTTCCTCACACAAGAGCCTTCTACCCAAGTCAGGACCGCTCTTGGCTCATTGACTTCTGGAACCTGGAGGCGCGATATGTCTTTGCAGCAATGCCAATTGGAATCCTCCTCACCCTTCTCTTCTACTATGATCATAATGTCAGCTCCTTGACTGCACAGGCCAGGCAGTATCCGCTCAAGAAGCCCGCCGGCTTCCACTGGGATTTCTTCTTGCTCGGGATCACATGCTTCATCGGTGGTATTATAGGCATCCCTTTGCCCAATGGTCTCATTCCTCAAGCACCTGTACACACCGACTCTCTCACGGAGTACCAAGATGTCCTCACGGTCACCAAAGAGAAGCAAGAGGACGATCCAGATTCCGAATGGGTTTCTCGCTATCATAAGAAGATCGAACCTGTGGTGGTGAGGGAGCAGCGCGTCTCGCATATCCTCATGACTCTCGGTCTAGTCGGCGTCATGACCGGCCCGCTCCTGGTCGTATTACATACCATGCCTCTTGGTCTCTTCGGTGGTGTCTTCTTCGTCGTTGGCTTTAGCGGCATTCCAGGATTCAACATCACTCAAAACGTCCTCTACTGCATGAATGAGAAGCGGTTCACGGACCCCAACGATCCACGCAACACCCTGACTAAGCGACGCATCATGTACTACACATCTTTCCAGATCATCGGGGTGGCAATCAGCATCGCTATCTCCCAGACCATTGCGGCCATCGGCTTCCCTATTATCATCACAGCACTGATTCCAATCCGATGGTGCATCTTGCCGAGAATCTTCACAGAACATGAACTCATGGTTCTGGACTCACCTACTGCCGATGCGGATGTCGTATTGTGCTCCATGGGTGGTCAACCAGAACGCCCTGAAGTGAGAATGGCAAAAGAAAAGCGTCGTCATCGCGGCAGCGACGAAGAGGGCGTGGGCAGCGGTTTCTCTACCGCGGATGCTACACCTGGAATGCGATCACGAGATAAGTTTGGCAAAGACGACGAAGAGTTAGAGGAGGAAGAAAGGGAGAAGAGAAGGGAGGCAGAGGGCATTCATCCAACGCCTCATACTGGTCATAATTAAGCGCAGCACGATGTGGATACTGTAAAGAACCAAGAATGTCTGATGCTTTTTCGCAACACCTGCAGCATCCAAATTTGCATTCGTCCTCACATGTTACATCATTGCTCATGAAATGCTTCGATCGACTAACATTTTCTCACCGGGATCCAAACTCGGCCGGCAGTGTTCGCCTATTGGAGGTTGGAAACTAGTTGATCTCAAACCACTGAAATGGAGAGCAGTGTAGAGCAGGTTCACATTAAGGCGGAAAGTATGCTCTCGTTCGATTTCGCAATGGTCGGAGTATTAAGCCGTGCCGCCTCTTGCAACTGAAGAGAACGAACACCCCGTCCAAATACTGCACAGCTCCGCGGACCTTGGTAATGCAGCCTCCTCCGTCACTGCTACTGTCCATGCCAAGGCGCATAGCTCGGAGAGGGAGCATACACGACTCCGACGATATGAATTGGCGACACATCTCTAGCAGGCACAGGAAGTGCTCTGCTGCGTCTTCACCAGCAAGTAAGCCTTTTAGAAACAGCAATTGCAACGTCTGCCCTCATTTGGAATGCACAGAAACCGGAAAGACAACACTTCCCAATGTACTCGCCTTCCCTTCGTTACCAATGCATCGATTTGAAAACACCATGCATGCAAGAGATCCCGGGACACGAAGATCTGCAGTCTTGGTGATAAGTTAGGCGACATGCTACTGCTAGTTTGCTGCGAACAATCCATCGTGCCTTGTCTCTCATGCTAGAACATGCCTGGAAATGCCAATGGCAACACAGCAGGACGCCGGGAAAGTCGGCGCCAAGACAGATGGGAGGCCTAACTACGTCTTCCATTCTGTGATCGACGAAGCCAAAGTTCAACGTGCAGCCACGTGCAATGCTGTCTTCCACCCAATGCCATGACCGACCTTCCAGTTTCGGAAAGCGCGGGAGCATCCATCACTTGCACAGCACGCTTTCACGCCTCGTGTTTGTGCGCCGCGCGGAGTAAGGGGATCCTTCTCGCTTGATAGTTCTCGGGCCAAGTGTTATAGCCAGGCAGCTTGCCATCACCTTGCGTTCGAAATCATGAACGGCCTCGAGATCTTCACTGTCGACTGAGCACTTGGCGGCATGTTTATGCGCAGAGTGCAGAGCTGATCATCGAGGGTGGGATAATGGAGGCGAGGAGGTGTGGGCTGGGAGAGGATATAAAATGCTCGATATTCGTCGTCGTCGATTGATCTCCTCAGTATACCTATATTCATCAGCTCAGTCGCAGACATCCAGCCAGAACATTACTTTTACCCTTCAAGCTCATCAAAATGCAGTTCACTATCCTGTCCAGCGTACGTTGATATCCCAAGTATCCTGAAGCCCAGTACACTGACGTCTCTTACAGCTCATTGCCTTCGGCACTCTCGTAGCTGCTCAGGCAACAGTTAACATTGCGACCTTCTCGGAGCCTGGTTGCAGCAATGGACAAACCTTCAATGGGTCAGCTTTGAACTGCCCGCTGCTGTGCTTGTTTGGACCAGCTGTAATGCTAACGTACACAGGTTAATTCAACAATTTGTCTGCAACAATGCTCAAGTGCGATCTCTGAACATCCAACCAGGCACGGGCGACTCAAACGGGTGCTTCGTCGAGACGTACCAAGATTCGAACTGCGGCATCTACCAGAGTCGCATTGGTCCTCTCTCTGGAGGTCTCTCAAGCTGCATCGGCCAGAACAACCCCAACACAGGCGAACCCCAGGATGCCTTCTCCTTCAGGTTGCTCTGCTAGATCTGTGAATTGACGGAACCAGGTGGGAAGATCTTCGAGTGATTGCGGAGGATACAAAGGCACGTTCGAAAAGGCCATATAGTGGACCAAAGGGTCAGATAAGACATATAGCCATACTCACTATCAACATATCTGCTCACTTTCGTGCCGCCGCTGCTGCCTCGGCGAATGATTTGCGTATGGCTCCGACATCGTTCACAACGTTGATGAGGTTGAAGCGTCTGTCCGCAAACGTTTTCGCCTGTTCTCCACTGCCAGTGTAGATACCGGTCCACTTGCCGGCAGCTTGTGTCTCCTGGTGAATCTTCTCGATTGCTTGCTCAAGTTCGGGTGCATATACTCCGATATTCTCTGGTGGATGTCCAATGCTGTTGCCAAGATCGACTGGTCCAATGAAACAAACATCAATGCCGTCTATTGCTGCGATCTCTTTGATCTGCTCGAGAGCTGCGGCGGTCTCGATTTGCACGATGACGAGGATGCTATCGTTCGCTTCCTTGAAGTATTGACTGAGGCTAATTTCATTTATGTCTCCGGTCTTTCCAGGGGCGAACTTTTCGGCCGCAAAAGGCGATCCAAGCCCACGATTTCCAAGGGGCGGGAACTTGCTGTACTTGACGACGTTCTTGGCATCCTCGACAGATTGAATCAGCGGTACGATAATTCCATGAGCGCCAGCATCCAGCGCCCGCTTGATCATCCAGTGCTGTCCTTCGGCTACGCGTACGACTGGAGAGACACCGCAAGCAGCGATTGCGGCCACGCTGTCACTACGAGCAGCAGAACATAGTGAGTATTGGTCACAGCTGTGCTTGTATGCTGCCATTGATCGTACTCACTGCATATCAGCATCGGCGATATTGCCGTGTTCGCCGTCCACAACGACGAAATCGAGACCAGGAGTGCGTGCAATGGCTCGTGACAAGTTAGCACCGGGTAGCATCTGCCATCCACCGAAGCTCGGTTGGCCGGTTTTGAGAGCTTTTTGAAGGCGGTTCGCTGCTTGCATCTTGATTGTTTAGTGGCCTATCCTGGACTGTGGTTCAATGTGCGGCCCGCGTAACAGACAGCAGGATTGCAGCGGCAGTGTAATGTGCAGCTGGAAGCATTGGGTTGTCTGAGGGGTCCAGCCCCACCCTCGGCCAAGTGGCAGTCTGATGGACGCATAGCAGCATAGCAGCGTGCGTACTGCTACATCAGACGCGTTCAAGCTCGTCCATCACCTTCTCCAGCTGTTGCTCGGTGAAGCGATGTTTGAGCTTCCGAGCAGCGGCTGTCGTCTCGCCATTCTGCGTGGCCAGCGTGGCCGTGCGATCGACGTGGACCTGCCAGCGAGTCAGCCGGGGCGATAATGGTTCAGTGTAGGTCTTCTACACACCACAGGAATGTCGTGGACGTAGAGCTCCTTCCATCGCTTGTTCTCTTCAGCCAGGATGTCGACTTCGCGGTACTCAAAATGGCGGCGATCCCAGACGCGACTCATCACGCTCTTCACGTCGACGCACAGGCTGCAGTGGTCGTGGGTGAAGAGCGTCAAGCGCAGACTGTGCTGCAGTAGACGCGATGCCGCGCGCATTGTGTTTACTGTGCGGCGTGTGCAATATCAGTATCGACTTGAAAGAGGGCGTGGCGCGGCGCGTCTTCCAGCACTGCACCCGTCTCGCGAACATGACGTCGCTTCGCGGGACCACGCTGCGACCTTCTAGAATGTTTCGTGGAACTTCTGCCACCAGGCACATTGACATCCCCTCTTCACCCCACTGCTCCTCGCATCATCATTGAAAGACGTGTAGAGATACAGCATCGCGGATCGCCATGGCCTCCAAGTGCGTGCACAAAGGCTGCGGCAAGACCTTCACCGATCCTGAAGAGCCATGCCACTACCACCCTGGGTAAGACGCCATTTTCGAACTTTCGTTTCTTGAAGTCGGCTCAGCGCTGATGGCCTGACCAAGACCCCCCGAGTTTCACGAAGGCCAGAAGGGTAGGTCTGTCCCCCACAATGTCGTCAAAGCTACCTTGATGCCTCGCAGAGGCGTTCTGCGAAGACCCAAAAACTGACACACAACTTAGGCTGGAAGTGCTGTAAAGCTCGCGTGCTCGAATTCGATCAGTTCATGAAAATACCTCCCTGCACCACGGGCAAACATTCGACTGTCGACGATCCCCCTACTGTGGTCGAGCCGAAACAGACGGACGAGGAGCTCGAGGCCAAAATTCGAAACGCAGCCCCCAAAGCACAGCCCAAGCAAGACGAGAGCTCACTTCCACCGCCCGTCGCACGCGCTCCAATCGCAACATCAGCTTCTCGCGCTTCGCCCAGTCCTGCTCCTCCCGAACAAGAAGATGATGATCCTAGCATTCCAGTGCCGGACGGAGCGACGTGCAAGAGAAAGTCATGCGGTGTAAAGTACAAGAGCGGAGACAATCGTGACGAGGAAGAATGCGTACATCATCCGGGACAAGCTCTATTCCACGAGGGCAGCAAAGGGTGGACATGCTGTAAGTCGGGCTGGAACCAGGAATTTGAATATGGTTATCGCTAACGTGGTTTGCAAGGCAAGAGACGTGTCCTGGAATTTGACGCATGGCTTAAAATACCAGGCTGCAAGACAACATCGCGGCATCTCTTCGTAGGTAAGGCAAAGGAGGCTGGTACAGAGGAGGCCCTGAAGGAGGTGCGGAACGACTTCTACCAGACCGCGGCTACAGTCATCGCCTCGCTGTATCTAAAGAAGATCGATAAGGAGCGCTCGAAGGTGGAATTCAGCGCCGATGGGACCAAGGTGGAGCTCGATCTGCACACAAGCGACGCAAAGAGGTATCAGACGAGCATGGTGCTCTTCGGAGAGATCAAACCCGCTGAGAGCAAATTCAAAATCATGGGCACCAAGTTGGAGTTGACGCTGGCGAAAGCGGATGGCCAGGGCTGGCCCGTCCTCAGGGCGGACGATCCGCATACGGGGGAGATTATTCAAGCAGGTCGAGCTGGACGAGTGTGAGCGCTCGACACGACAACGCGGAACATGTGATGAGAGATGGTTGTCAGCAAGGGTACGCGTGCTAGCGCACTGCACATGCGACGTATCGTGGTGCCACGCTGAGTAACAATCCGAGCCCTGAAACAGCAGCAAGCGTGAGCCGGATTCGCACCACAGTTCGTGCAGCTGAGGAAAGAGCCGATTTGCTACATCTGTAGGAAGTCCTGGGTCGAGGCTGCCGCAGATTACAGGACAGTCGTCGTCTTCCTTTGCGCCTGCTCATACCAAGTCACTTGCGGACCCTCAAGCTACGCAGCCACTCTTCTGTAGCCGGAACAATCACAAACGCATTGCAACACAAAAATCACGGAGCTTTGCACATTGTCCTTACAGCCAGTCACCACAAAAAGTGTTCACGCCCCGCGGAGCGCGGGACTCCAAGCCCTGACTACCACCTGCGACAAATCTTGGAGTCTAGTTCAATATGTGCTTGTACGACAACATCAGATACATCTGCAGCGACGAAGAGCACACACTGGCGGAACTGTGCGATGCCGCCACCGGGCAATGTGCCCAGCTTCGATGCGCTCCACACATTCGACATGTGCTGTTCTCCACCTCAGTCTGCGATCTCTGCGGCATTGCTTGGGAGCAAAGTGCTCTAACCGAGGACGCCTACGATCAAATAATCACGCCATTGCTGGCTTCCGATAGAAAGAGGAGTTGCGAAACTGGCAGCTATTTCCCGACCGATGCTCTGTTCGTCGCTTCTCCTCCCAACACACCGATGCGCCGCTTGTCGCTAGGGCCGTCGCCCACGCCTTCCGAAGTCGCGACTCCAATTGAGGAAGTGTCGGAGGGCATGTTCAATCTCAACATTGCACTGCCCATGCTACCGGACACGATTCTCACTGGTGCTCCCTTCGAACGCTCACCAAAGATCTCGCCGTCCGACGAAGCCCTCAGCGAGCCGAAAAGCTCTCACAATCACAAAGACAAATTGCAGAACGACTTGCCGTCAGCGTCGCTCATTGGCACATACGAAACGACCGCTCATCGCAGGCGTGACTCTTGAGCTCCACGCCACAAGGCCGCTGTTGCACCTTCCATGCCATCATTTCATGAGTATGAGAATGAAGAAGCCTTGCTGGAATCCATCAGGCAGACTCCTGGCAACCGTTCAACCATGGAGGACCGACAGAAGCTTGATCTCCATGACAAAAGCACGATCGTCATTTTTGAAGTTGGCGACATAGAAAGCACTTCGAGTAGTGCTACAGGAGAGACAAAGCAAGTTCCAGGGCTTGAGGAAGATCACAAGCGCAGCGGTAACATTTGTGCGCATTTCATGGATGGTAAAAGCACTACTCTTCAGTCGATCGATGCAGGCATCCCTGGTCTGGATTACAGAAAAATGGATATCTCAGTACAGTATGGCTCAGCGCCCAGACAAATGAATGAACAAAATTACCACGACACTCCAGTGCCTTTCTTCCAAGGCACGATTCTGTCGCAGTTGGGCGATTTTCTGATGGCCCACGACCTTCAAGAAGACCTGCTGTGGGCCCTACACATCTAGCAGACTCAAGAACTCGCCGATTGCGACACTGTCATTCCTTCACGCATATTCACATCCATGGAGGACCTTCGCCAATGGAAATACTTTCTCCTCTGCCGGCATTGCAAAAGAGCTACGCGCGGCCGTTCTCAGCGCCGTTTGAGCCTCTTCGACCCAAGCTGGTCCTTGCAGCACTTCGTCTCCCATAGTGAAGACGTGCTACCTGCGCTGGAAAGCCGAGGGAAAGCGGCCAACCAGGCAAATGCGAAGACTTGGATGGCTCGTGCAGAAGAGCAGAGCTCGAGATCACTTTACCAAGCTTGCATAGCCCGGGAGTTGAGTACAAAGAACACGCATCTCGATGTTTGGTGGACACATGTTCTGGCACCAAGATTGCTTCTTTTCATGCACAGAACAGATCTGGCCGATGAACTCCTACAGTACATGGTCAAACAAGGCGCCTTCAAAGTACGATCTCTTGTCCCGGCTCACCTACTCCGTGAGACTGGCCCAGTGCGTGGAAATAGGCAGCACGAGCAGATGGCGTCGTCCGGTTCCGCGAATCTGCGAAGCAAAAAAGGTCTTGATGCAGGCACCCCGCCTCTCGATCGGAGCAAAGTGGAAGGGCCGGCGGAGAGTTTCAGACCTGAAGGGAAGCATGACGATGAGGAAGACAGATTGCTCGGTCTGTTTGTTGAAGTCTCTCGCTTATCGGTACAGCTCACGACTCGCATGGCAGACATGGATGAGCTGAAGTCCGTATACTTGGGCCCATCGAAGGAGTCACGTGCAGCCAGCGCCATACTCGAGAGTCAGCAGGGACGTCTGATGACAGAGGGTCCGTTATCGTCGGAACAAGATATGGCGAACGGACGCAGAGGCCAGAATGTGCCGATCTGGAGAGTAGATCCATGGAAGAAACCGTGGCAGGCCAAAGGATGGAGCAATGGATTTCGACCAGACCAGAAGCCCAAGAACACTACTGCTGCAAGTCGCAAGATCGAGCTGCGAGATATCATAGCAAGCATGGGATGAAGTGTAGCGGTTGCGAATGCGCTTTGGGTCCAGCATTCGTATATTTGTGCAAATGCTATTGCGATGACACCTTTAGTCCCGCACTTCCTGTTCCTTACATGGCTTTATTCTTCCTCAACTAGGCTGATGCGAATTCGTGCATAGTAATGTCGTGGAGCCAGTCGAGAGGTTCTTGCTCGGGAGAACGATGCGTGGGCGTTTCGTGAAGAACGGCGAACCATCTAGTCGTATAACTGGTCGGTCTAATCGTGTTCGTGTGTATCAGTCCCCTCTCCAGTCACGCACTCAAGCACACGCATCGATCTTCGATCTTCTTGCGTGCATTCCAACTTTTCATTCCCCGCATCACCCCAATTTCTGCAAATAGCCCTGCCTCACCAACCCTTCTACATCTCCCGCCCGAACATAGAATTGACTGTTCTTGGTCAAATTGATACTGCCGTACTCGGTCTGAATCTCTCCCGCGTCTTTGAGGACTCGAACGTCAATGAAAATATCCCGGGGAGGGTCCAGACTTCCCGTGAGATCGATATCGGACCATTGGCCTTTGTACGCGGAGAGCAGAGTAGAGTACGCGTGAGCGTATTGCTCTTCTTCGGCAGAAAGACTCGATGTGGCGTTTGCAGAAGAAGTCGCGCCTCCGGAGTTATTGCCATTGCCGTTGGCATTGTTGGAATTCGTCCCGCCATTCGCATTCGAATTTGCATTTGACGCATTAACCAATTCCGTGACATCTACACCTTCCCAGCAGAATTGCTCGAGTTTGTCCGTGCGGGTTTTGTGGTATGCGAGGAGACAGCGTTTATTTCTTCGCATGCTGAGTTGGTTTACGAGTAGAGCGCAGGCGAGGCCGGGGTCGTCTGCGGGGTTGAAAGAGGATTTGAGGCCTTGGGATTGAGAGCCATTGTTTGAGGTGTCTTGGGAGTCCGGGATCGCGTATGGGGCGAGGAGCGCGCCAATTTCGCGATCGAGGTCGCGGACTTCTTTTGTTACGGCTCGCACTGCGGTTGTGTTGTAAGGTGGGAGATGTGGTAGGTTTTCTGTGCGTTTGGCGTCGACTGCTAGTTTGGCGCCTTGTTCGGCGTACATTTTGAGAGTTTGGCAATTGGTGATGAAGAAGTGGTGGAACGGAGTGATGTTCAAGTCGCGTGAGAGAAATTGTGGGGCGGTTACAGTTTGGTGGTAGGTGGGTTCTTAAAAGTTTCATGAGGCACTCATCAATATCACGCTGAATTGCCGACGACGCATCAAGTAGTAGTCGACATATCAAGAACGAAAACAGGCAAGTGAAGTCGACGTGATAGAAGGGCAAAGTACGAGCTCGCCATTATGGCCAAAAGGACCGAGTTCGCTCACATGTACTGATGAGCTGCCTGCGCAACAGGACTGGCCTACTACCATGCCATGCTTAGTCCGTCTGCTACCCTGAAGATGAGATCAATGGCAACAGCTTGATCCTGAGAAGTACTGCCACACTTGAGAAGCGTCAAACCAAGTTCAAGTAAGAGTTAGATCCAACGATTTGACAGTCTTATCGACTGTTTCCTGCGAATGCTCAACGCGAAACTTCATCCCCTCTACTCTGCTCTGCGTTGGCAGACGCAACATCTTGCGTGCCCTGCCAACCTTGCATTCCCATTTGGGAGGTATCGAACCCGTGTGCTTCCAAGTACTCTCTGAATCGCGTATCCTCCTTCTCGATGGTATCTTGATTGATGGTTGGTAGAAACCAGACTAAGAATGCCGAAAGAAAGCATAAGCTGGAGGCAACGAAGAATGGATATTGGCCGCCCCGAATGGTATCGGCCCCGCCACCGGCATTTTGGATATATGGGAAGATGTATTGACCTATGAAGGCCCCGATTTTGCCACATGCGGCGGCGATGGCGTAATATTGGCCTCGTATTCCGGTCGCGCTCGATTTCGATGCAACAAGGCCAATGTTGTCGCCCGGGCCCATTTCCCCTAGCGCAAGGAAAATGCCATAGACAACCACAAAACCAGCGATGTTTTGTGGCATTTTCAAATATTCGTAACATCCAGACATTATGAATCCAACGGCACCTTGGGCGGCAACGAAGACCATCAGCGCACGACGCGGTCCCATCTACGAGACAAAGTCAGTATGAATTGCAAGGATGTGATAGGCAACTCCTACCCAATCAGAAGTAAAGCTTCCGAGGATGGCACCCGGTACGTAGAAGAAGTTCACTAAGGTGGAAAATCCAAACGTTTCCCACAGCGCTGCTTCAGGCCGAAGGACGGAGATCCTTTTTTAGAAAAGTCAGTAGACCGTTGGCAGACGCGAATAGCATAATGTGACCTCGAACGAAAGGGGTTAGCTGCTTGGCTGTTTCGGCTGGCTGGAATTGGAGCAGTCGGCTGCTCTGCCATGTGCAAATCGCCGTAACGCATCAGTAGACGACAAAAGCCTTGAGCCAGCTCGCAGATTGTCACCATCCGCTGCGCAGACTCGCAATACCACGCAACTTACCAAACTGATGAGAACAAGCCGAAGGCATATGCCAAGAAATCGTAGATAAACCAGATGCCAGCTGTCAGAGCTAGGCGCGGTCCATAGAACTTAAGTGCCAACCAGTATGGGGTTTTCACCTTGGTGAAAGATTCTCGAGAGAAAGACTCTGGTTCCTGTAGCTTTATACGGAGGTACAACAGGCTGAGCGGAGGGACGACACCGAGACCTAGAGATAGACGCCAGACAAGGCCCAGGTTGTCCGGAGCGATTCGTGTGATAATCGTGGGCACCAGGGCTCCCATGACGAAACCAAAGTCAATTTGAGTGTTGGTGAACAAGCAGAACCATCGGTTGCGGTGGCCCTCCTTCAATTCACCTGTCGATTCCGCGCAGCCGACGGAGCCGGCCGGGTACTCTCCACTGAGTACAAGTCAGAAGGGAACGCAATTATCTGCATGTGTAGTACTCACCCGATCCCGATACCTAGCAGGAAACGGTAAGCAGTGAGGGCGGCGATCAAGCCTCCCAGCGTGCCGCCAGCACCATAGGCACCCGCGCCAAGAGCAGCGAAGACGATGAGGATGATTGTCGAGACCAGAAGCGACCATTTGCGAGAATAGTGGTCACTCGTATATCCAAAAACCAGCTGTCCGAGAACTGTACCAGCAAAGGCGATGGCCGTGACATTGGAGGCAGCATTGCTGCTGGTGTAGCTCGTTCCGTAAATGGTCCTAAGACAAGTATTCACAGCCTGTGCGTGAGGAGCGGGAAGTGCAGATCGGAAGAAGGCAGTGTGCGTGGGTGCTGGAGGGATCGGCCGACCTTTATGCTCGCCGACGTTGGCAGGTGAAAAGATGCAGTATGCAGGTCGATATTCTAGCGCTAGGCTGTTCGGCGCGCGCAGACTGGGGCGTGTGGGCGAAGGAAGGCACAGCTGATGATCGTTTGCGCATTCGGCGACCTGACGTCCCCTAGCGTCGACGCAGTTGCAGTTGCACCTCGGAGGCGCATTGAATGGTAACTTCGGCAAGCGCCAGCCGCGCCACTTCGAGCTTGAGCATCGTCGTGTGAGAAGTGCACGACACTCACAGCATCTGGTCGGAGTGAGGGATCGCATCGATGGAATGCAATCGAATTCTCGCGCACGCCGATTGACGATTAAGTAGGAGTGGTCTGCAGTGGTCTGAAACAAGCTCCCAGTACGATGCAACTCAAGCCTTCGTCGCCAAGCACACCAAAGCTTGACCCCGGCAACCATCCGGCGGACTTCTCCGCTGCGAGAGTTGCGACAGTTCACGCGCTGCCACGCGGCCTGAATTGACACTCCACGATACGCGCTCCACGTGGGACTTCTTCACACTTGTGTTTGACCACGACACGACAGAAACCCGCTGGAGATCTGGTCATCCGCGGGCGCCGCAGAGGGAGTCGAACACCGAGCTCCCTATCCAGCCCTGCCCCTGCAAACACTTCATCCGGCAGGACCATCGCACGTACTGAAGAGTGCCCGACTGCCCACTGCAATGGTTTAGGTGCTTGCTACTAAGCATGATCTCTTCACAGCCGTAAAGACAAAGTACGCAGGGCGCGCGGTTGCCCAATATGGCTGGAGCCAGCCACTGTTTTGCCGCCCGACAATGGCTCTCTGCACGCCCGGACGCAGCTGCGATCCTTGTCGGGGCGTCTCCAGTCGAGGTTCGTCCAGCGGGAGATGGGCGCGGCCAAGGCCTCTTCACTACACGTGCTCTTCCAGCCTTCACTGAGATCTTGAGCGAGGCCCCGGCCATCCTACTTCGCCCTACCGACGACCTTCCTCAGTTGTATGAGCAGTACATTGCTCTGCGTGAGCCTGGATCTGACGCGGTCCAGATGAAGTATATGGCATTGAGCTACCATGACCTACCGGAGAGAGATGCTCGACTACGAGAAAAGCTTGCCGAACGAGGTTTCGATACTGGCAGCGCTGACGAAATGGTCCGCGTAGCCAGCATCATGCAGAACAATGCGTTCAATGTCGATCTTGGCCACGGCACTGGTGAGAACCATCGAGCTCTGTTCCTTGACGTGGCCAGAATCAATCATTCATGTGCACCGAATGCACACGTCTGCTTTTATCAGCCAGAGAGGCCTGATGGCCGTGGTCGAATGGTCATCCACTCTTTGCGAGATCTGCAAGCCAACGAAGAAGTCCTCATAGCATATTTTAGCATCTTGCTCCCGACGACAGATCGCCAGGACAAGGCATCGAAATGGGGGTTCCGCTGTCTGTGCTCTGCCTGTCAGCCTCAGGACGCCGCTCATGAGCACCAAAGGAAGGCCATCACCGACTTCACGGCTAAGCAGGCTGCTCTCATGCATGACGCCCGGCCAACGATGAAGCAGATCACAGATTTGATTGCTGCGGGTACAAAGCTGATTGGCAAAGTTGATGCATACGGCAGACTTCGTCCTGCAATACCTGATTTGTACGACAATATCGCCATGTTGCGTGCGAAAGGTCTGCTTGTGCAGAGGAAAGAAAAGCAGCGAGAAGGAGTCCTGGAATTTCTCGAACAGGCCACAATCTACGAAGCGAAATTGACTGGCGTTGGGAGCCCTGCGACCAAAAGGAGACTACACAAGCTGGAGCAATTCGCTGCACAGAAAGACGCAGCGGGGAGTGCCAAACTGGTAACTTCTGAGAACAATGTATACTCGGTGGCGTGGACGTGAATTGTCTTCACACAGGGGATGTCGTTTCGCCTGAAGTGAACATCACATCTTACGCCCCTACCAGCAACCAAAGCATACCTATTAACGATTGAAAGGATCAATATGCAATGTTAAGCACGCATAGGCAGAATTTCGAGCCCTTTCTTGCCGTTTCAATGCCGCTTCAAGACATGCACTTTTCGCTGCCCCTCTTCACGATGTCAGAATCTTCAAGAAAGCCGAACAAATCCTATGGGAACGCAAGTCTGGGAGACTGAGTGGAGTCCCTTTATCGGCGAACAGAGACGACCCCACCAGGGCGACCAGCTCGCACGCGTGTCTCTGTTGGAACATATCTGCGAGGGTTGTCTGCACTTAGGTGTGCCGAATTTTGGTGCTACCATGTTACCACGGCCGACTTCGCTGCCATGGATCTTGAATGCCAACAAGTAAAGCGTTGTTACACAGGGAATGCTCTAGGATCTACGAAACAATGGGGGTTTGTGTCTCTGTTAACATCAACACCCTGCTCACCCAGATCCAGGGGCGCTGCGTTCACCCTTTTCCGGCCTCCAATGTTCTTGGATGTACTCAAAGGCGATCAAAGTCTTCAACATATAGTGCGTCGTCCCTCGGGTTCACTATGTCCCACACATCTCTCTCCGAGAGCTCTCTCTTGGTCAGTCCCTTGGCTTCAGCTTGCGAAATCTGGTACTGCGCATTCTCCGTCTCCAGCTTAACGTGTATAGACACAGCCGATCTCTTTCCACTCCACATCGCATGTGGTACGTTTGTGCTGTTGTCTGCATTTGCATCTCCCACTCCATAGATACCTAGAGGACACAGTGAGTATAGGGGATCAGACGTCAGGGGTTTTCAGGGCACAACACATACCAGGCACATTGGTGATCAGACCGTTCGACGCATTGGTAGCAAGCTTGTCTCCCCAGATCTGAACACCAGCCTCTTGTCCGATCTTCGATCGCTGCTCGCTTGGCCAGTTCGTGATGAAAGCCGCACGCTCCACAGATGGTCCCTCAACGAAGTTGAGACGGAAAAGATCGTACTCTGGCGAAGTCGGCTTGGTGGGGTCGTGGTATTGAGCAGAAGCATCCTGCAGACGCTCAAGCGAAGTGATGGTTCGGTTGTCGACTTTGATGCCGTGTACATCATACCAAATATCGAAATCTGGGAGCTTCTTCTGCACGGCAGCTCGGTTCTCGGGGGTGTCTGTACCGTTGGCAAAGATGATAACGTCCTTGTTCAAAGTCAAGATCTCAAGAGGAGTGTTGCCTGATTTGTCGAGGGGGCCGAGAATGCCATAGGGTTGGTCAGCATGTTCGTAGCCGTCGCACCATGGGCACCAGTAAATTCCCTTCCCCCAGTTCTCTGCAAAGCCTGGGCTGGTTGGGATAATATCGCGAAGACCGGTTGCGAGGACGACTTTACGGGCCGTGAAAGTCGTGTTGCCGTTCGAGGAGAAGTTTGCAGTGATGCTGAAAGAAGTGACATTTTCGTTGCCAATGGCTTCGATTTTGCTGACCGTGCCATTGGTGAGGTTCACAGTAGGGTACTGGATGATCTGTTCGCGAGCTCTCCATCGGAGGTATGCTGGAGTAACGCCTGCGACTGAGTCAGAATGAGAGTTCGGGCAGCGTCCTGAAAATGGAACCTACCATCATAGCCGAGAACATCGTGCACATGGCGGGTGTATTGATTTCTGTAGTCCGCGCTGTCGATAAGAAGAACATTGCGTCGTACTCTTGCCAGCGCACTCGCAGCAGACAAGCCTGCCGGACCGCCGCCTACGATGACCACATCGTAATTTGCCTGTACAGCTTGCTCTGTTGCCAGTGATGTGATATCATCTTTTTGGTGAGGGAGAGCCGCGGTGAACGACACGAATGCCGCAAAAGCGGTGCTGGCCAAGCTGAACTTCATGACGGAAGGTGTGAAGAAAGACACTGCGATGAGAAGAACGTTCGCAGATGAATGAAGTGTGTTCTATTATAGCAAAGAACTAGACCCCTATTCCCTGTAATGGTTCGTAAACAGATGCTAATGGAATGGTCGGACCGAACAGAATGTACCACATTCTTGAGTACAGTGCTTGTCAGCAGGAGCTTCTGCATGGTTTGCGTGATAAACGGGGAAAGCACGTTGGTTGAAATCGCCGGAGAGCCAGAGTCAGAGCGCTTTACATGGGGTAAGAAGTTGCAGACCTGGATCCACTTCCCGATCGCTCCTGCTGCCCTAAAAGGAATCTCATAGACTCTATTTCGCTTAATGGTTCTTGCAGGGCGTGGGAAGTTGGGAGAAGATGCAAGGACTTCCACGGCAAATTCTGCCCTGGGCAGGTGGCGCGGAGGAATTGATGTTTCAGATGCCATGGCAGCTACTAGTCACGGCTAGTCGTGCGTGTTCGGTCTTTGTGTCTCTTCACGCCATATGACGTGCTGCGCCCTCGCGACGTCAAATGCATTTGCGAAGACTAGGACACACAAGATCTCGGTCAAGCCCGGGTGTCGCCACCTTTGTGCCGGTGTCGAAAATGGTGAAAGTGTTTCGGGTGAGGTGGTGTTGAGATCTACATAAGGATGCTGGTAGACAGGGATGAACGTCTTGGCGTTGAAACGGTGCAGCGACGAGCCGAATCTATACGAGGTAAGACGGCCTGAGAGAATACATGAACAAGTCCACAATAAAATGTGAATGAAATTGTAGACCTGTGTGCGCGCATCCTTCGCAGCGCCGCATTGGTTGTAAGCTTTATTCGAAATGACCTGATGGGGCTTAAATTTGTCGTCACAGGCTTGCGATAGGGCTCCGGGGTGCGCTGTGGCAGTAGGGGGAACTCGCTTACTCGTCTTCCGCCCGGAACCATAGGCATGCCGATGCATTCCGTGTTTCAAACTACGCCTGGACAGCGAGATGATCTTCTTGATCGTCAATCTCTTCTCAACCTTGGGAGAGAAGTGGTTGCGTGCTCCAGTGCCACTACAGTCTTCTACTTGTCATCCCCAAGGGCTGTTGTCGGCAGCTGTACATCCAGGCCTGGAGTGCTTGACCGGAACATGATCGTTGTCAAAACTGGAATAGGACGTTCCTTCGGGGCTCTTACTGCACGGTTTGTGCTGGCTGCATCTCGAACATGTCATCGATCCCATCTTGCTGGTCCTCATCTATTTCGTCTTCTTCAGAGTCGAGTTCGTCCTCCCCCTCATCCTCATCTTCGAAGCCGGTTTCGATCTGTCGTGTGCGCAAGCGGTCCTTCATTTCTTCTCTGCGTTCCTCTTGCCATCTCATCAAGGCAGCACTGGCATGTACTCGAAATCCATATATCCGGGGTTCGTATCTGCGCTGAGTCTTCTGCGGCTGGAGTGCTGGGTAGACCTGGAACAGTATGTTGTGAAATGATGTGCCAAAATAGGCACCATCTATGCTGTTGTGCCGTGATGATTTGGGATTGTAGATATCTTCGCACTTGGCGCAATAAAGCTTCACATTCGATGTGTTCGGGACGTCGTGCTGGCCCATAGGAAGGAGGTGTTGAGATTCGCATATCACACGCGGGCACTTGCCGAAAACGCCCTGCTTGAACTTTTCCATCTGGATGAAGCTAGTCAGCACCTTTGAAGGCTGGGAAGATCAAGATCGACGCCTACCATTTTCGCCAGTCCTCTGGTTGTGACGATGTACCGAGCGTGGACAAGTCCATAGAGATGTCTGGCGCTTTTCTCGATTTGCTCTCGCATGTCATCGTCGACCTCCATATCGAAAACATCGGTTACGAGGTCAAGCGCGTACTGGTAATATTGTACTTCTGTATTGAGCCCAGTGAGATTGAAACGATCGGTCAAGTAGTCTTCGTCAATTTCGCAAAAATACTCATTCCCTCTCGAGGATATGAACTGGGCCAATGTCAGCATCACCCTTCAAATATCAATCTTGTGTCTGTGTCCTGTGCGCGAAAGGGCTACCCCGCTGCCTTCGTCGGGACCAACTTCTTGTGCTCGCCGCTTGAGCATCTCGCTCGTTGCCACGCAAACAATCTGGAACAGCAAGCATTGCAGAACAGAGAGGCATGTCGTGCGAGCGCTGCACGGTGAATATTTGGCGTTGGAAAATGAAATGTATGGCCCAAGAGAGGACGGCAGCGCCCAGCGATACACGTTCACGCACGGCAAGGACCTACCCAGTCTCTCCAATAACTCGTGTAGTCGCTGTCGGTGTCGCTCTGGAAGTCGTCCATGTCGGATGCGGCTCGAAGGGATCCTGTGGTGAGGGTTTGGTCTCGCAGTGCTTGATATGGACGGAGGTCAAAGGCGATGCACGTGCGTGTTGCTGCGAGAGGGCGTGCGCCACTTCGCGAACAGTCACGCTTGTGACGTGAGGCTTGAAAAACGGCGGACGCGCCCGGCGAATCCCTGCTGCTGCGAAGCTGCTGTTCACAACTCGCCCTGCTGCTGCTTTCACCTCTCCATTCCACCCCCTGCGAGCCGGCAACAGCGATTGATCCGGCGGTCGAGCGCCAATGCAGCACCCAGGACGATGAGGACGCTCCATCGCCACCGCCGACTGCCACCGCCGTGACTGCAACGTTGCTATGTATTGGCCCCATGGCGCGCCAAACGTCTACTCGCTCTCGAAGCTTCCCTGCCCGCCCAACGCGCTCACGCACTCTGACGACGGTGCCAAAGACGATTCCAGTAGAGCTTCCACCTCGACTCCTAGCAATGCCTCGCAGGAGCGAATTCCGCCGGAGCCTGCCCTGAACAGCCCGCCGCACGAGCAGGACGAGTCGGGCACCCAGGATGTACCGCCAGCGCTGGACGGCGAGATCATCGATGCCAAGATCTCGCGTGGTGGCAGCGTTTTCGTGACGTTGACGAGGTCCTCCTTGATGGTATGGCAGACCAAACCGACAGTCGCTCTGGCCGGTGTGCAACGTTCAGCACAGTCGATCAAGTCGTACGGAGCTAGCACAGCCCTGCTACTCCGGCCAGATGCGCTCGTGCTGGTCGTGCAGACTGCTTTAGGACACCTAATCACGTACTCGCTCGCCACCGATGCCACTACGCGAGTGTACCAGATTTCACTCCCAGAAGCGAGTCGACATCATAGAAAACAGAGCGCCGATGGGTACAGCAGCCTGAGGAAACCGAACAGCTCTGCAGCTGGGGCGACTGCAGGAGAAGGCGAGGGGATACGTGAGGTCAACATACGATTCCGGATGGTCATCAGGATCGACGCCGGAATTAGCAGAGCACTGGCTTTGGAAGACGAGCTCGTCGTAGCAACACAAAAACCTGCTGCTCTGCAATGCATCAAGTGGCAGGCCGAGAGTGGCACTTCTCAGACTAGCACTGAGCTCATTAGCCGTATGCCATGGCTCGGTCGAAAAACCGCTATCACAGAGATCGTCCATGATCGTCCAATGAACCTCACGTGTTGGATCACCAACGACGGTCGTACCTATGCTGTACAGCGCAAGAGCGGGCCGAATACTGACACAGACAATCCCAAGAGCCTGTTTCAGGGCTTTTGCTTCCGCGAGCCCGAGACCAAGCATGATGATGCGCTGAAAGTTGCCATCAATGCCAGATTCTCCCTCATCGCGGTGGGATGTGCCAATGGATATATTGACGTGTATATTGTCAAAGACTATACCGGAAACATACCGCTGTCCCACAAGGTCCGTCTTCCCATAGGCCCTTCGACCACAGGCAAACTTACATGCTTGACCTACTCTCCTGATGGATACTGCTTATTTGCCGGATATGAACGAGGTTGGGCAACGTGGACAGTCTATGGAAAACCATGCGCCAGCACTTTTGGGATAGATAGATCCCAGTCAGAAGCAAACGGCGAACATTGGCTCCACGGCGTTCGAACGGCCTTTTGGACTGGCGGCGGATGCGAACTCGCGCTGTTTCCCTTCATGGACAATGGCGTCTACATGCTTGACATCGCGAGAAACGCCGCGACCGGCTGTCTTACTCCTGCGAACGTGTCCCGAGGCTTGTTGTATTCGACCGACAGCGTAATGATATACAAGGGTCACGATGTCTCGGATGTGACCGCTTTGCCTTCAGATATCTCACTCTGGCAGACTGTACAGGTCCCGTCGCAATATCTCATTCAGCAATGGCCTTTGAAGACAGCGGCAATCTCCCCTGACGGCAAGTACGTTGCAGTTGCGGGAAGGCGGGGACTGGCGCATTACAGTGTTGCAAGCGGTCGCTGGCGCACGTTTGATGATCTCCAGGCGGAACAAGAGTTCACCGTGCGGGGTGGTATGTGCTGGCATCACCATATCCTGATCGTCGCAGTGGAAGCCAACGGCCGCCCTGAAGTACGACTGTATTCGCGCGAGAAGGCGCTGGATTACTCCCATATTCAACACACGGAGAAGCTTTCTGCAACCGCGATATCTACCACCGTCTCGGGAGCCGACTCTTTGCTCGTCTACACATATGATAACACGCTGCTGCATTATGTGATAGTCATGGGCGGCACCACTCCCAAACTAGTGCAAGTCGGACAAATTGGTTTCCATGGCATCATCCGCGCACCACCACGCGTGCGGACAATCAGCTGGGTCCTGCCCGAAGAGCAACTGGAACACGGCGACCCATCCCAAGACGTTGCGTCAGCGTCAGTCATCTTCCTCGTGGATGGGAAACTTGTGCTTCTACAGCCCTCCACAAATGAGCACGGCGAACTCAAATACGACATGCGCGTGATCGCTCACAATGTGGAATATTTTATGCTACTGCGTGACTTGCCATCCGCGGTCACATCGCTCACTGGAGACGAATCGAACCCTTCGACGCCTCCCCTCAACGGCCTGTCGCTTGACAATCCTCTTGGCCACAGCCTGCGGGATTCACTCTGGTACTTCGACGGCACGGGCTTCCACGTATGGTCAGACATCCAGGAAGTGATGGCTCGAGCACCTGCCGAGCTCGGCCGAGACCTGCCACCTGCCGTGGCAGTGCAGCTTGACTTCTCACCGCTTTCGGCTCTTGTTGGGAAGGGCATCGTCTCGGGCATAGAAGCAGACATCGTTCAGCGCAGGGATGTCAACTTTAGCTTCTTCCGTCATGCACCTCGGACCCAACTTTTCCTGCCCCAACTTCTCCGCTATCACCTGGCGGAGTTCAACTCACCCGCAGCTCTTCACTTATCGAGCTCATACCAACATCTGCCATACTTCTCACACGCGCTGGAAGTGCTCCTTCACGATGTATTGGATGCTGAAGTGGACAACCCGCCGTCACCACCCGAGACGGCACTTCTGCCGACAGTGCTTTCATTCCTGTCTTCATTCGACTCATACTTGGACGTTGTGTGTAATTGCACGCGGAAAACCGAACTACGCAGCTGGAAGACGCTTTTCTCGTACCTTCCCCCAGTCATAGAGCTCTTCGAGCAATCCTTGTCGCAAGGAAAGTTGAACACTGCCGCCGGCTATCTGCTGGTCTTACACGCTTTTGAGGAGGATTCCTTCCAGGTTCATGAATTCGCCCAATTGCTGAAACTCGCCGGCCAACAAAATGACTGGGAGCTATGTCGCGAACTGTCCCGCTTCTTAGTGGGCATTGATACCTCTGGTGAAACGCTTGCTGCTGCGCTGAGAGAGGCTGGGCTGAGGGATGGTCCCAATCGTACTGAGCGCGAACCGAAGAACGTAACGAAGCAACCACGAGCGAATGGTTTCTTTCGAAACCCCAGTGACTATTTCTCGATGGGCCAACGTTTCGATGACGACAACAACGAAACGTGATGCTCTTGCCGACACACTATCGACATCAACACAGCGATTCGTGCGCAGATGGCTGGCGTTTGATAGACATTCCAGGTCTAGTCCAAGTCGGAGCATGCATGGGCAGCGGGAAACTTCACGAAGTGCTACACCAAAACCCGACCGACTGCTACCAGTTCTTCGAAACTCCCACATGTGTGCGTCTGCAGTCATGAATCACTTGGATCTTATGGTCTATCTATGCCGTCCATGCAGCCATGCGTCATATCCATCGAGCGCCCGCCGGGACTTCTCTATTCGCGCCGTGGCGCTTTCTCTATCAATGCTGAATTTGCCGTCGGATTCAGACGACGCCTGAACAACCAGAACAGAGCCGATATCATAATGTACACGCGCAGGATCTCTACGCACGCCCGGAAGCCCACTGGTATTGCAGGCTCCCTGCTGTACTCATCGTGCGTCTCGCAGGCTTCTACGAACATTGACGGGTCATCCGTGATCACTCCATCAAGTCTTCTTCGTATGCACCACGCCATTCTGTCCTTGTCGTTGACGGTCCACGCAAGCAGCTGCCGATGATACACCTCTTGACAATCTCGTATAAATTTTGCCCCACCAGGCGCCATTAACATGGGCAAGAGCATATTGAATCCCACGTCCGGAACATCGAAAAAGTGCCGCGCATACGACAATTTGAACCCGATGTGCATCACCGAGAATCCGGGCAAGTACTTTGCTGCCAGGGGTAGATACTTCGCAGCCCATATACCAAGTACCACTCGCTGCTTCCAGGGTTTACTGGCCGACGAATCTGATTCGGCTATTGTCGTCCCAATCAAGCGCATGATATCGTCTGCATCGTTATCGAGCTTGATGTCCAGGAGCACCCAGATATCCTCTAGTCCGGGTTGCGAAAGATAGTCAAGGAGGTCCTCCAATCTCGGCATGTGCTCATGTGGTGTGGCAAGTGTCCTCAGGTCTTTGATCTCGTCCCACGTACGCTCTATGACTTTGTCTTTCTGACCAAAACACCGCTTAAGTGTTGCATCGTGGCTCAGCACCACCACACGATCTTTTGTGATGTGCACATCGGTCTCTAAAGCCGCCGCACCAGCCTCGAGCGCCTTCTCGAACGCCAGCATTGTGTTCTCCGGATATCTGGCCTTGTAGCCCCGGTGAGCAATGCACTGTGGCATTCTCCGTTTCCTTCGGTCCAACTTCGCCATCGTGAACATAGGGATTGGAAATTCGCTGTCGTCTGTCAATAAAACAGGCGAATCGAGCTTCTCTACTCCCGGCTGCACGACCATGGGTGGTATGATTGCCGGCCGTGGTGTTGGAGATGTTTTGGCTCGCGAATCGTCCGCCATCTTTGCTGATAGGAATCGTTTCTAGGGAACGTTAGGCGACGCGCGCACGACAAGGAGCCGCATGAGATCCCGCAGAACGCGCCACCTTTTGTGCGATCAGAAGAAGCGACAGAGGGCCAGACGGGCAAGAGGTGGGCTGGCAGGCACAACTCGCTCACGCGGCAGGCAGGGAAAGGAATGGAAGAGAGATGCGACATCGCAACCACGTTTTAGCTGGAGGTGTTTAGTAGGTGCATGCCCGCTGTCCCGCGCTGCTCTAGACTTAGTTTAGTGCTCTCGTTCGAGCGCCGCCTCCATTGATGGCGCTCGTCAGCGCTCACCCATCAACAAGCTTTTCCGATGTCCGAGACCCCGCCATTTGTCACCTCGCGCGCTACTGTGCTGCCGTCCGCACCACACTCTCGTTCCTGTTCCGCGTGTGAGAAACAGAGGCTCTTATCGATGGTATGACACGAGCTCACCCACTCTGCACCCTCCACTTCTTTGCAGGCCATCGACGGGGATGTCGTCCCCGGCTCCTTGCTCCAGCCAGCTTGGTCCTCGGCAACTTGATCGGAAGCACAGGATTCAACATGTCAAAGTTATGCTTAGGCAAGAAGCGTAAGCTAGTGCAACGTAATACAACCGTCCAAGGCTTGGTCGTGCTCGGCGAGCCCTCCGGGCAACCGCGGCAGCTGTTGTGACACCTTCGCATAATGCTACTGCCAACCTCACTACTGCACAGATCTGCGATGTATGCCAAGAATATTGCTGACGATATACCACTTCGGTGATCCTTCACTGTGCTCCGCGAAGGAAGCTGCGAAGCTAGCTGTGTGTAGCTTCTTCACACAGCTATTTGCAACTACCTTCAACGTCACTATGCATGTCGAAGGAGGCACAGTCAACATGAGCTCTTTTTAGCAGGGACGACAGCACAAAGTGACCTGTTGCTCTGGCATACAACTCTTTCTTGTTACCGCATTCACTACAACCAGGGGATATTCCTAGCGACTTCGATCTCAGTTTTTTACATCATGGCAGCACCTGCAGCTCTTCCGCCTTTCGAACCGCCTCTCGGTCCACAGCCGCTTGTCGGGACTCTGTACAGCCCGCAGCAAGTCACTTTGGTTCTGCGGGAAAAAGTCTTCTCGTTGTCTGGCGACACTTTCACCGTGCAAACAGCCGAGGGCGTGAATGTGTTGCAAGTGAAAGGCAAAGGTCAGTGGAAATGGTTGGACAATCAACTACCAATCTATGCAAGGCATACAACTCAAGAGAGCCGGATTGGTGATATTGGGGAAGAAGACGAGTGCTGACAGGATTGCCATCGACAGTTGCATCGCTCCACTCAAAAGTAAGTGCAGTCGCTAGAAGATCATCTCCAATTCGCGATCATTTGTCCCAGACGTCCGGGTACCTGCCACTGACGTTTTAAAAGAAAACCTTCACGGACATGTCAGGTGCAGAGATCTTCGTGCTGGCAGAAAAGAAACTCAAGCTGTTCAAGACGTTCCACGCCGAATCACCTGCTGGCCACAACTTCGACGTCGAGGGCCACTTCTCCATTGGTAGCTCCAAGAGCACTGTGAAGTTTGTCAATGCAGCCGACAAGGCCCCTATTGAGCTTCAAGTCAAAGGGGATTGGTTTGGTGAGTATCGTTGGGCGGAGCCACCTTCTGTCCTCAGGGCTACGTTCTGACAACTGCTTTCAGACCGCAAAGCAAGCATTACGCTCGGAGATCGTGTCGTCGCGCAGATCTCGAGAAGTTTCGCGAATGCTAGGTGAGACCTGATCAGTGCAAGTTTTCATCGAGAAACTGGCTAATATCCACCTCTTCTGTCTCCAGGGAGATTTTCGGAAACAAGCAGACTGTGAGCATTCAAGGATTCTGATCCAAATTGGTCAGTCTACTAACCCGACTGCAGTACTTCGTGACGGTCGCGCCGGGCGTGGATTTGAGCCTGATTGCTGCTCTCTGTGTAGCGATTGATGAACGAGAGAATGAAAAATGATCGTTGCTAATCCAGTACAGTGTTACGAGTACGGCAAAAATTACGGCCCTTGCCATTGTTCTTTCAATATACCTCATCGGTTCTTCTAAACGGCGACGAGTTGGGTGCCATGATTGGGAGGCTGGAAGTGTCGGTCCTCGAGCATGCGATGGCTATTGTACGGCATACTATGGTTCAGCTGCCAGTTGTAACGTATCCGAGAAACAATATGATTCATGCAGGATCGCTGGAAGTCCTTCGAATTCTTCTTAGTCGATGATTAGCCGGTGCCTCGAAGCGATAAGACATTGTCATAATTTGGATCCATCGGTTCGGAGAAGTACGATATCGCCGAATGCCATTGCAACTGTTCAACTCGGGCACAATGGGTCGCACGATGTGTTTGCGCCGATGGCGATCTGTAAGTTGAGAGCTCGATGCATTCGCGCTTGGAATCGAGCGTGATGATTGGAACACAATATGTCAAGAAAGTGAGACGCGGATTGGGGTCGGAAAAGATGCGCAGCTCGGCAAAGGGCAGTCGTGCGACCCTCTTTTTCTGGCGTGCTCGTTCCGTGGAAGACCATGCAATGGCATGTCATCATTCCCGGCCGGCCTCGGCCCTGCAGTTGCTTACTTACTACTGAAGGTTACACCATAAACATGTGCCCGCACAATCTCCTGCATCACCACTGTTTTGAATTCTTTTTGTTTGGCGGAGCGCGTTCACTATGCCTGATTTCCCATCGATCGCGTCGCCGACGCTGACTCCCGCCGGCACGCCGCTCCACGATGACAAAGCCGGCCGCGATCAACACCCCGCTCCCTCTGACTTGGACTTGGACGCTGATTTCTCCCATCATGCCGGAGCACCGCCGCCGCTGATCAGTCCAGCCTTCACGCCGCCGCACACTCCGTTTCACGATGGCCAGCGACATGACAGATTGGCCAAAAGCATACCGCATCAGCACAATGAGGGGCAGGTGGGGGACGCGGCGCCGAAACTGCTTGACCAGATACCCGAAGTGACTTGCGAAGTCCGCGCGAGGATTCCCACCACCACGGGGCAGGAGATGTTTCTGCACCTCTATCACAACAATGTCGACAACAAGGAGCACATGGCCATCGTCTTCGGTCCCCACATTCGCAGCCGCAGCCTGGACGCCCCCAGGCCCGGCGAAACGGAACGGGACCGCATGATCAGAGGCGCGTACACTGGCACATTGTTTCCCGGTCGCACACACAGCAGACTCGAGCAAATACGCAAAGACGCCGGTGTGGCTCCCTTGGCACCCGGTGCACAGCCCAATGGCTCTCCGACTCCCCCGTCTGAGTCTGCGGAGCAAGCATCCTCAGATACAGATCCCTGGAGCTACTCCTCATACCCGCCAAACCTTGGCCCGCCACTAGTGCGAATTCATTCCGAATGCTACACGGGTGAGACCGTGTGGTCTGCACGCTGTGACTGCGGTGAGCAGCTGGACGAAGCAGCCCGACTGATGTCGTTGCCCGCTCCTTCGGGATCGAGTACACCCGTTGATGAAAAGCATCCGGAGCGTCTACCGTCTTCTGGAGGCGTAATAGTGTATCTGCGGCAAGAAGGACGAGGCATTGGGTTGCTGGCCAAGCTGCAGGCTTACAACTTACAAGATTTGGGACATGACACAATGGAAGCGAATATTCTCTTGCGACATCCCGGCGATGCGCGATCGTACGGCCTTGCAACAGCGATCCTGTTGGACCTAGGACTAGGCGGCGAGCGAGGCATTCGGCTGTTGACAAACAATCCTGAAAAGATCCGAGCTGTTGAAGGGCCGAACAGAGAGGTACGAGTGGTGGAACGAGTGCCTATGATACCAATCGCGTGGAAAACCGGTGGAAAAGAGGGCATCAAAAGCCCTGAAGTGGAGAAGTACATTTCGACCAAAATCGAGAAATTTAAGCACATGTTCTCCAGCTGAATGAGACTGTGCCTAAAGCTCATCATTTGCGAGCTCCGTTGCCAGCAACGCACGCCACTTGAAGCTCGAATCCGGTGTTTATGGCGGAGCATGATTCGTCTACTACAGATTACAAGCTGTGGAGATAGCCAGCTGCGCGTAGCCCCCGGTTCTCTTCTGAGACGAATCCGATCTTTCCCGGGGGCATAACTGCCCCCAGTGAGATCATGTCGACCAGCCCTAGCATTCTCCAGGCATGAGCGAGCACAGCGAAGTCCTCTCTCGCGGCCTCGTCTCGCAAAGCTGCTCTGAACCTTGTTCTTGCCAAGTCGAGCAATTCCGATGACATCCATGGCTGGCCGGAGGTACGAGATTCTTCTCGATGCTGTTTAAAATGCCGGGTCACGGCACGAACCTTCGATCTCACGACGTTGCATCGCCCATGCTCAGACTGGAGGTTTTATGAGACCCCATCACCGCCACTATAGCACGGCTCACTTACATGCACTAGAGCACCAATTGGTAGGATATCGTAGAGACTGGTCCAATTGGACATGAAGAACTGTACAAAATGTATAGCGCAGTTTGACGAACATATCGTGCAAATATTACGCTGCCGGCGTCACCATTCAATCTCACACAATCCGTTGTCATCACAGTTGCACTGATTATCAATCGCGACATTTGTTTAGAGGCATTTACTGCACAGCGGCCCCTCGTATTTTGTATTGCTGTAACTCGCTCTTTATAGAAAGCTTCTCGACGCTGTTTTCGATTGAGCTCCCGCGCGGTAGCAGTCTGAAAGCTGATCCCGCTGCCCATCGATCTCTCCTGCCCTTGTTGAGAATTCCCCGTCGCTGAAGTGCTTTCATCTGGTGCAGTGGCATGTCAACATCTCGACACGACTCGGAAGCCTCGTCCTCGTTCATAACGCGGACCATATGCCGCTTGGGCATGAGGCCATTGCTGTCAGGCTCAAGGAAGGGCAGAGCAAGCCTTCGAATTATTATGTAGACCTCCAGGTCCACTAGTCTTGGTTCAATGCCAACTCTTCCATAGCCACGACACCCTGCTCGAGCTCCCTGATCCTTTGGCCTATCCTTCGCTTCACTTCGTTTGCCAAATCTTGATCTGTGCCATCGAGCACAGCTTTATACGCCTCCTGCACCCTCGTCAACTCCTCGCGAGCAGCTTTTCTATCATCCTCGGCATAGATGCTGGCCTTCTCCGTCTCTTCCATCGCGATCTCGAATTCGTCTTGCGCGGTAGCGTAGAGCTCTGTGATCTCTTCGATCTTCACGTCCGCTTCTGATTTATTTGTGCGGTTTGTGTTTCCTGAATCAAATGCATTGTTGATCGACGGGCCCCCTCCGGATGTTGATGATGCCCATCTTAGGATCTGTGTTGGTGCGTGGGATGCGCAACGCGAGTTTGTAGTCGGAAGGAGTCGTGCTCTCGTCAATGTCCGCACTGAGCGTCGTGATGGGGCAGAATGGCGCAGAGCCCGGGCGATGCTCGATCTTGGAATCATTATGCAACACGTTCGAGATGTCAATGGCGACGTGCTTTGTTGAACATACAGTATAAATTGAGGTGAATGACGTCCTTGCGTGCATGAGGCGAGCACATAGATCGGAGATAGTTCGGCCTTGTTCACGTCCAACCCGCTGCGCTGCGCCCTTCTCATGAACAGTCATGGCATCTTACATGAAATGAGCTCTTGCGCAACCAACGACTGTTGCTCATGCAGTTTCGCCAGAGAGTGTTACTGGCAATGCGCTACATGCGATAACGATCCTGGTGGCAAGTCATGGGGGCGTTGAGTTTGATCCTCCTTCTTCTCACAGTGGCGACCCTCGCATATCAATACCCACACATGCTCAAGAACTTTTTGCCAGCCTGGCTGGCCGCTCCAGATGCAAATGGAGGAGGTGCTACAGGGAGTTCTGCACAGAATCGAGTTGATGACGAGCTGAGCGAAGGCGATGCCACTCCAAAAGCCAAATCTCAGGCATCTGCAGACGATGTGCCGACATTCACGCTGAATGAAGAGACTGAAGACAATGCGCTATCTGAGCATGAGCCCGTGGCTCCATCGTTCCCTGCGATCAATAGCGCTCAACGAGCATCCTCGATGCCACCGCCACCACTTCCAGTACAAACGGCCAAACCTGTTGCGAACGGAGGCAGTAGTCTGATGCCGCCTCCGAGTCGACCAACGCATGGCCTTAGACCCAGCGCAGCAGCAGGTCTCCGAGTGCCCAGTACAGGACCCCTACCCAATCGTGGGCCTCCAACGGGAAGTCAGCAGCGTGTCAGCTCTGGTCTCACCGCGAATGGAACAGCCAAGTCCACGCCGAACCCTCGCAACAAAGTCCTCCTGAAACCAGGTCACTCGCCAATGGACTGGGCAGCCCTTACAAAACAAGGCAATATATCAGGAGTCAGCACATTTCAGCGCGTGACACCCAGTCAGCTGAAGACCATGACTGGTCGAAAGGGAAAGCCTGCGTGGAGTAGTTGGCAAGGCAAGGTTTACAACATTACTCCATATCTACCATTCCATCCTGGAGGCGAAGCTGAGTTGATGAAGGCTGCTGGACGTGATGGCACGAAGTTGTTTATGGATGTTCACCCATGGGTAAATTGGGAGAATATGCTAGGAACGTGCTTGGTGGGTATTTTGGTGCCTGAGAACTACGGGCAGGAGGAGGGTAGCAGTCTAGAAGATATGGATTGATGCGGCCTTCCACTTTAAATTGAAGAATAGCTGATATCACGAATAAATGCTTCGAAGCTATTCTGCACTCACTTGTACCTGGCGAAATGTTTTACAATTCAGTTGATGGAGGTTCTCATTTTCAGATTACGTGATCTCAACTCACTTGCTCAACTCTTCATTTGACGTCTATTTACTTGATATCTACCAACCTTGTTTGTCAATCCAATCTGCATCTTAAACACCAAGCCTTTGGGCCACATGCCAAGAAAGTTTGATGCGCGCTAGCCGAAGGCACGCTCTGTGCTACACCACACGCGCTTGCTCTGCGCGCCCTGAACACCAACATCTCAGTCGCACCTCATGTCGCTGGCGGCCTTAAGCCCTTCCACATCGCAAATGGACAAGATCAGACTTTCTCAAAGTGAAAATTGTCAAACCTAACGAGGCAGCCGGCAATCGCTGCGACAGCACTCGCCAGTTCTGGAAGTTGCCGTCTTACCCACGCTGCGCTGTTGCACTACCAGCAAGCAAGAGGTTACGGCTTTTTGTTGACACAGCAAACTAACAGCGGACTCGAATCTGGCTCTCAAAGGACATGCACTCTGGCACTTAGTAATCAATATCGCATCGCAGTCGAAACCGCCTGCCATGTCGGCGGTCGTCGACTTATGCAGCAGCAGCGACGATGACGACGATACGCCCCAACGCACTTATTCAAGCAAGCACCCCTCACAGAACACAGTTGCGCGTCCTGTTCCCAAGCCGGTCGCACCCATGAAGCCCGGCCCCAACAACAAAGCTGTGAGCCATCCGCATCGCGACCGCGATAGCACATTGAGAGACCCCAAGTCAAGTGCAAGACTTCACTCGGCTACGGCTGCGAAAGGTCGATCTGAGGACGTCAATCGATTAAAGGACAATAAAATCTCGAGCTCCGCCAGCACATTCCCTTCTGGCTCTGGCTCATCTGCACGCGCTGGCCACACGACAGCGTCGGGTTTTCAAATTCCTCAATTTCCTGGCTCACTCAGCTCTCCTCAGCGAGCAGAGTCCAGGGTGTTGGCAGACAGCCAAAAACGTGCACAGAAACGACCATACGATGACAACAGGGCCTTACCGACTGCTTGGCAACACGAACCTCAGAAGAAGCGAAAGACCACTTCGGTTCCGCAAGCCAGCGTGAACACTCCTCCGAGCAAAGCAGCCTCCGGCTCTGTCGCAGTGCGCAATGGGTCATCTACAGGAACGGCACGCTCCGATCCGATAGACTTGACGGGAGGCGATGAGGGTCCTAAGCCTCGCAACGTACTGAACTCAAGGCATGCTTCAGGCAAGATTGCAGATTCTTCACCATTGGCGGCTCAAGCGACACGTAACGCTCCTGCGAAAGCTGTCAAAGACCGGTCGCCCTTTTTGAACAAGGCCCCAACAGCTGCGACCACTTCAGCACGGCCAGCATCGTCGTTGAAGAATTCTGGAACAGCTGCTAGTCTTGAGATCTTGGGTCGTGACGTTTTCACACTCAAGGCTAACCCTGGCCGCAATTCTTCCCAGCCTGTTAGCTCGCCAACAAAGTCAGAACTATCGAGGACACAATTAGGACAGCCTTTTGCCTCTAGCATTGGTCCAGACTCCAGTGGGCAGAGAGAGCGACGCTCCACTGTTCCCGAAAGTCCACCTTTGTCGCCCGAGGCTATTCTTGAGTCTCGCATATCGCCGCCAGCTCAGAGTTCGCATAGTGGAAGAGCCGGGTTGCCAAGCTCTCTTACCAGTCCAAAAGTGCGGTCTGTTCACACTGAGTCGGACATAAGCCGTGAGAAGCGGGATACTCAGAGGACGTCGGTAACGTCTACGAGCTTCCAGCATAACAAGGAAGGCACAGATGCAGGGCCCCTAAACGGCATAAGCTCGCCGAGAAAGCTGCAAGAGCAACCTCAATCCGCACCTGTAATTGCAGAGCGAGGACCAGGCCAACCGACGAATGACTTTTTAACTCGCGCCGGGCATGGAGTGAGTGGGGCAGAGAAGGCATCACAGAAAAGAGACACGGATGCTCAGGCGAAGCAAGACCGAGCACCCGGCACGGCTGTTAAGAGTCACAAAGCTTCGACGGTTGCAAAACCCACTAGTCTACAGCCGGGTGTTTCCACAATTCTAGCTGCACCACCTACGAATAGTGCTCCCGTGCCGTCCAATGTGCCACAGGTGCACGGCATCGAGAAGCTTGTCGGTCAGTATGTCGAGGAGATGCGAGACGACAACGAGCATTGGACCCGCCTTGAGCTACAGCGCGCAAGAGCAAAATTTCCTCCGCGCTCACGAGAATCTAGAAGGGCGTCCTCTGTATTCAAAAAGTTAAAGCCGATACCCCTCCTCCCCCTCGCGAAGAAGGGGATTCCTGCAGGCTGTGCTAAATTCACAATAGAGCTGCACACCAGTACCTCGCGATCGCCAAAAGCATCATATGTCGTGAAGCGCACGGCCTACAGTACAAGTGGTACTGTAGACGTCCCCAGATACTCTCACTACGTCAGTATTAGGCAAAACCAGCTTGCCCACAATGTGACCACCTTGCAGCACTGGCCATACTTTGGAGACGATTTCGACATGGATGAAGCCTATTCTCTGAAAAGGGAGTTCAACATTGACGTAGACGAAAGAGAAAGAAAGCTATTGCGACTTGGACAGGCGGAGAATTTCGGACCGTACGCGGAAGATTTGATCCGTAGTATTGGTTGCGAATGGTCGGATGTCCTGACTTTCCTGCTCCAAGTAGCACCAGCGGTGGGAGAAAGCGACGAGGCTCGGAAGGCTCTTCGAGACCGCGCGCTGCTTGCCTCCGAGGATTGCACTCGAAATGAGGACCGCTGGAAGAAAGTGCTCACCAAGCTGCCACCTGCCGACCCCGACAAAGTTGGGAAAGCAGCTGTGCTGTGCGATCATTTTCAGAGAATGGCGAAGTTCTCTTTCTGGCATATTGTCCGGAGGACCGCCTTCATGAGGGAACTGGTGACGCGGTCAGAATATCACGAAAATGACGACCAACTGACGTGCCGAGTGTGCATGCGCTATCGTTGTCCATTTCATGGCGCGATTGAAGGCCAGCCAAGCGGCTCAGAACACGGAAGTGACCCAGACAACACCGTTGTTGAGACAGACATAATATTGCCTCAGGCTGTAAACTTTCGAAGGAGGGTTGAATTCCCATCGACCATCGACAGTGAGCCAGCCACAATCGATAAACGTCGAACACTGGAGTACTGGGAGAAGGGTCCATTCGGCAACCTCAAGTGGAAGGCTGATGACCGTGGACCCTTTTTCCCATGCCACCATCCTGGAATTCCCTGCTCAGATGCGAGGTGCAGTTGTTATAACGAAAGAGTCGCCTGCGAAAAGACTTGTAGTTGTGGACCTGGCTGTAAAAGGAAGTGGAAGGGCTGCGCTTGCCAAAGCAGCACCCGTTCTAACCCAAAAGCCAAACTCGTTTGTTGGGATGACGATCGCTGCGTCTGCTTCCAGAAGAGTCGCGAGTGTGACCCTGACCTCTGCGGCCCTTGCGGCGTGGCAGATGTGTTAGATCCTGTGCATCGACACGACGATCGCATCTTGGAGGGTCGCTGTCGCATGGCTAGCATTCAGCGTGGCATTGCAAAGCATACTATACTGGGGGATAGTGGCGTGCACGGACTTGGACTCTATGCTTGCGAAGATATGTCCCGCGGCGATTTTGCTGGAGAGTACAAAGGAGAGACCATCACAAAACCAGAAGCCGAGCGACGTGGCGCGGTGTACTTCCACCAAAAACTGAGCTACCTCTTCTCGCTCAACAATGCCCAGGAAATCGACAGCACCTATTTTGGCTGCAAGACAAGGTTCATCAACCATGTTGGCGGTACGTTGGCTAACTTGAGCCCGCGCATCATTATGGTCAATACGGTATTCCGCATTGGTATGTTTGCAAACCGGCTTATCAAAGCTGGCGAAGAGTTACTGTTCGACTACGGTCCTTCGTTTCCCAAGGACCAACTCGGTGTCGAAAGTGCGAAGTCTACGCTAGCGGTCAAGTCGGCGCCACGTGTCCGAAACGCTGGGCTTGTGCGTGACAACTTCTATGATGTGAGCTTGACTAAGGACCAAGACGGCAACATTCGCGCGACGAAAAAAGCTACAGACATGGGCGACAGCGATGAAGATGAAAATCGGTCAGATACGTCTCCACGGCGGTACAGATTGCCGCAGAGGTCTCGATCCGCCACGCATGCGAGACAAGTCGGTGCCTCAGTCGTGCCAGGCAGGCCACGGAAGGCTGCGGTGGCTCCAATCGAGGAAGCATTCGAATCTGGCGATGCGTTCGCAGCAGAAGGGGTGAATGCCAAAGATCAAGGCGATGACGAGGATGTGCGCATGGATGCTCAGCGTCGGCTCTCAATGTATAATTTGCTTGAGAACAACGGTGCGGAGGATGAGGATTTTGAGCCAGAGGAAGATTCTGAGAGTGAGATGGATTTGGCAAATAGTGATGGTGACTGACGACGGAGAAGATGCGAGACGTGAAGGGTTATGAGCGCGGAATGAGCATCCGATTCGCTTGACTTTCGCTCAAGTGCTGAGCAAGGTGCGGAGAAGACCAGCGCTGAATTGCTTGACTTTGGTAATGTGTATAGATTGTACAAAACTGCTGTACCTCGTTGCTGCTCAAGTGTGGGCACAGGTGTGGGCCATCCCGTCAAGCTCGATCGTCACGGAACGGTTTTTCATGTCATACTAGGTCGTTCGCTGCAAGTTAAGGCTCATGGTGCGAAGGTGCAAATTTCGTAATAGTACAGCACGCTCATGTCACATTTGGGGTATCTTCGCTAAAGAGGATGCTTTCGCTTGCTTTGGAGCAGCACCTAGACCTGTACTCCCTGGGAAACCGATTTGAACCGAATCCCACCATTGTTATCACCCGTTGCATTGATTAGGCTCTCACGCCACTGCTCGAACTCCGCCCAATGGCCCTTGCGCATTTCAATCTGCCATCTTGGAGTTTGCTTCGCAGGTCTCCAGGCTAATTTGTTGTCCGGTGTCTTTGTCAAATCAATACTGGCTGGTTGTGTCGCCAGCTCCAGGAGCGTCTGAAGCGCACGGTCGCCCTCCACACGAGCCGCAACGTGCTGCCTTCGCTGTGTCGTGAGCGTTGTCGAGTCTTCCAGCCAGGCGTTGCGGGAGAATTGACGTTGTGGCAGGCGCAGCTTGTGATTCTCGTGCTTAAGATGCCGCACGGCACCTTCCAACCCTGCGATTCGATACGTTTGGCGCTGCATGGCCGCAGCAGCATTGGACCCGACTGCGTCACCGTCAATGCCTTCATTGGCACCGAGACCCTGCTTCCTTCGTTCCTCCGTGACCCGAGCCATTTCCTCTCTGACTCGGTCAATATCTTCCGCGGCACTTTGCTGGAAACGTGCAAGCTCAGCCTTTGCCTTGCTCTCTGCAGTCTTCGCCTCCCGAAGTTCTTTCTCAAGCTCCGCTATCTTGGCTGATCTCTTGCTCGCATCTTTCATGCGCGCCTCAAGCATTTCGATTCTTACTGTCTGCTCGTTGAGTTCCACCTCTTTTTGCTTGAGCAAGCCATCTCTCTCATTGATGGCGACTTGGGCTCGAGCAAGCTCTGCCTCGATATCGACGTTGGCCTCCTTCATGTTCTTGAGCTCTTGTGCGCGAGCAACCCAAGGCGATGCGGCTCGTTCAAACTCGACCGTATTGTCTAGGTCCGTCGGTATGCTAGCTACATCCGACAGCAAGCCGCTCAAATCGCGCAGGCGAGTATTGAGAGTGGCATATGGCCCGGCCTCTGAAGACGAAAGCGAGAATATGCTGGCAGCAGTCCTTGAAAGCACTGCGCTAACATCAGATGGAGTGACAGGTGCTGAGCGTCCCTCCTCGTCGAAGAGATCTTGCAAGGCAGCGCCGCTACGACAAGCGTATGCCGTGATTTGAGTGGCCATCTGCTCGACACTCTCAAACCTATCGATGAAAGATTCTTCGAGCGTCAAAGATCGCTCCTCTAATTCCATCAAGGAGCGCAGCGTCTTTCCTGAGAGAACCTTTGCGTTCCTGGCAAGTTCTGTAATGCCCTTTATCCTGTTGACGATGAGTGCGGTATCAGTCACATTTTCATCCTCAAACTCTGCATCTTCGGATGGCTTTGGCAGGCCTTTTTCGATCAATATCTTCGTTACGAGCAAAGCCGACGTTGTGCTATCGAGGTGGCTCTGTAAAAGTTGCGTTCTTGAGACAAGATCATCGGCATGGTCCGCAAGCCCGTTATGCAGATTGAGGCTAGACAAATGAGTCATTACCTCGATAGAACGCCCAAGACGAACGGTCATCTCGCTTTCCTTGAGTTCATCTTGGCGAAGGGCGTCGACATAGCTATCCATTGTGCGTTCCACAACTTCCAGCTCGTAGTATGCTCCGCCGTAATTGGCAAAGGCCTGGGCAGAGCAATGGCTAATTGACCTGGTCAGGCGATCGGCCATACCTGCCATCATCGTGAGTTTGTCAAGTGCATCGCAGGCAGCGAAGGCTTCTTCGTCCAAGCCGCGAGTGCCAAAGGACGAAATACGCTCCTTGAGGAAACCTTGGACTAAGGTTGCCTTGAAGCCTATCCTCTTGAATCGAAGAAGGGCCCGTACACTGTCCCGCTCGGCCTGGAAAGACTCGGGCAAGAACAGCTGCACGATCTGCAGGTGTTCCTTTGCCTCGTCGGCCTCCATCTTCCGCAACTCGAGATCAATCGTCTTGACTTGAGTCTTGGCTGCACTGGACTGTAGCTTGTGATTAAGGTCGAGCATGGCTCTCGACTTGCTCGATAGTTCCTCGGCTTCGGCTTGTGAGATCTGCTTGCTGGCTTCAAGGTCCTGCAAATCGCTTTGCATCTGGCTCACGAGCGCGCGGAACCGGCTGATGTTGTAGTCTGCCTCGTCAAGTGCTGCTTGCTGCTCCCTGGCAGTGCGTTCCCGATCGAGCAAGAGGCTGTCCTTGAAGTCCATTTCCTCTTGCAGCTGCTTTTCTGTCTCAACGTGGTTGATTTCAAGTTCGTCGTTAACTTCCTTCAAGTCTTCGAGGTCTTCTATGATGGCATTCAAGTCGTTAATCTGCTCTTTCAGGGTCATATTCTCGTCCGAAAGCTTCTCCATGATCTCTTCTGCATTTTGGGCCACTTCGAGTTGCTCCCGCAGGTCATTGCCGTCCGCTTCAGCGCGTAGCAGCTTCTCCATTGTCTCTTCCAGTTGGCTCCTCACACTGTCCATGTCCTTGATCTGCTCTTCCATTGCGGTTATTTGTGCCTTCAGTTCCGCCTCATTATCTCTTGTCATATCACGTAAACTCAACAGTGCCTCTTTGAGCCGATCGTTACTCTTCTGCAGTTGTAACCAACCAGCACTATTCCTGTCCTCTGGGCTCATTTCTTTACTCAGCTCACTGTTCTCTTCACGCAGGATGTCGAGCTCCAGCTCGATTTCTTGGTTCCGCGCTCGAACCTCTTCGAGATCGGCCTTCAGGTTCTCCGCCATCTCTTCTGCCATCTCACGGTCAAGCAGAGCGACTTCTAAGTCCATGTCATGCTGAGCTTGCAAGTCCTCTACAGACTTCACCTGCGTTTCGTAGTCGGCAACCGTTTTCTTGAGCTTTTCCAGCTCCTCTCGTTGAGCCTTTGCCTTGATCGTCAATTTATCGTTGATATTCCTCGCGTCATCGCGTTCCTTTTGCATCTTCTGCAGCTCCTGCTTCAAACCTCGATCTTCGGCCTGCCTGCGTTTCAACAGCTCGTTCGTAGCCTCGAGCTCTTCGAGACGGCGTTTATCCTGTGCTGTGCTCCGAATTGTTCGTTGCGAGTGTATTGACGCAGCAGTCGGCGAGGAAGGCCTGCGTGATCGGGCTGTGCTCGCGGTCGGTGATGTAGGTACTGGAGGAGGTGGTGGAGCGAAGCTCGTAACGGTGTCTTCGACCTGTTCGTCATCATCCTCTTCGTTCTCGGCGTCTGTGTCCCGTTGACTGGCTGCCGAGGAAGAGACGATACTGTCCCGCGTAGAAGCGGCCTCGCTGGCCTCATCGCTGGTGCCTTCTTCAGTTGTAGCATTCAGACGCTGGCGTGTTGCTGGTTTGATCCCCAGTCGTCCTGGTACAGATGGTCGGGCGGCAGTAGCGGTTTTGGCCAAAGAAGTGCGGGCGGGGGCTGCTCGCGAGGACACAGTGCCCGGAGCTTTGGTGGGCCGAGCTGGCGCATTAGAAGGTACTCCTAGCACTGTCGACGTCCTTCTGCCCGCAGCAGCAGTGCCTGGAGCAACGCTTGTTCGCGGCTTGGAGGCTGCTGGTCTCTTGCCGGCGACTGGAGGCGTACCTGTCCGCGAGGTCGATGCACTGGTGACGCTGGATGTGGCGCCGGTGCCCAATTGTTTGGTGGGAGACTTGATAGGCGAGCGAATGCCGCTGGCAAGTCGAGGTGCTGGCGTGGGAGTGCCTTCGACAACGCTAGCACGCTTCCCTGGCCCAGGCTGGGTCAATGTTTGCCGGCGGGCTCCTGTCGCGGCTGCGTGCATGCTGCTCGGTCGTCCCTTGACCGGCGCTCCATTGCCAACGGGCTTGGTCGCTTGTTTCGCTCTGGGCTCCTCGACCACGCCGCTAATGCCATTGGGACGACAGAAGATGCCGTAGGGAGCGGTGCACTCGAAATACCGCTTGCCTTGGACGGAGCCATCATTCTTGCCCGACGGCTCTTCGAGCACCACGCCGACCCACTGCCCCTCAGCAAACGCTGTCGTGCCTACGAAGCGCACTGTGCCCACTCGCCCATCATTCAACTCGACTCTCTGCTCCACACGCCATGGATTGGCGGAGCTGCTCATCTTTGGCGTCCTTCGTGTTGGGCCTCGTCCACGCTGCCAGGCCAGGAATCGATGCTACTCATAATTGGCACCGATGCGCTCTGAAGTGTGCGGGACGCAGGGCGAGGCGGGCGCTGTTGGTGCTTGTGTCCAATGTTGACGGTGTGTGTTTCACCTTGCGTCGTGTGGGAAGTCGACGTGACGCGGTTGAGGCTCTGCGGGCTCATCAATTTAGCTTCCAAAACTTGAGCGACAAATTGCTTAACAGCGCCCTCGTCACAAACTGCAGCTTCCACTTACGTGACGAATGGAGTCAAGAAATCAGTAGGTGCGGCTGGATTCAGCCCTCTCTCGCTACCAGGAGATGCTCGACATTGGGACAAAGGACGGTGGCAATCCACGATGTCTGGTCACCACGAGCACCGTCTCCAACTACATCGACCATGCCCGGCCCCCCACGAAAAAGCGACCGTTCACGACAATACAGGGCCAAACATTTTCTCACACACTGGACCTCGTGTTGCCGGAGCCAGCAGCCACGTCACTTCACGATGCCTTGAAAGCTCTTTCTGCAACGCAGTTGACTTACGCCAAGGTGAACATGAAATTGCATGATCTGATCTCTGGTGACTTCTTCAACACTTACATCAAGCGGCCCGGCTCCAACATCCTCATGTTGTCTGAAGGACGTGCTGGAGTGGACAACATCTATTCGCTGAAGAATGGGACCCTCAAATTGGAACTCGACAAAGCCACATTCGAGAAGTCGGGTTTACAGGGTCAAGCAATTCCAACACAAGGACGCAAGCATGTTCAAGCACGATACGCCATTGAGATCGATCTTCGACAAGCTAGCATGGTCCACGGAAAGCGAGGTTTCGAGCGACTTGTCTGGCTAACAAAGAATGTCCTCGACCAGGCTGTGGCTTGGCTTTTCGTTGACCTTGAAGTGGATGGCGAAAAAGCCATTGAAGGGCCTGTTGTCGCCTTTGCACCAATTCTGCGCCGTACTGGGGCGGATGTGAAAAATATTCAAGGCGCACTGGTCCCCACGTGGCCGACAGAACTGAGCAGTGAAAATTATGCGGACGCTGCAGAACTGTTGGAATGGATCAGCCTGGCAACGTTGCTATCCTCACGCGTCAAGCACGGCGATGACGTTGATTCCTACTTGTGCAGATATCAGCCGCCTTCAGGCTCAGGCGAGGCGAAGGCGCAAGGTTTGGTGAGACTCAGGTGGCACGGACTGGTGGATCCTACCTTCACGCAGAAGGTGTTGCTCTCCGCTCTCAAAATCGTCGGAGACCAGTGGCTGGCAATGACGGCAACATCGTTCAATGCTGAGGAATATACAATCCTCATTCACCGCGGTATTTGCGTAACGTGGCAATACCAAGGGTGAGATGTCGGCCACTACTGCGAGCTTGGGTGCATAAAGCAAGCAGTCACAAGCTGAAGCTAAAGCTAAAGCTGCTGCCGGTTCAGCAAGAGTAAAACCAAGTTCCGAGCCGATAGTTTGAACGCCTTTTTATACTCGAGGGTTATCCAGTTCTACGGTCCTACGGCTCAAGGCCGGGATGGTGATGGTCTTCGCAAGGCTTCCACGTCTAAAGATCCCTACCCAGACATTGTTTCCCATCAAGCTGTACCGATAGCTGTCAGAAGGGACTGCAGTGGGCTGAGTACCTCTTCAGCACCTGACCATTTGTTACCAGCTGTGCTTGCGGCTTTTATAAGCAGTGGGTAGAGAAGGTGAAGGTGTGTCTCAGCAAATACTTGCTTCGCTGCTTCCATCTGCAAATCACTCACCAGCGTGCGAGCTGGCAGCTTCAGATCCTTAATGCACGCGAAAGTGAATAAGAGCTCTTCCAGCTCAGAGAGGGGTTGAGGTCGCCTTCCTCGAAGTGGTTGATCCGCAATATATGCCCGAATGGGGATCGCAAGCCTCTCGATCAGAAGGGGCCCAGCTGCCAACGCTAATGGGTCAGACGCTCGATTGTGCTCTCCCTGTTGTGAGCACAGCGTTGCCAGCTCCTTCCAGCATATGTATGCTAGATCTTCCCTCGGTGAGTATGATATCCTTCTGACACGACCATTGCGAGTCTTGTACCGATCCTTGACCACTGCCTGATGCTGTTCCGGAGAATCATGGTCTACGGGGTCATGAATGATTGATGTTTTGAACAGCTGAGCGCTATATGCAAGTCGAAGGTCATCACTCACTTCCGATCTGCGAAGTCGAGGAATCAGGACGTCTCGAAGTATCTGAAAGCTTTTTATGTCAAATGCCTGGTCGTCAAAAATCTTCTGTGCATCGCTGATGTGATGTAGACTGTCGTTACTAATGATGCCATTCAGAATGCCGACGAAGTGCGACAAGATCTGATTCTGCATGTCGTTGTCGATACTTTCGAGGCGAGCAAAGGCGGGTCCTGCCATTGCCAGTGCTGCGTTCGTTGCTTTCTGCCACAATGGAACGCCTTTCTGTTCGGCCCTGACACCATATTTTGCTTTGATCAGTTCCCTCAAGCTCTGCAAGGCTTGTACGAAGGCATCACCATCAAAAGCCTCTAGGTCCTTTAGCATGAGTGTGACCAATTCTTGAAGCCAAAGGATTGCCTCGCCCGCTATGGCGATGAAAGTTGGGCCCTGATTGGAAGACTCTTTAGATCTTGCTAGGTCATGATGCAGCGTAGCAAATTTGGCCGCCACAGTAATCAGGCATGCCGAGAGATTAGAATGGCCCAGCTTGATACTCTGCAATAAAGACAAAACCTTGGCTTGGAGAGGGCTCGTCATGTTTGTATCGGCGCCATAGAGAGGCCCGTCAGCGACACTCACGCAGTGGAACAAGTTGTCGATGAGTGTGCGAGCTTGGGAAAGGCTCAAGCTGTCAAGCGTGAGCCTGTACAGCTGTTCCCCTGCCTCCGCGTATGCAGTAAATGCATCCTGGTTACTGTGATTCTTTTGCTTCTGGTAACGATCCCCGCTGTGTGGTACTCGTTTAAGCCACAGACTCATAGTTCTGTACACGGGGGACTGCCATACAGTGATCGACGGATCGATACCTGATAGCACACGTGCCAATGAAGTATACACAACGGTGTTTAGAGCATGGTGCTCCGCATCAAGATATCGCTCCAGTACGTTCAGAAACACTTCCCAGAGGCCAGGGAGTTTCTTTACCTGCTCAAGGAGGCGCAAGTTATGTGCAATCACCCCTGATTGTCCAGCAACGATTGCTGTTGACATCGCGATGTTTGGTGCTTTTGATTCGGCGTTAGAGTCCACTTTTGAGGCATGATCCTCCATATACGAGTAAGAATCCACCCTAGAGATGTACATGAGCGTACTCCTTAACAGCATGTCCCAAGAGTTGGGAGACATCTCGTCACCGTGGCTTTTCACGACACTGCAAATTGTTTGGAATGCGGCGTTGCGAACTTCACCATGGGCTTGTGTGGCCACAGTCCGGAGACGAACGAGTAGCATGAGCCACTGAGCTGGCCGACACCCTCGTACCCTGGTCTTCATGTCGTCCTCTAAATCGTCGAATTCTTGAGCCTCCGCCATGAAATCGTCCAGCTCAGCTCGGCCGCACTTCGCGAACAGATGATCTGAAACGGTCAATGCCAAAGTGACAGTCGTCAGAGAAGCGTTTAGGTCGTCTGGCTGACACATAAATCGGTGCAGCAACTCAATCAGCGAAGCCACTGTTCGTTGCGGTATGGAGTCCATGAAGTCGGAGCAAAGCAGCTGAACAGCATCAAATGCAATGCGGCCAATTTGTGGAGTAACAAGATCGAACGAGATGTGCGTCCAATCTATGTCAACACCTGCTTCGACAGTCTCCGTTACAGTGGTGCTGTCCTGCTCGAAGGCACTGCTAATGATGGCCAAAAGACGATCCCAGCCTGCAGCAAGTGACTCGCCGTATTTTTCCAAAATAGTCCGGAGAGAGTCAAAGACGCAGCTTTGTAGCTCCAAGTCTGTCGAGCTCAGGTCACCATCCTCAAGGTATATATCACGAACGATACGCAGAAGTGTAGCGATCGCTCGTTCTTGCACAGGAGCGCGCTCTGTGGGCTCCAACTCCACGACATCAGCTACCGTCGCCTCTGCAAGTTTCACAAGCACGTTCGTTGCTGAGTGTCGTGCGTCCTTTGGGAGGGCGTTGTTCTTGGTAACGGCCGTCAACTCGTCGACTAGGTTGGTCCAGCCACTATTCATCGGTTCATCGCGGGTGAACCGCGTGACGTTTAGTTCAGCCAGTTTACCGAGCTTCGGTAAAATGAAATGGTAGTCTCTTGAGTCTCCCCCAGCGCTTATACTTGGCAAGCCAGATAGAGTCCGTCGACTCGAGGACGGAGTTCGAGGCGTGGTTGGCCTCCCATCTGAATCTGACTGAGACGTCGCCGCCGACAAGATATGGTTGCTGTTATGCAACATTTGGCAGAAAGCGGAGAGCACCTTGATGAAAGACTCATTAGGGTAATCAGCCGTACTCTCGAGTAAGTTTGATGCAGCTTTCTCTACGTTAGCCACTTCTGCTGAAAAAGCCTGAACGATAGATGCATTGTCAGTGCTCCCATGTGCCGAGAAAGAGCTTTGGCGTGTTAGTTGTTGCGGTGTCGTTGTACTTAAGACCATGTCGGCTTGCTTCAGAGCACTGAGAACAACAGTAAAAGCGTCTTGCAAGATGGGGCCCAAAGCAATTGCGATGTTGAGTAGTGCGCGCAGGCAAAGCAAGTTGCGGACTGTCAGCATTGGTTTCGCGTACTCGATTGAGCTTCGTCTCTGCCCATCCCCCGAGGCTGTCGACGCATGAGAGACCAGGCTATCGACGCTCAACAGGTTCTTGGGATTTGAGAATATTCTTGGGCTTTCGGCGACAGGAGATCTCGACAGCTCCATGTTCGACGCGGCCAGTACGTGCGGCGGGATCGCAACTTTGGCCATTGTGGTCATCAAAGCGTCTCTTGGTGTGCTGAGACGAAGCACGCCGGCTACTTGGACGAATCGCTGATAAGCTTTGATCAGGTTGCGAAAATACTGGTCATCGAGAGCGGCGTTCAAGAACGTGGACGCTGTTGCCAGCACCGCCGGCCATATGTGGTCTACGATGCTGGCTACTGCCGAAACACGATCCGCGTACGGCGCTTCTGCGGCATCCAGAGGATTGAGTGGCACAGCCCGTGTTCTGAAAGAGGTGCTTCGTAACCGGGCCTCAGAAGAAACGGTCGTCTCGCTGATAGCCCGCGCCGATCTAGCACGTCGCTTCTCATGCTGTACGGTTAAAGGTAGGATAATCTTGGCCAGGCTATCTGATAGTCCATTCAAGCACTCTAGGATGAGAGCGTAGGGGTACGTTTCGGGAAGCGCAGATGGATCATGCTTATCGAGCTGGTCGATGACCAGCACTTTGGGCAGGCTCCATTGTGAGCTTACACCAGCAATGTTGATCTCTGCAACGCCAAAGGTTGCTCCGAAGGATATGACACCCGCCATGCCTCCAGCCGCTTCGAGAGCAGCTTGCTCAGTTGCGCTCTGCCCCGGCGACGTTGGTCCTGTTGGCACGGATGATTGCTGTCCCAGTCCGATGGCTGTAGGCTTTTCGGTTGAAAGCCTTACGAATGCTGACAAAATATCTTGCACGACTGGTTTCCCGTCCTCGCGCATGTCGAAGGCGTGGTAAGCATCAACGATTTGACTACCACTCGTGAAGAGGCCGCGCAGTACTTCCATCACCAGGGCGCGCTTCCACGTGGCGGCATGGTCATACTCGAGCGCCTGAGTGCACAAACCAAGTGCAACCTCGCAGTCTTCTGCGAATTTGAACATGTACCTCTCCAGGACGAGTGCAAAGAGGCGAAGCGAGCGCACAGTGATAGGAAATGACCGTCTTTCCGATAATGCTCGTACGATCAACGGAAAGATGTTAGAACCAATGATAGCCAGCAGCTCATCATGACGCGCAAAGAGCTCGCGATGGGAGAACATAGATGACCATATGAGCTCCAAGCTTGGCAGGGAATGCTGGAACTGTACAAACTTGGTCTGTCGTTCGTCTGCGGCCAGCGCAAGATCCCGGAAGACTTTGTAAGCATCAAATGCTGCTGGTTTGAGCTTCATGGCACCATTACTGCCCGGAACTTCAACGGTCTCCACCTCGTCGTCCGCGGTCGCGTCTTCAGTGGCAACCTTCTCAAAGATAACTGTGACTAGCGACTGGAGCGTTGCCGCGGCCACGCCGCTGACTGTCGTTGTTTTCGAGGCCTGCAAAGATGCACATAGCTGCAACGCGCTTCCCAGCAGGTCCCCTTGAAGGTCGGTTGCGTAGTTTTGTATTAGTGAGGGTAGTGCTTGCAGGATCTTGAGCTGTATATCGTGGCCCAAGTCCGCACATGCATTTAGTGCCTGGACTGCATCTTGAAGGCGTGCCCGAGAGAGGCCGCCAGACACGATCAGTCGCTGCAAGCACGAGATGCCGCTCGCCGCGAATTTGGTGTTGCGAGTTGCGCAGGCGATCACAAACGGCTCCACGAATTCTGGTCGACGTTGGAGATCTTCATCTGTCAGCGGACCTGCGAGAAGCTGCAATGAGGCTGGGTAGCACGTTACCGGCTGCCAGTTGCTGTTCCGACGTCGCAGTGAACGACTTGAGCTCCTGTAGAGACTTGTCGGCAGCGTTGCGAAGCTCGGGGTTCTTCCGCTTGGCCTCTGCGGCGAGAGTGGTCAACTCGTTGGTCAGCAGAATCGTCGTCATGGTCTACAGAGGCACGAGGCAGAGGCTGACATGATGCCAGCTGTGGCGGAAGCACGAGAACACAATTGTTCGCTGAAGTCGAGTATGTATGTGAGGATAGATGGCATGTTGTGGCTGTTCGGCTGCGTGGCCTTGCTCCCATTCAGGCAAGAACTTCGGCTTCGGCTTCGGCTCGCTCCTCAGCTCGTGCGCTAGCGCTAGCGTCCCGTGCGCCGCGTCATAACTAGTGCAGATGATGGAGAACTACTGCTACTGCATTCACTTCCACCTGCAGCAAGCGCCAGATCTTGTTCACTTCGTCCACGGCATGCGTAGCTCACAGCTTTCTTCGCGAACGATTTACCGACAGACTGTCTATGTCCAGCGTCCATGAAGACGCCGCAGGAACGGAAGAGGGAGGTCAACGGCCTGTAACACCGCCGAAGCCAGCACTGTCGAGAGCCCTTTCCGACCGCTTCAGCGTTGGCCTGGACAAAGGTCAGGTGTCAACCGAGGATGATAGGCCGCAGAAGGAAAACGTTTCTGATATGAGCTCAACTGTGAGCGAGGCACAACCAGAGGTGGTGGAAGGAGTTGCAGACATGAATGGATCGGCCAAGGAAGAAGGCGGCGATTATTCGCATGCGCGGGCCGAGATTGAGCGGCAAGCGAGCGAACACCTTGCTCGCAGGGCGACAGAGATGTCGCTGTCCAGAGAGGATGATAATGACGAGCAGCACCATCTTAGCCAAGTTCCTGCTAGCACCATGGACAAGCACGATCTACCTGAGACTCCTCCCCCTCCTGCTCCGCCTCGGAAGGACAAACACGATGAAAAGGCCATATCCAAGGACGTCGAGTATGATGAAAAGCATCCGCCTCAGAACGAAGATGCACAGCCGGAGCTGCCAGAAGCCCCGTCTGGGACTAACGAGCCGACTGGCGCGGAGATACAGAACATTATGGACCAATTCGAGAGCGGCATGGGAGGATTGGAGGAGCAGGCTATCATGTCGCCACGACTGGAGCGCCAGCAGCCGATGCTCGTGTTGCCTCCGCGATCCTCAAGCCTCGAGGCACAACCGTCGTATACGCTGAGTCCGCAGAGCACAGGACAAAGTGTCGCCTCGCCCACACCATTACGGCCTCAGGGCACTGGCAACTCTATAGCTTCCAGTCTGCAAGGAGGGAAAGGAGACGATTCAGCATCGATCAAAAGTGCTAGGGCCGGCAGTCTATTCCAGCCACCTCCCCCTGAGCCGGAGCCGGAGGCCGCCCTCCCATTCGACTTTCATCGTTTCTTGGAACAATTGCGAAACAAGTCGGCAGATCCAGTCGCCCGTTATCTCCGCTCATTTCTTGGCGAATTTGGCAAGCGGCAATGGATGGTTCATGAGCAAGTCAAAATCATCTCTGATTTCCTAGAGTTCATCTCCAGAAAGATGGCACAATGCGAAGTATGGAGGACCGTCTCAGATGCCGAATTTGAGAATGCTAAAGAAGGAATGGAGAAATTAGTCATGAATCGACTGTACTCATTCACCTTCTCTCCCGCTATACCTGCGGCCCCTTCAAGTCCTCGAAAGGGCACAAGGAGTCATCGCATGCAGGCTGATCAGGCCTCCGTCCATGGCCCCGGAAGACGTGGTCAGCATCAAGAAGATGTCGAACGCGACGATGTGATCGCACAAAAGATCAAGATTTATGGCTGGATTCGTGAAGAACATCTTGATGTGAAGACTTTGGGAGCGAAGGGCGATAAATTTTTGACACTCGCGCAGAAGGAGCTGCTCAAGATCAATTCGTACCGTGCACCACGAGACAAGGTCATCTGCGTGTTGAATTGTTGCAAAGTGATCTTTGGCTTTCTGAAAAATGCTAAACAGGACCAATCAGCTGATGCCTTTGTGCCGCTACTCATCTACACAGTACTGCGGGCACGTCCTGAACATCTTGTCAGTAATGTGCAATACATCTGGAGATTTAGAAACCAGGATAAGCTAGGTGGAGAGGCAGGCTACTACATGTCGTCCCTGATGGGTGTGGTGACGTTCATCGAGAACCTGGATCGCACGAACCTGACCATTTCGGATGCGGAGTTTGAGCAGAATGTCGAGCGCGCTGTGAGCGCAATCGCCGAGAAGAATAGAGCAGACGAGCACGACCACAAGGCACAAATGTCGCGACCTTCCGGACCCATGAGCCATCTGAGTGAGAAAAGTGCCCTCAGCCAGCCGGAGGTGACGCCGCGCAATAGCGTGGAAGTGGAACAATCCACTCCTAGACGGAGTCATAGCCAACGTCTCCCCGAAAGAGTAGCCCAGTCCAGCCGTGCTGGTAATGACGATGCCGAACCCGATTCTATGACTGGGCTCCTACGAAGTATACAGAAACCACTAAGCAGCATTGGGCGCATCTTTTCCGACGATGGAAACGCGGATGAGAAGCAGACCAGGTCAGGCCACACGCCACGAGGCTTGAGCCCGGCGCCGCAGCTCGAGCGGGACCGCAGCGGGCATGCACGACTCTCGGCAGAAAGACAGCGAAGCCAGCAACGACAGATTGCAGATGATGCTGCTGCCAGGCAAGCCAGTGCAGAGGTGGCACAGGCGCAGGCGGTAAGGGTGCGCGAGCACAAGGTCGTGGTAGAGTATGTCATGTTCCCATTCTTTTCCGTACTTACAATTTCGATGCTGACCATTCTTTCAGGACTCTTCAGAGCATGTTCCCCAACCTCGATCGTGAAGTCATTGAGGATGTTGTGACCGCACAGGAGGGCAACGTGGGTAGGGCAGTGGACGCTTGCCTCGCGTTAAGCGCAACATAATATCTAGAGCTCTCACACGGTCTCCTTGACCATCCATGTCCCAAATCTTGCACAGTGATAGAGCCATGCCATGTCTACACAATTCCAATCGCGCCATTACTAAGCCGAGCCAAGAAATTAGACTAGCCTATACGCCACAAAACGCAAACCTGGGGAAGATCGGCCGCGAGACGGTTGCCGGCATCCGCCAGGCGCATGCATGTCCTGGGCCTCCTCCAACCCAATACATGTGTAGCAGCAGTCTGACGGCACCGGGCAACGCCAAGTGTGAACAGCGTTCCCAGCACCACCCCGACACAGCAGTCCCGCGCACTCTTGCGATCGATTGTACCACAGTCGGAGCGTGTGTGGCGGACTGGTTCGAGGTTTCACCGCGACACGCCCCTGCGCGACCGAGCAGCAAAACGTAACGTCATCCAGCTGTTATTTTGCGCATCACACTCCTCGACGAGATGGTCATCAACGACACGCGGAAGCGCTTGCTGAGGCAGCTCAACAGTCGATACATATATGGACGATATGTATGTTGTCCCGCAAACTGGGCAGTTCTGAGAGTCCCGCCCGCCGGATCGAACATGTGCTGACCTGTCGCCGTTGCTGCAGCCTCTCTTGCATGCGATCGTGAGTACAGTTCCAATACAGCGCATCGACGACAGAGTCACCTACTTACCACCCGAGTCTCTTTTTAGATCGCCCTCATCCAGATCACCATGGTTTCGATCCTCGTACGCAGGTTCAACGCCTACTATGCCAACCGACCCATCCTCACCACAATGATCACCAACGCAGTATGTTGTGCGAGTCCAACATCTACATCGCAATAGGCGCAACTCTGACATGAGCTGGGAACTAGGTACTTGGAGGTATCGCAGATACGGTGGCACAAACACTCACCGCCGTGCGCCGGCGACAACGGCAGAAGGCGCTGAATCCCAGCGATGGCGAAGATGGCTTCCTTTCGATCGAGATTCATGACCTGGACAGGAAAGTGCCGTGGCCGGAAGACGATTATATGACACCTGCGTCCAAACGAGGACCGCCTCCATTCGACTTCGAAAGGTTGACGAGGTTCATGGCATATGGTTTTATGATGGCCCCTGTACAGCATAAGTGGTTTGGGTTCTTGAACAGGATATTTCCTATCGTCTCTGGAGAGGGCAAGGGTACTACAAATGCTCTGCGAAGAGTTGCGTTCGACCAGTTCCTCTTTGCGCCAGTCGGTGAGTCGGGCAGTGACGAGCAAAGATTTCCTGTCTGGCAAGCTCTGACGTCTATTGCAGGTCTCGCGGCATTCTTCACATTCATGACAGTCGCAGAGGGCGGTGGGAAACGAGCTGTCGTTCGCAAGTTTCAGGACGTGTACCTGCCAGCACTCAAAGCGAACTTCATAGTATGGCCGCTCGTACAGGTGTTGAACTTTCGAGTGATGCCGATACAGTTTCAAATTGTAAGTGCTACTCGAATAGCATGTCTTTACGAGACTGACGATATACAGCCGTTTGTGTCAACAGTCGGTATCTTCTGGACGGCGTACTTGTCGTTGACGAACTCTTCGGATGAGCCTGTGGAAAGTCCTGCACGATCGCCCGCCGTCTCGGCTTAGGACTGCAGCGTTGGCGCTTTCACCAATGAAATGTAAAATGGAACGAATGAACAGCATCTGGCAAGACCCCGTCGGAGATACTCGGAAGACTTCACCTGTGTCTCAGCTTGGCGTTTGGCGATTGGGGCATCCTGGGACTGCATAGCATGAAAAGTGGGTAGCATAGCCTCGGGCGAAGGCGGTAGCATGTACGTGTTTCTTGTTATACAACTCAGTTCACCTGCGTTGATTCTTCTTTTTCTGAATTCGTAAAGTCGCGAAAGCTGTGACGTACTGCCAGAACACTTGAGGCTCTCAACTCGACGCCTGCCCCGCGGACAACTTCTCAACCCCACCATCAAAAACGAATCAACAACACATTTGGTCGCAAAGTCCCTCACAGCATTGCGGGAAATAATACCAGAGCCACAATGTCTCTAAGCAACAAACTCTCGATTGCTGACGTCGACGTCAAGGACAAGCGCGTCCTGATTCGCGTGAGTTCCTGCGAAAGTTAGGAGTCATTAGAGCAAGCATTGACACGAACATTTTTGACACAGGTGGACTTTAACGTCCCACTCGACAAGGAGACCAACTCGAAAATCACCAACAACCAGCGAATTGTCGGTGCGCTACCGACCATCAAATATGCCATTGAGAACGGTGCAAAAGCGGTGGTTCTGATGTCTCACCTCGGCCGTCCTGATGGGAAGCCAAACAGCAAATTCTCGCTGAAGCCGGTCGCCGCGGAGCTGGAGAAGCTACTTGGCAAGAAGATCACTTTCACAGAGGACTGCGTCGGACCTGAGGTGGAGAAGATAGTGATCGAGCAGAATAACGGAGGTGTTGTGCTGTTGGAGAACTTGAGATTCCACGCCGAAGAGGAGGGTTCAAGCAAAGACAAGGACGGCAACAAGACCAAGGCCGACAAGGCTGATGTTGAAAAGTTCCGCAAGGGCTTGACGGCACTGGGAGACATCTATGTCAATGATGCCTTTGGTACTGCACACCGCGCGCACAGTTCCATGGTCGGCGTAGACCTCCCACAGAAGGCTTCGGGCTTCTTGGTCAAGAAGGAATTGGAGTACTTTGCTAAGGCACTGGAGAGCCCACAGAGACCATTCCTTGCCATTCTCGGAGGCGCGAAGGTGTCGGACAAGATTCAACTTATCGAGAACATGCTGGACAAAGTCAACTCTCTCATCATTTGCGGCGGGATGGCTTTCACTTTCAAGAAAGAGTTGGACGGCATGAAGATTGGCAACTCCCTCTATGATGAGGCTGGCGCAAAGAAGGTCAAAGAGCTGGTGGAAAAGGCCAAGAAGCAGAATGTCAAGATCACACTGCCAGTCGACTACGTCACTGCAGACAAGTTCGCGGCTGATGCAAAGACTGGGTACGCCGAAGACAAGGACGGCATACCAGATGGGTGGATGGGTTTGGACTGCGGGGAGAAAAGTGTCGAGCTTTTCAAGAAGACCATTGATGATGCTAAGACGATCCTCTGGAACGGCCCACCGGGTGTTTTCGAGATGAAGGCCTTCGAGAAGGGCACTCGCGCGACCATGGATGCTGCTGTGGCGGCTGCACAGAATGGCAAGATTGTCATCATCGGTGGAGGCGACACTGCTACCGTTGCTGCTCAGTACGGCGTGGAGGAGAAGCTCAGCCACGTCTCGACCGGTGGTGGTGCATCGCTCGAGCTGCTCGAGGGCAAGGACCTGCCTGGTGTTTCTGCATTGTCCGCGAAGTCGTGAATACAAGGCAGTAGACTGTGATTGTCTGCAATGCGCTCTTGAGCAAGTAGGGCCATCGGCTGAGAATTAGATCAATGTGCACGTAGAGCAATGCCATCGTCCGAAGAGAGGTGCCACCCGTACGTGACGCAGTCCTACAGAAGCAGCAGCTCGTTAACCATTGTTTCCTTCGACTTGTTGTCGGAGTTGTATATCCATCGATGCCGATCACATCGATTTAGCGTCATATCTCATAGATGCGTTTCCCAACGCAGCTTCTCTGGTTTCCCGGCGGCGTGCGGTCACCACTCCACCACGTTGGGCTGCTGGTTTGTTTGCCTCGCCATCGCTGCTTGGTCGCACGCATCAGGATCACTGCTTCTGGTCAAGCCGATGCATCCTGCATCTTCATTTCCCCATCTTCTTCAACTCCTCCTTCAATTGCACTGCAAAGTCGTCGGTCGTGTCATCATCGTCCCAGCTCTCCTCCCAGAGATGTGTGTTGCCAGCCTGTTGGCCAACCTCGTCCTCCTTTGCCCAATCTACCAACGCTGGTCAGCTCTTGTCGAACGTCACTTCTCGCTCAAGTGAAGCCGACCTTCTACGGGGAAGTCCTCGAATTCATCGTCCTCCTCAAGCTGCGCAGCTTTGTTCTGTGGCTGAAGTGGCTTGTCGTTCGGGTCAGAGTCGGATACGTTTGCGGCCGAAGCTTTTGCAGTTGGGTTTGCAGGATTTGTGTTGTCTGGTGCGCCGGACATTGTGGATGACTGTCGTGTCGTGTTCTGTGTGTTGGCTGATCGATGTCGAGGTGTTGGGCAACGCTGTCGCTGTCGCGGATTCCGCTTTGGTAAGCTTCGGGAGTAAGCGAAGCCTTATTATGCAAGCCGCGCCGAAGTGAACAGCTTCTTCACGCTTCACGCCAAATTGATCCCTTGCAGCACGTGTAAGTCTGGAATCGTCTATCTCATGTGTGGCATCTTCTGCTCCGTGGCAAGGCACGGCCATGCTTTGCCTTCGCCAGCCATGAAGACTAGGCTCACAGCGCGAGGCCCGGACGCGTCGAACACCGTGCTCGCTGAAGTCGAAGAATCCTCCGGCGAAACGAGAACATATCTGACACTCTTCTCTACCGTTCTATCTCTCCGCGGCAATGTCACCACAGATCAACCTCTTCGCACAGCCGAGTGTCAAGCTGTACTTTGCTGGAATGGTGAAGCATGGAAAATTCGAGGGCAGCCTCCCCTCGGCAACGACACGGCTGCCGTGCACCAACTGCTTTCCGAAGGACTTGCAGAAGTACGCGACTTTGGTGCAGGGACAGCCGAAGCTATCAGAGCCAGTCTGCGCGCCATCGCAAGGTCGCTTGCTCGGGTAGCTGGACCTTACGCCTTCGTATTCTTTAACGAGAAGTCGTCTAGGCTCTTCTTTGGACGAGATTTCCTCGGACGTCGTTCTTTGCTCTGGAAAATAGACCAACGTGGCGAGTTACTTTTGAGTAGCGTTGGCGACTCGTCGATGCACGGAGCCTGGGCAGAAGTGGAGGCCGATGGAGTCTACTGCGTTGACCTAGCTCTGCGCTCAGCTTCCCAGCAAGACTTTGCTGGGTGCCAGACTTGGGGCGATCTGCCTATTTTCAAGGTACCCTACAATTTCGCTGATAGTCTCCAAGATGACAATGATTCTGTAGGTTGCGCCAAATTGGCCAGACTATGCCACAAGACTTATTCAAAGGTAGGTCATTCCCCGGCTGTCTCTTCAGCGAGAGTTAACCGCTCGTTCGTGCACGCTCGACGAGACATCACCCTCAGTGTCCATGTTGGATAAGCTCTTGCGAGACTCTCTGCGTGCTCGTATACTCGGAATACCAGATCCGCCGCTGCGATCACAAGAGTCAAACTTTGAAAAAGCTAAGTTGGCAATCCTTTTCTCAGGCGGACTTGACTGCACCGTGCTTGCAAGAATCTGTCATGATATGCTACCTGAAGATGCGGTCATTGATTTGCTCAACGTCGCTTTCCAGAATCCGCGTTCTCACAAGGATGCTGGCGAGGGTGCCTACGAGCTGTGTCCGGATCGGATTACAGGACGAGCCTCGTATGCCGAGCTTGGAAAAGTATGTTCACCGCGCAAATGGCGATTCGTCGCTATCGACGTCCCGTACTCAGAGTATCTCGAGCACCGTCAGCAGGTTATGGAGCTTATGCATCCACACAACACCGAAATGGATCTCAGCATCGCTGCTGCACTATACTTTGCTGCGCGGGGAAGAGGGCGCGATTGCTCTCATGGCGCGGAGCAAGCCTACATGTCACAAGCACGGGTATTGCTCTCCGGATTAGGTGCTGACGAGCTTTTCGCTGGGTACACTCGCCACGCCACGGCCTTTAGGAGGCAAGGTTACGAAGGGCTACTCGATGAGCTGGATCTCGATGTGGCCAGGCTCGGTAAACGGAATCTCGGTCGTGACGATCGCGTGATCAGCCACTGGGCCAGGGAGGCGAGATTTCCATTCCTCGACGAAGCTTTCGTGGCGTGGGCGTTGCAGTGCTCGTTACTGGACAAGTGTGATTTCGGAGACTCCATGAGCATCGAGGGAGGGCGGCTCAGCTCTTGTGCCTCAATTGAGCCAGGCAAGAAGGTCCTAAGATGTCTCGCCTGGAAGTTAGGAATGGCGGGAGTAGCCAGAGAGAGAAAGCGAGCAGTAAGTTCTTCTGAAGATCTACACGAGGTTAGCTGACGTTCCTTGAAGATTCAATTCGGTGCACGTACAGCAAAGATGGAGACCGGCAAAACGAAGGGCACCACCATGATAACATGAAACTATCGCCTATGAACAGACACGGGTAAGTCTTAGCAATTCATTTCTGCAGCACGCATGATGATGATGGATGTGTCTCTTTTCAGAGTCCATTCAGATACTTGCGAGACGCACTCTGACTTAACCCGCTGGTCAAAGGCTGTGGTTTAGCAGTGAATCTGCATCGATGACCTTGCAAAAGGCAAGTCTGATTCGCGACCATGGCGGCCATTCCGTTCGAGTAGTGTACAAGCTGTACGCTAACTAGATGCAGCGACCATGGGGACATCCATCAAACTGGGTGATGTTGCCTCAATGCGAGATATCTTGCGGTGCACACGACTACCACGTGCTCCGAGGTCAGCACAGCTTGCATACTGTTAATGCGGATCGTCACATTCGACAGCCTGATCGACCATTGGCATGACCTCTGCCATGCCCAGCCGGATCAGCAGATTCGTTTTCTCGCCAGCATTCTACTATCGAGCTACAATTGTGACCAAGGCGCTCGGAGTCACCGCATGCCTGAGACAGGTGACCATCGAGGGATTGAAGTGAGCTATTGCTACTTGCTAAGCTGCCTGCATTGGAGGCTTTGAGCCGGGAGCCGATTTCGTCTATCGAACCTGATAAGTCTCCAAGCAATACTATTGGCAGAGCCGTCAGTTGGCTGGTCCTGCGAAATTCTATTGGAATCGAGCTCCAACCTCGACATGGATCACGCACCGGAAATCAGGGGCATTTCATCATTAAGCAAATTTCGAGTCGCACATGAGCCTCGTCACACTCGGTGTGCTCGAGTCCATCAGCTGTTGCTTTGATGGTCACGTAGAGGAAGACTCATGAGGATGATGTGTGACAGAGCTGCAGCGAGGGAGCAGCACATGGACCGAGTCTGGCAACCATAAGTATGCAAGCGATCCCCTCTCAATTCTTGTTTCTTTCTGTATCAGCAACCAACCATTACGACAAGCAGCAATCAACAACGACTACCACAACCAACTGACACTTACTTCAACTTTCGACACTCGACTTCATTCGTCCGAACATCTTTTACCAAATCTCAAGCACAACAAGCAGCACTCTTTCACTACACGACCCAACATTCTGCACTATGCGTTCCTCATCAGTCGCTGCCCTGCCGGCGTCCTCCGTCTCGGCTGTTAGCAGTGCTGTTGGCAGTGCTGCAGTCCCTGCCTTGGGTGCTTGCCCGAATATGAGGGCCATAGTAAGTCCGCAGCGTTGATCGACAAATGGTTTGATATGACAGATTGCTGACTTTGACAAGTCTATTGATCCCAACGCCGATCAGGGTACCAATGGTGCCAAGTCAAGTGGTATGCCATCTGGTGTGCCATCTGGTATGCCATCTGGTATGCCATCTGGTATGGCCTCCATGGTACCAACCGTAAGCATTCTCATTTTGATCTTACGATAGCGGTTCACTGAATTATGATACATACAGGGCTCCGTGGCCAGCAGACACGGCTCCGCAACAAAGAAGAACGCCTCACCGACTGCCTCCGGCAGACCTGTCAGCTCGGCACTAGCAAACCGCGCCATTTCTGAGGCTTTGGGTCTCCACATCCGCTCTGACATAGGAGAGCTCACCAGCTCTCACTCCATCTACCCCACTGCACGCTACGCTGGTGATCGGCTCCCGACCGACAGACTCCTCGCTCGCCACGAGATTACTACTCTCCGAAAAGTTGTCCGATCACCATGGAAGCCGAGACTCTACGATCGTGCGACAGAGTCGGGTTTCGGTGACAACACTGGCGGCGCAGGAGATGATAGTGGTGCTGGGCCAACTCCAACTGGCAGCGTGTCTAATGGTGCTAGCGGACATGCTGGGCCACAAGTCGATGATGGTGAAGGCGGGCAAGAATTTGAAGGCACCGCGACTGGTGGCTCCGATCAAATGCCACATTCTACGGCTGCCGGTGAGGATGCCTTTGAAACTGGCGCGGGATCCTCAGCTGTAGTTACTGGTTTCCCGCCAGATATCTCGGGACCATCAGAAGACAGTCAACCCACCGTGACGGCCAGCGATGATACAGACGGCGTTTCTCCGAAGGGTGCTCAAGCCACGGGAACCATGGCCTCAGGAACCCCAGCAGGAGTTACTGGTGCTGCGGCAAACATCTCGGTGCCACCGGAAGACAGTCAACCCACCGTGACGGCCAGCGATGATATAGACGGCGTTTCTCCAAATCATGCTCAAGCCACGGGAACCCTGGCCTCAGACACCCTTCTGCCAGTCCCTTCTTCGACAGGCGCAGCTGATGGAGATGGCTCCAGCTCAGACACCGGCGTTCCCCCGTCAGCATCAAGCAGTGCATTTCCTGAAGACACGGACGACAGCAGCCCGGAAGCCGATGGAGGTGCAGGCAGTCAGTCTCAAGGGACCCCCAGTGGTGACCCTGATCAGAGTGCTGGCAACAGCGAAAGCGGTACACCTGCAGCAATGCCTCATCCATCTGGGAGTTCTACTGGTGGTTCTGACGATGGCGGTGATAAGAGCAATGAAGATGGCGGTGCCGACGGGATTGGCGGAGATGGAACCTCGTCTTCAGCTCCTAATACTGGCACAACTCAACATGGTGACGACAGCAACAGTCCACCTCCTAACAATGTGTCAACTCCGCCAGGAGGCTCTGGCTCAGGTGCTGGGCTACCTGGAAACGGAGAGAACGAGTCACCGACACCTCAGGCTGGCGCTGGAAGCCCCAGTGCGGGTGGAGATGGTGAAGCAGAGGGCGATAACGACAGCGGGTCTGGATCGTCTCAGTCTGGGAATTCGACTCCGGCCGAGAATTCGTCTCCGTCTGATAATCCTTCTCAATCCGGGGATTGGTCCTCAGGTGTTGACAAGACTGCCAATCCAAGTGGTGATGATGGCAACGATGTAGGAGAGGGCTCTGGTGTTGGAGGAGATACTGGAGGATCCACTTCAGGCGGTTCTGGGGCTGCCACAGGTGCCGGCGCTGGTGCCAAGATCAATGCCTTGCCGATGGCACAGGCGCCGAAGTTCGAAGCCGGACAGAAAGGTACCTTGCTCTTCATTCCAAGCACCGGCGACGTTGGGAAGAGTGGGGCGCAAGATGTCGACCAAATCCTCGCGTCTGATCAGCCAGTTTACGAAGCCAGCGGCGAGATCATCGAAGGAGGCGTCTTCCTTGTTGACGACCAACCCATGCTCACGTTCAATCCGAGCAGAGTGGGTGGTGGAGGTTCTCCCGCAGGTGGTGCTGCTCTCCCCTCCATTTCTGTATCTCCTCCTGACGAGCAGAATGAGGGCTCTCAGCCGACAGGAGCACATTCTCCCGCTGGCGCCGCATCAGTGCCTGCGTCAGCATCAGTTACACATGCACCAGAAGTTGAGCAGGCAGGTTCGGGAGGAGACGATGGAGATTCTCCTGGAGCCCCAATCACCGAAACGATGCAGAGGAGATGGCTCGAAGGCCGAGTTGCCAAGAAGGCCACACCAACCAAGAAAGGCTCCCACAATACTAGGACCAAGGCAGGCGCAGCGTCCACAGGCAAAGCAGGATACAGTTTTGGCAAGGCTACGTCGGGCTTCAAAAAGATGACAAGCGCTTACGGTAATTATGTGAAGCACTCGGCTACAAAGAGCGCATCTCATGCCTTGAAGACGCAGAGCAGCTATCATGTCACGTCCACTCTGGCGAACGTACATGCATCACCCACTGGCGGCGCTATGGAAGACCAGCAATACAGCTCCGGCGGCACAGCATCGCACGACACCGCGCCAGGCGATGACACGTTTGTTGAGTCAGGAAGCTACGGCGACGGAGCACCATCAGGATCTAGTTCAGAGGGCGCTTACGGCGATGAGGGTTACAGCACCGGCGGTGAGAGTGGTGGCAGCAACTCTGGAGGAAATCCATCGAGCGGAAGTGAAGCTGGTGACATGGATACTGACGGATCTGGTGTGTCGAACTCCGAAAGCGACAACGGTGGAGATACAGGTTATCCGCCGACTGATGGATCCGGCAGTCAAGCTCAACCCGGAGGTTCTGGAGGCTCAGGCGACGGTTCTGACCAGCAGCTTGCCTAGTCTCGCCATGCTACAACAGACATGACCACAACACCACTCCCGAAACTCAAGTTTGCGAAAATGGCGACTGACGTCACGATTAAAAGCTTGATCTTCTTGCTTAAACAGATGCGACTTTGAAGTCTGGTGTACTGGACTCTGGCTGATCCCGTGGGCGACAGCTTTGAGTGTTCTGCTGAGATTTCTTCTTGTTATGATATTTGTTTGGAGATAGGATAATGGCACACACACTTTCACTAAAGACAAGAGCGACTTTCTGGTTGGAGCGGCTGATACTGGAGCATTTCAAGATCTGTCATGGGTTCTGCTCAGAGAGCCACATTTCTGTATCATGTATAAGCATATGGGCAGGATATCAAGCGTGTTGCGCGAAATCTCAATGGGTTTCAGGCAGTGCAACTACTAACTTCCACTGACCTGTGTCTGCACATTCAACTCTCGGCGCAGTCGATCAATTGCTCAGGCACCTCCTTCACGCTTAGCATATTCATCCTCCATCCTCTCAAGGTACAGCTTTTCGGCTGCTTCCTCTGCACTTCCTGGCTTGCTTTGAGACGCGCCAATCTGGGGCTTCTCTGACTCGGACTGCGACTGGTTGGACACTATGTTGCCCCCGGCATTGCCACTGACGGCTGTCTCTGATGTGGACGGAGTTTCGTCCTTGAGGCCCGCGGTCTGGTGTGGCAGTGAAGACATGGTGGGTTGGTTGTTTCTTGAAGACTTCAACAGGCGTTGATCTGTCTGATGGCGATGAAGTGAGGCAGTGAGTGGAGTGAATGTACATGTACATGTAGTTTCCATTCCATATTGTTGGAAGGTGTGATGTCATCGGCTCGGAAACAAGCTTTGTGCTCGTGCACCTGCAGCGCCCGCGATTTGCATGTGCTTGCGCTTGTTTGCTTGCTTGCTTGCTTGTGTCGTCGCTTGGTTCTTTGACCCGTTGCTGCAGACAAAACTTCGGCCGCGAGCCATTGGACATTCTTCCACCGCACTGCGACGCGCCATGGCGAAGAAGAAGGCCAAGGGCGAAGCGGGCGAGAGCTCCTCTGCTCCGCCGCCGCCGCCGTCGACGTCGAGCCTGATCATCTGCAGGAACAAGTAAGTAAGTCGCCCGTCTTTTCCTCGCGTCTCGCCCATTTGCCCCACTCTCTTCTCCTCTCCTTTTGTTTCCTCCTACCTCTCGGCCCTCACTCGTCCTCTCCCGCTGACGCTGCTCTCCACGCGACAGACACTGGCGGTACATCTCCAGTTTCCACGGACCATGGCTTCAACTTCCACCCGAGATCCTCGACTCGCTCGCCCACCAGAACTGGACCATGCCTGCCCCGCGCCTAATCGATCCCGCCGTCTTCTACGATATCGTTAAGATCCGCAAAGCTGTCGATCAAGCCTCAGAAGACTCGGTGCGTGCCTCGACGGGCTTGTCTAACACTGCCATGAACGGCCGCATGGACTACTTCGGTGCTGGCGGGGGGCCGGGGAGTCAATTGAGCAAAGAGCGAATCTTCAAGATACGGCAAAAGGCTGTGAAGCTGCTGTCATCGGCTTTCCAGCTCGACGAGGTAGCCGCGAGCGTTGCGACCATGCAGGCAACGAGCACTGTCGAGGATGTGGCTCAACATGTGCTGAAGCGAGAGTCGCACAGTACAGACGCGCGCTACGTGCATTTCTTCCACGAGAAGATTCCGAGTCGCGCCATGGAAGAATATACTCCCCTCGATCCACTCAACGAGATCATACAGGCACTGCCTATGGAAGAGCAGCCTGCTCCGTTGCGAACGCGGGCGCTGGTGCAGATCTTTAAACAACAATGGCAAGGCGCTGTGTACGATCTGACCATCGCCTTGCGTATTATAGAGAACTTACGGCGCATACACAAGCCCGACCAACAGGAGCTGGAACTGGCGAGCAAGATGAAGGCCGAGCAGGAAGCATGGCAGAAGGGACACAGAGACTGGAGATCAGTACCGCACCTGAAAGAAGAGGATCAACCGAAGAGCTTGGAGATGCAACTCTTGTTCAATCGTGCTGGTGTATACCTCACTATTGCTTGTCAGAGCGTGCATGCCGCTCTGGACGGGCTACAAGAGTATCAGCAAGCCACTGCAGAAGGTGAGAGCAACGGCGTCGATCGAAAAGCGCAAGATGAGAGACTTGCCGCGCGAAAGATCGTGAAAGTGAACGCAAGGCGCGCCTTGAAGGACTACGAAGCATTCCTCTCACACTTCGACTACACGCCAGGCCTGCCTTACGAAATCACAAATGAGATCATGCGAAGGGTCCATGATCTGGCGAACGGCAATAAAACACAAACGACCCTGCCCAAAAGCAGGTTGATAGAGTTGAATGATTCTGGGGATGAAGTCCACAGCGACAACGCGGATGAGAAGCTTACGCCAACTTCGAGTTCTATGATCAAGCATCAGAAGCCGAAGTCGGATCCATTCGAACGCGGCGAGGATGGGTGGCCAAAGTTTCCGTCGCCCAAGATTCATCCTGCCAGCGCCCTCTTCACTCAGCAGCCTCCAGCAGATCTTCCTCCTTTTCCCAGTGAGGAGACCATAGAGGCGATGCGGAACAACGACATTCTACATGAAGCATTCGGGAGTCGCGAAGCTGTTACATATCACCCACTTCTCACCGATGCGCTGCACTCTTTACTATTGGCACATGCGCTTGTTCAGACAAGTCCCACCGAGATTCTGCGTCACGCCCACAATGCGGCGCGTCTGGCGAGGATCGCGGACGGCTATCCAATCTTCCAAGCGGCTCGCAGCCCTGCTCGTGCTGACTGGATTGAAGTGCTTCGCAGAGCAAACAATTGGCTTGGTCTCAGTGTGCCGTGGCAGAAGCTTTGTGCTCCAGCTCCTCTACCTGACGCCGCCGGCGGTTGGGCAAAAGACACTTCGTCGAAAGCGGTTGCACGGCAGAAAGAACGAAAACAAGAAACTTCGGAGCAAAAGCGAGAGCGCATAAAACAGGAGTCCATCATTGATGCTCTATCCGATGATCGCGTAGTCGATGAAGAGTCCTTCCAGCGAGCCGTGCGTGCTAGAGAGCGCAGAGCGATGGAGGACGAGGAAGGCATCAGTGGTCCACTCAGAGACAAAGACACCTCCGCGACGCCGTCTACTGGCTCATCGACACCGACGACGAATGGTGACAGCTCCGGACCTCCGCCCAAGCGCTGGGCACAAGATGAGCATGGCAAGGAGTATCCCATTAGTACTGAGCGCGCTGAAGCCATTGCTCGTTGGATCAAGGAGAGCCCGCTGAGTATGGGCGCGAAGAAAAAGAAGCGGCGCGCTGCTGGGCGGAGGACAGGGCAGAATGGCGTGCAAGCCGCGACGTCTGGGATATCTTCTCTGGCTGTCGACGACGATGACGGGGATGATGATGGTCCCGATTGATTTGATTCTTCCCACGCAGCTCTTCATTGCAGAGTTGCAGATGCTTGAGCATGACTTCAGAGGTCCGATTGGAGGGCTTCGCAAGTCTTGAGAAACCCAGCTTCAAGGAGCCGAGTTAGTACTTCGTTTTGGACGGTCGATTGACGATCGTTACATAGGAGTTTGAAAGTGGCCAATGGCGCCTTCTCCTGCATCGCTATCAACGCGATGACTCTGATTTCCTCCCCATTCAAACTTTTCACCTTGTCTCAAAACATCATTTGCGATGAAGTCAGCGTGTGTAGTCGTGCATCATAGCAGAAAACGCCCCAGAACAGTATAACTCCGAACGTGGGAGTCGCCTCGTTCTTTTACACTGTACTCGACCAAGTAACCCATGATGACTTGTTCCGTCTCTCGCTTCCTGCAAACTCCCATTTGCTTTCAGAAACCCTTAATGGGTATCAAACTTCCTCTCGCCACTTGCATACAGCAAGACCAGGCGTGCACGCCCATGTCTCTCATCCCCGATCGCCACAAAGCCATTACGAACTCGAAGCAGGAGGAGCGACATTACTCAATCCCAACTTCTCATTCTCCGCTCGCAACTCCTTGATTACTTTCTGTTTTTCCCAAAACATGATCAGCCTAGTTCCAACAGGTATAGTCGACAAACTTGAACGAAATTTGGTAGAGGAGACTCACCGCAAGAGCTTCAGGATTAACTCCATTCTCAATCAGAGAAATGCAGTACGATAGTGACTGTCGATCGAGGTTGCAGTTCTGTTTTGAGTGTTAAACTCAACATGTTTGTTGCTTTGCCGGCTTCTCGAAGACGATCAAGGACTGGGCAAGAACGAACCAAAATGGTTGAGATTTCGAAGAGAATGTCAACCGTGTCGCGTGCTGCGCGTCTTTTGGCTTCGGGATCTGCGGAAGGCATGGTGTTGTCACTTTCTTCGTCGAAGCGAGTGTAGATGTTCCAGGCGTCGCGGTTCGCGTGAAGTGGCTGTTGCGAGACTGAAATGGAGAAAGACGCGTCAAAATTTGAATGACGATTTGATGTTACGAATTCAGGTTCATGTGAGAAGAGCGACAGGTATGTACAAAATATAATGCATTGTTCCTCCGCCTCTAAAGATCGTACTGTTGCGCCGTGGTATCACTTCAATGCAATTCATGCACCCAATAAGAATTTACAAGCGCGCATAAGAGCCTGTGCCTCGAGTTCACGAGCTCTCATTTCCCATGGCTCATTCCTAGCTCCTTGTTCGTCCCCATTATAGCGATTGCATGGGAATCTCGTCCTGGGCGGGTTGATTCTGTTCCCTTCGAGCTCTTGCTTCGGCCCTTCGATTCGAGTACTCACGTCTCATCTTCCGCCACAACATCGCCAACAGAGTCCATATGGCGTACTGATCCGCAATCGCATTTGGTTCCCGTCGGTACCATGGAACACGAGGACGCTCTGGAACACGAGGAAGCTCTGCAACAGCAGCACGCTCTTCAGGATGCTCTTCAGGACGCTCTTCGGGAGGCTCAAAAGGGTAGGTCTGAAGCCCGTCGTGATCCGCAAGCTATGCTGTAGAGTGCTCCGTCACCGCGCGGTCGTCCACGAAAGCATTCAAGATCTGGCCCGACTTCCAGCCCGTGCTTTCCAATGTTTGGTGATCCTTCAAGATCTTACCAAGATGGATGAGCTTGTTCAGCTTTATGTTGTTCTGCTGTTCAATTTTCCGCTTGAGGACCAATATGGTTTGTTTAGTGCCAATGGTGACGGTCACATCTTGGGCGGCCGTATTCAGTCGAGCGGTGACGCGCATTTCGTCTCCAATATCCTCGGCACGGCCTTTGCCCTTTTCCTCTCGTCGTGAAGCCGAGTCTACATCTTCGTCATCTTCAGTGTTGTCAATATCTTTCTCGTCGCCGCCCTCGATGATGTCGGCTGGATCAGCCACAATCCAGTAAGGTATGTCGTAAAGTTTTCCCCTATCGTCGTAGACACCCTCAAGACTCCTCTCTCTACCCTTAGCTCCTCGTGCCAGTCGACCATTGGGCACTGTGAGGCCTGCGGCGTCCAAAACTGCTTGCGCCTGGTCGAGATCGCCAGCACGCATCCTCTCAGTCACTATTTCTAGAGCATCCCAAATCTCCCTTCTGTTACTGGTACGAGTATCGAAGAACTCTTTTCGTAGGTCCTCGAGAATGCGTCGTGTCCAGGGCGGCTGGTGGTGACTATAATATTTCGGACAGTGTCCCACGGGTCGAGGGGCCTGCAGCGGCTGGTTTGGGCGCACTATCGTTCCATCTGGTCGTCGACTCGCACCAGCATTGTTAATCTGAGGCTCGCGCGAAGTATTACTTCGAGCATCGGGTGCTTGCGATGGGCGGTTGATCGCTGCGCGGGATGAGTCGTTGGGTGCATTGTGTTCCGACCCAGGCGCATTTGCCTCGCCGTATGGCGACTCGCTCGCGGCTCTCGAGTGACAGCAACCCTGCGGGACAGAACCCAATCAGCATGATTCCGCACATGCTCGAGGCAGGGCTGCGACATGCAACATACCATGACTGCTCATACTGCTGCCGAGCCGCCTCACTCTGCCCGCCTCGGCACGAAAGCCGAGATTGCTAATGCCTGTCGCCAGCGACGTTGCCGATTAGCGATGCTGTCTGTGAGATGTCTGCAAGGTTGGATACGCGAGGAGATGGGTCAAAGGGCAGCGAGAAGGCAGTCGAAGGAGGGATTTGGTAACGGCGCGACAAGCAGGAACGAACGGCAGCAACTCCGCGACTACTCGCACTGTAGCAGAAGAATACCGCGCCAGGCAAGAAGGAGAAAGGCGGGCGAGAGGCGCGTTCTAGAGGCCTTCATGCAGCTGGCGTACGTTAGTGTGCGGTGCGAGGTCGAGACCCAATAAGGGCGGATGACTTCACCTCTCGGCCGCCGGCTGCCACTCGCCATACCTTCGTACATTCTTGCGTGTCCTGCGTCAGTGGCATGATATTGATGCCGACACTACACACTTGCTTTGGCAGATGTTGTGCGCACGGAAAACTCATCAAGCACTCGATGGAACGGAACACTGCAGCAAACGCGGAACATGTGAAACCATTTGTATTACCAGACTATTCTACCTTAACCGCTTCTAAACGGGTATCATCGTTTCAGGGGTATTCGCATCACTAAACATCAATGCAAACAAACTAATGTGGTATCCATCCAAAAGCAGACGCCACCGAAAGCAGATCCTTGTTCCCAATGCAGAAATGCAAACTGACAAAGTTGGCTGCCGCAGACCATGAGCGAGTGTCGGGAGTTGGGGATTAGGTGCGACGCAGCGGAAAGCGTGAGCAAGGGGTATCATTGTAGGGGTGACATCGCGTATGAGGCCATGTTCATTGCGTGAACTGGTCGGCATTCTCGAATGTCGCTGCGTCGGACCGGAAGCCAGTCACTTGAAGCATCAGATGTTTAAGCGCTGGCAGTGACGGCAGGAGTGTTGTGCTGCTGCTGTGGCTGACCAACGTTGACGGCATCAGGAACGACGTCGCCGATGGTCTTTGGAGCCTCTGGCTCATCCTTCTTGGTCTCGCCGTTGATGGCTGGGGTCTCTTCAGCTGGCTTAACGGCAGCGGTCTCCTCAGCCTTGGCATCAGTAGCAGCTGGGGCGGCATTCTCCTTCTTTGGAGCTTGAATGCGGTTCAGAGCCTTGCTGGCACGACGGCCGAGGCTGCCGAGCACCGACTGGCGCTTGTTAGGAGTGGTGGCCTCAGTCTTTGGCTCCTCAATCTTCTCGGCCGGGGCCTCGGTGGATTGCTCTGCAGCGGTGGCAGCGCTCTCAGTTGCTGGCTCCTCAGCCTTGACAACTGGCTCTGTAACGGCGGTCTCAGCTGGAGCAGCCACGGTCTCATCGGCCTTGGCAGCCTCCTTTTTGTGGGTGTTGGGGCTGACGCTGCGGTTCCGCTTGATGAAGCCGCCGATGCCAGACAAGAAGTTGTTCTTCTCCTTGTTGGGTGTAGCAACCTCATCCTTCTTCTCCTCAGCCTTGGTTTCTGCGACAGGCTCCTCGACTGCTGGAATGGCCGTAACGGCGGTGGAGTCGGTGGTGGCAGCGGTCTCTGGGAGCACTGGTGGGTTCTCAGACACTGGAGCAGCAGTGGTGGTCTCGTTCTTGAGCTCAGCGTCCTTGAGGTCCTTCTCCTTGGCTGGGCTGCGGAGTCCGCTCCAGCCAGACGAGACGCGGCCAAAGATGCTACCACGCTTGCCGCCCTTCGCCTTCTCCTCAACTGGAGTCTCGACAGCCTTCTCCTCAGCTGCAACCTCGGCGGCAGCAGGAATTTCGGCAGCAGTGGTGCTGGCCACGATTGGTGCAGCCTCGGTGGAGGCAGCGACTGGAGTCTCTTCGGAGGCCTTGACCTCCTCCTTCTTGTCCTCACTCTCCACCTTTTTCTCCGCAGACTCTTCCTTGTTGGTCTTGAAGCGGTTCAAGATGCCGCGAGATGTCGAGCGGCTCTTCTGGCTCTTCTTCTTGTCCTCGTCAGCCTCGCCGTCGGATGAGCCAATGCGCTCAGTGGGTGGGACATCGGTGCTCTTCTTTGGCTTGGAGAGGCTGCGAGTGGTGGCAGCGCCAACGACGTTTGGCTTGTCTGACTTGAAGTTAGTGATGTGGTTCTGATGCGCGGTGTGCGTCGTCAAAACTTACTCAGCTTCTCGATCTCGGCCTTGTAGCCTTCACTGGCACGGATCTCCTCCTTGGAGGCCTTGGCGTGCTCAATCGCGCGCTCGATGGAGAGGTACCAGCCGTCACGCTCGGCATCGTTGGAAGCCTTGAATGTGTGGTTGTCGCCGTTGAGCTTGAAGGAGAACTCGTGCTGAGCCGACTTCTTGAGGTCGCTGGCATCGTAGAGCGCGAGGACGTCAGATGGGTGTGTGCGGTTGGTCTCGCCCTTCTTGTTGAAGAACAACAGACCCTTGCCGGTGTGGCTTGCCCAAGCAACAACGGGGTGTGAGATTTCTGGCTTCTCGCCACGAAGGTAGAGGTCGAGGTTTTGAGGAGCAACAGCCTCGTCGCTCAGCCAGAACTCCTTCTTGGATGGAATGATGGACCTTGCTCATGTCAATACGTGCTGCATCCTCGCTCTGATAAATCGCGTCCAGCTCACTTGAGAAGACCTGGGCCCTTGTATGCAAGCTGCCCTTCGGTAATTGGCTCTACCGCCTTTTCTGCCACCTCTGTTGACTCGGCTGTAGCAGCATCGGTGGTAGTAGTGGCGGCAGGCTCGGCGTCGGTCTTTGCGGCCTCGGCGTCGACGACGGCGTCAGCGACAGGAGCGTCTTTGGTGATGCTCGTGGCGGTCGCGGGATCGGTCACGACGGTCTCGGTGACGGGAGCAGTCTGTGCCTGCTGCTGGGCGTCCGACATGGCTTCTCAATTACAGTAGGGTGATGGAGAAGTGGTGGACTGCTGACTGCGTCGGGTGGGCTGGGGAAGAGAGTGGAAGCAGACAGAAGGGGTATCACAAGCAAGAAAGGGCAAATGCTGGACAAGGAGGTGCAGAGCAGTGGTTTTGGGAAGTTGGGCGGCAGGAGATGGTTTTGATGGAGCGAAAAGCACGAGGCCAGTGCACGAAGCTCTGATCCAATTTCACTTACTCCACTTTTCTTAGAGCGCTCCCAACGTCCGCCGGCCTGCTGCTGCGTGTTGCGCTGCGCCATGCTGCGAATGCTGTACGGCGGCACACGTTCCAGCGACGCTGGTTGACGTGAGAGGGTCAGCAGACGACCTGTAAGACCTTGACGCGATTTCCCTTGCGAGCAAGCTACTGCAGCCAGCCGCTGCTCACTCCACCACACCAGCAGCAGTAGAATACATGTGCATATACAATCCGCACATGGACCGTGTGAGGGACAGTGAGGCTCGTCCGGCGTGTCGTCCAATAGTGCGCCTTTCGCGCGCCCTCCCTGCCCGCCGCCGAATGTGCTGAGAGACGCTTTCTCCATCGCGCAGTCTGTGCTGGGGAAAACGCGCTTGCGCAGTCGATCCAAGCCACTGCTGCACCCTGAAAGACCATCATCAAACCATCTCAAAAAAACTTTTGGACAGACGGCCTCGTGGATCTGAGATGCACCCAAGTCATCAGGCCAGACAGGTCACTCGCACCAGCACGATATCCCCCGTCAACCCCGCCTAGCGAGCAGGCATACAGCTGCTTGCGAGCTCTGCGCCGCGCCGAGCAGCGAGCGTGTGAGATTGCGTCTTCGCGGCCAATGTCGACTCGTGCACGAATCACCTGTTTCGCACACCGTCCCAGAGCAGGTGCCACTATAATATCGCCGGAACACTCGAATAATGCTGCTCGCTCGCATGTGCTTCCTGTCTCCAGCAGTCGCCGTGCTCGCCGTTGTGCAACGATCGCTCCAGCCTCCATCCCCAAACCTCGCAACACTGCATCCTGTCACAAGGGAGCCATGGATGCGTGAAACACGACTCTCCCAAGAAGCTGCCGTGCTTAAACGCCATCTCTACCGGCATTTCCACGGCCGCCCGCCACGACTTCAGGCCCTCCCGTCACATGTCCTACTATGGATCGCAGTGTTGATCAGTATATGTGAGAGCGCACGGCACGTGTTCCAGACCAAGCTGTCGCCAGACCGCTCCCTTCCAATAAAGTGAACGCCTGCCTCTGATAGACGACTTTGCAGAGTACTCCAACCTCCACGCCGAAAATGCCTTTGCACAATTCGACGCGGCCAGTTCCATCCATCGCGACTCAGACTTCGCCAACGCTCACGTGTCATGACAGATGCGAAACGCGAATCGCTGGGCTTCGGGAGGCGTTTGGCACAAGCCTTGTGGAACCGAGTCCGACACCTGAATGGCCAATCACCGAATCTCCACCTTCCCCCCTTCGTGCTTCAGATACACCGCACCTCACAATACCCTGCGACATGTCGCTTCAACCTTGTATACGGAACAGAATATCGAAGCAACGCGTTTCACCACAAATAGCGGGCAACCGAGCCTCCATGCACACAAGTGATTCAGACCATCGTATTGTTCTGGCGTGTGAACAACGTATCTGTACAACCAGTTCTAGCCAAAGCTTTTCCCAAATCCATTTGGCGTTTTTCGTCGAGGACATGCTTTCTTGCCGCCCACGCTATTCCAATGGCGCTCATGCCGGACCGTGACGAGCGAGCATGATTCTTGGCGGTCGACAGTCTTTCATTCCCCTGAAAAGTGGCGCCGCCTTCCCGTGATCAGGGTCATTGCGAGGAACTTCGTGGCTGCGCGGCTGAGAAGGATTCTGGTCTCGAACACGTGCATTATTCTGACAGCCGTGTCAGTACATGTGTCCAGAGCTGTTCCCCTCGCACGTGTACATAGTAGTAAGACTCTCATCAGTCAGTCACCTGCAGGAAGCATGAGGTGGAGTTTGCTCCGGAAAAATTGGGTCTAGGATAACGATATGTAGTTCTACCACTTCCATCCCCACACGTCACCATACTGCACTGCACAATTGTCGATTCCGAGCACGATGCATGGTACAGCCGCTTGAGCTGCAGCACCGCAACAACCGCTTCCAAACAGCCCCTACCGCCGGTTCCATAGTATCACCAAGCAACAGTGCAGTCGCCACGTGCGTTCCGCGAAACCGCCAACGCCTCGCTGAGAGAATCACAACTTTCCAAGCAACTATCCCGCCATTTTTCCAACCGAACCTGGCCTGAGCTTGAGCTCCCTCTCGTCTCCAATATGTTGTATCAATAATTATCACAGAATCTCCGCTCAACTCGCCGTAATCAACACATAACTAGTAATAGCATTCATCCGCTCCGCACTGAGCTTCATACCAACCTTCAACAATTCCTGCGCCACCTCACTATCCTTTTTCTGCAGCTCTTCCCACTTCTCGGGGGTCAACAGCCACGCAATGCAATCCGTTTCGGCGTAGACGCTGCATGTTCTTTCGGTCTCGCTGAAAAATGGCAGTTCTCCGCACGTCGTGCCTGCCACAATCGATTCGTAGTAATTGCCTTGCTCGAGCGAGTAGTCCGCACGAAGCAGTCCAGATTGGAGGAGGTAGAAGCCATCCGGTTTATCGCCTTTCCTGTATAGGAGCTGCCCTTTCGTCAATTCTCTCCTCGCGAAGTATGGAACTGCTCGGAACCAGAAGTCCTCGGTCTTGGTTGTCAAGTCCTGGAAGGCTTGCAAGATCAGCGGCAAAGGCTGTTTGAGACTCTGCCACCTGTTTTGCTCGGGTTGGTTCACCTCTGTGATGGTCTGCGCGGCGGCCGCATGTCGAGCAAATGCACGCGGTGAGCCCACAATGCTGTCTAATTGAGAAATTGGCGATGGCTTGTGCTGTTCGGGAATTGCCATCGGAGGAGAGTCTCCGCCTGTTCTCAAGCTCTGCGACTGCTTCTCCGTCAGTGTGATGAGAAGGGCATTTTCGCACGCCTCCAGAGCACCATTCAGGTTCTCAAACACTTTCGGTGGCGGGGTCTCGTCGCTCTCCTCAAACAGGCCATCTCTTTGCAGATTGCGTCCAACATCGTCGGTGAGGTTGACCCCAGCAACGACTAATTCTACATCCCTTCGCCTAAGAATGCGGTGCATGCGTCCAAAGGCCTCTGCTGCTGAGAAGTCAATGCCGGTAACGTGGGAGAAGTCCAATACCAGGTATCGAATGGGCGCCTGAGCAAAAGTCTCCGCGTCTATAGTTGCACGGACTCGTTTCTCCACGTCCACGATACTGCCGAAGAACAGGTAGCCTGCAATCTTGACAACCCGAATCTGAGGTCCGACGCGATGAAGGTATGCCCGTTGCCTGGCATGACGGCGCACCGTTGACTCGGCAATCTCGCCGGAGAACTCTGCTCGGATTACAGACTTTCTTGACGTCTGCACGACATAGACCAGGCATGCCAAGCCGATGCCGATGGCAACGCCCACGACGAAGTCATAGATACCCATGACAACGGCGATAACGAAGATCGTCAAGTATTCCAGGTTGGCCAATCTTCCACGCGTGTCCCAGAGTGCTTCTTTCGCCAAGTCTATTCCTAGGTAGTAGATAAGTGTCCCCACGACAATCACTGGTACGTAACCAATGACAACAGGTCCGATCATCCAAAGAACGGTCGTTGCTGCGGCAAGCATATAGCCAGCGAGTCGAGAGTCGCCACCAGTATCCATGAACAGTACGCTGTTCACATAGACCAAGTAGTTCTGGATACTGCCAACGCATCCTGACAGCGTGTTGGAGACTCCGTGCATGATCAGCTCCCGATTGAGGCTCACGTTGTCTTCCTGCATTTTCATGGCCAGATTCGGGATGTTGATCGGCACATGTAGGATGCCAAAGAAGCACAAGGCCAGCTGAGAAGGAATTGTCATGATGACAGCCTTCCAATCCACGATGCTGAACTGGTAATAGCTGTAAAAGTTGTAGAAGGTCGTGTCAGCAGCTGGGCCTTCAAACACCCATCCAGCTTCGCGCAACTTCTCCATGTTGAGCGACGGTACGGCGATAGTCACGATGTAGAAGATGGCGGCAATGGCGATATAGTATGCCGGTACCAAGAATGGCTTGTCGTAGTACCGCTTGATGACGAGAAGGAGTATCGCAAGCACCAAAGGTGGCAGCCATTGAGCAATACTCATTGGGGCAATCAGCTTGTCGAACACCTCTTTTGTAGGTTCTAAGTTGCCGTCTAGTCGAACAGACACTTCCAAGCCTGTTAAGAAAAGGAAGATGCCCACGCCACCTATGCAACCGACCAAGATGGAGTGCGGGAAGAATGAGACGAGGTTGCCCAGTCGCGCGGTTCCAAGACCGAAGAAGACGATTCCTGTCAAGATAGAGCTCATGGCGTATGAGGTGATGACTGTAGCTCTCAAGGCATCCGGATTTTCGGTTCCCATTCGGGCCATAATCATATATGTCATCTTGTGGAAGAATGGAACGACCTCAATCATCTCAGAACCGACACCTCCTCGAAAGATGCTGCCTGTAGAGTACACCAGCTGCGAAACAATGCAGCTGACATAGAACATGGACACTCCGTCGGCGCCCATTTGTGAGAACACTTCCTCGCCGAGTGGGAACAAGATGATTCCGTAGGAAAGAGCATCCAATAAATTAAGCAACAGCCCCAGGAAAACCGAAGGCAAAGTGCTTATGGGCTGCACAATCGCTGCCTGGTACATCTTGCGAGCATCCCAGCTCTTGGGGTTTGCGACGGTCTTCACGCTGTGCTTGGCAGCATTGACAGATGGAGTACGTGGGACCCATCTGTTCCAGAACCCTCGGACGCCTTCTCTGGCGACTGGCTGACCCTCAGCATCCGGCGTGGTGCCATATCTCTGCTTCCGGTACGAGGAAATCCTTTCGCGGGGCAATAGAGGCACTCTCGCTGATGTGTCGGCATCGTCTTGATCCTCAATGGCTTGTGATTGACGGGTGGATGATCGGCGAAGTCCCGTGCCTTGAGAAGGCCTCGTTCCGTTCTCATTGTATATCAACAACGCATCGTTACCAGAGGACGACAAGCCTGGAAAGTCAGATCCCCGGTGCTCACTTGGCTCGTCCGGCGTCACTGGCTCGCTCTGTTCTTCGATGGGGTCATTCACGGAGGAGAGCTGCTGCTTGTTGGGTTCCAGCTGTTGGAAGTGCTTTGCCATTTCAGAGTCGCCCAAGAAGGACGACGACAATTCTGCCGTCTGCTCGCGAACGCCAGAGGAGGAGTATTGGACATCTGCGAGTAGTGAGTGGGTTTCCGACAGAAAGTCTAGATAAGGAGCTCGCGTACCTTGTAATTGGCTGCTGTGATTTACATTATGAATGTGAGATCTGCTGGGAAGGCTGTTGCCATAGGCAGAAGTGATAGAGTGTGCTCTTGCGCGATGCCTGGTACCGGAGGAGGCGCCGTCAGCTGCAAGGTCGTCCACGTCTCCGGCGCCTGATAGTGCAGACATCCTCCGCCGCTTGAAGTGCCGGAAGGAGGACATTGTCGTGCAAAAGTAAGACGATCACGCCAGTGCCAGTGCCAACAAAGTCTCCTCCCTCGCCCGGCGCTGGGCGGGCCAACAAGCACAGACAGACGTCCAGCGAGGTCCTCCACGCTCAGCTCCTCATTGCTCCGACTGGCTGGCGAACGGGCAGTCACAAGCTGGCAGACGGAAAGAGATGCGAAAGCTTGCAATGATCAAGGATCACAAAAAGAACGCGCAACGTCTACTGGCAGCCGAAATGCACAGAAACTGGCTTTGCGCCCACGCTCACGGCAATCAAGTTGCTAGCGGCAGCTACCCGAAACTCTCGCTGCCCACAACACATGAAGAGAGACGCCCGCAATTCGTTCGCACGCTGAGGAACCCATTGGGGCCCGCAGATGGCGAAATTTTTCGTCAGGCTGCGTGCTGCAGAGAAGCAACTGGAGTCGGAGGCCCCATGCAACATGCGAGACCAATGCGATGCATCGCCGGCGGGCCCCAGCCCTGCATTGCCCCACAGCCGGGTCTGGAAAGCGAGACCATGCTTTGCGTGCGTGCAGCACCACCTGGCACGCATATTCTCACGCACATTTGACGAGGCCATTTGGGTGCCTCGTCATTCCGCCTGATGAGGCATATATGCACAGGAGTGGGAGCTATGAGATTCTCAAGCGTGAGGCTAACCCTCTCTGTGGGATTCGTGATATTACCGCAGGCATGACGATCACAGTGCACCAGGTGATCTCCTGGCGGTGATCTCCATGCTACGATGTCGGAAGCTCTATCCCCTCTTCCTCCGCCATTCGCAATATGAATTCGCGCACCGACTTGTCCGGGGCTAACTGTATGGGCAACTTGCCTTCACTGTCTCGTTTCGAGCCATCTGATCCAGCCTTCAACAATTCCACGGCTGTTTGTCCGTGTCCCTCGGCAATGGCGTGATGCAATGCCGTCAACCCGTCAACATCTGATCCATTGACGGGACTGCGATGCTCCAGCAACAGCTTAACAATGGGTACGTTGCCGACCGCTGCAGCTCTGTGGAGGGGCATTTGTCCGCGCCTGTCCTTGACCCTGGCACTGGCTTTGTGAGCAATGAGCTTCTTCGCCGTGTCGAGGTTCGACTTGGATGCAGCAAAGAACAGGGCGGTTTGTCCATTGTTGTTCTTGACGTCTGGGTCGGCGCCCTTGTTGAGCAGCAGATCCACCATCTCGTCGCCGTCTTTCAAGCTCGCTGCCATCATCAAGGCCGTCCATCCACTTCCATCTTGTGCGTCGACATCGAACCCCTTCACGTCTGACAATATCTCGACAACGGCGGTCCGATTGTAGGACGCGGCGTAGTGTAGCGGGAGTCGATCGTCATCGTCTCGTCTGTTGGCGAGTTTCTTATCGGCGTTCAGCAGCGATTCGACCTGTCGTGCTGGCTGTTGTTAGACGAGTTGACATGTTCTCTTACCTTTGTCCTTCTGCTTACTCTGACCTTCGCGACAGCTCGCGTGAAGTGCAAATTTCGAAGCTTGCTCCTCGTCCATCGCGTTGGCTTGAAATCTAGAACCACGAGCCACGCGTTTGACAAGCGAACTCTGACGCAATATGAAGGGCGGAAGTTGCCGGAAAGCGCGCTAGTACAAGCGACCGGATAAGATCTTGAATTCAGCGAAGAAGGCCCGAGGGGAAGAGCTCACTTCAGTCCAGCCAGAGCGATCCACGACGCCAGAAAATCTGGTGATTGCTTTTCGTGCCGTAGAGAATCTTCGATCCAGTGCAAGTCCGGGCGTCGCTACTGACAGGAGCGCCTCAACCGTGCTCCTGCATCGAAAGAATAAACCGGATCAATGCACCTCATGAAGTGGTCTCGTCGTCCACTCCCGTCCAGGCTTGAACCGTCTTATCGGCAGCTAGCTTGACGTGAGCGTCACCTGGGTGGACTCGCAGAGTTTTGTTGTAATACGAATCGACAACCTGCAGATTCGGAGATATCCAGGAGCCTCCTTCTGTATCATTGTGAAGCTGTAGTCGATACTCGACCTGGCTTCGACTGAGCGGCGTAAGGCTGAGAGCACGATACTTGGGTCCGCTGAACCCGAAGTCGTCGTTTGCTTCCATCGTCAAAGCAAACGTGAGGTAATGAGTAGAGGGGTTCTCAAGATGGTAGCGTAAGATGGGGCTCGCACCCGTTTGACCACGTTCGATCGTACAGAGCACCCTAGGCTCCGACGTAGGGACTGTGAGGCGAGGCACAGCAATGATCGTTTCTGCCGTTTCAGTAGCAGTCCCTACCGACCACGTTGCAATCAACGAAAGGTCGATATGGCTTGCTCGGCGATCATCCAGAGAAAGCTTTTGTGAAATAAGCTCGAATTCCGACATGTGCCTCGCCTGCGCCGTAAGCAGCACTTCGTTGGTTCGTGTAGCCTCCGCAACGGTGCATAACACATCACCCTGTACCTCGTGCACAACAACTTCCAATGTGCGCAGCAGAACATCTTGATCGGTCAGCGATGACAATTGAGCGCAAAATCCCCATTGTTGCTTAATGCCAGTGGGGATGTCTGTGTTGGTATTCGAGAAATAGCTCGGCCATGGGTCCGGATTCCATCGAGGTAAGAACGTAAAGGTGGCTTCGAAGGCAGGCACGAAGGACAGATCGAAAGTGACAGCTTTCGACAGAACGGTGTCGAGATCTGATTTCAGAGCGTACTGCACCTCCAGCGTCAAAGCGATGCTCGATGCTTCAGTGGGTGCTTGTAAGAGAAGTTCTTTCGTTGTACTCGAGGACGCAGAGAGCTCCGATATTACTGCCGGTGCACCAGAAGCGTCGTCACTAGCCCATTTCAGACTCGTTGCTGGGTCGTCGGTGGTGCCAACAAGCGCGGGTGTGATTGTACCGCTTATGCAATCGGTTTCCTCGTTGAACACGTTCACGCGCAGGCGTATATGCTCGTCAGTGAAGTAATTCTTTCGCGGCTCTAACAGCGAGATCTGCAGTTTCGGTGGCTTCGGCAATATTGTAATTGCTTTGGGGTCCACGTGAGGAAGCAACACACTGTCAGCTTTTTCGTCGCCCCGAACCTGCCACCGGTTTAGAGGTAAGACGCAATGATCTGCCAGAACATGCTCCAGATTGAAGCTGGGTTCTTTGACATAAATGATCACCTCGTCGATGCGGCACACCTGCGCCTCACGAAGCATGATCTCGAACTGAAAAGTCTTGGGACTCTGTGGGCTGAAGAGTAAGTCTGCTGTGACATCGGAGCTGCCGCTATCGTGCTCAGCAAACGATGGCAAGATCGTCAGTTCCGGTGCTGTCGAGCTTTGCGTGCTGTCAGACTCGTGATTAACGTGCACCTGCTTCTTCCCGAGTCGAATATGGACGGACGAGAGCTGTATCGGCTTCGCCGTCGTGGCAGTGTTCAGCATCAATGTCAGCTGACATTGTTGCGACTCACCGACATAACTGCTCTGCGTTGCGAAGGCAAACGACACAACGAAAGGACATAGCCTGTCTCCGTCTCTGTTTGTCAATGCGATAGCGCCATTCTCGGACGGCGCGGGCACGCAATTCATCAAATCCAGCGGTGTGTCCGATGAACCATCGCTTGCAATAGCAAGGAGTTCCCATGTCACGGCTGGTATCATCGAGGAATATTGCTCCGTGTCTCCTTGGCGTGCACAGTCAAGAAGCATACGCAGTAGACGTGCAAATGGGATGTGCCACTCGTCTTCTCGCCATGTGCAGCTTTCCCATATTTCCATCAGTAGCTTGATGGCATCCGAGGGTTGGCCTGCCGAAATCAAGTCTTCGGCAAGTTCAAGTCTTATCTGCTCGCTCATACGCAATTGCTGACGAGCGGCGAATTCCTTGGACGCTTGCGTGCAAGCAGTTCCAAGCTCTGCGACATGATCGTGGCCTCCCTCCGCGGATACGGACATTTCCTCGTGAGGGTCGGGTACGAGATATGCATCGTACGTTTTCCAGCGATTCGCTACTGACGAGGCTGGCGATTGCCCTGGTGATAAGCGGTCCTCATCTGGAATAGCCAGAGCCCTTACCCATCGAGCTCGAATGCCTTGAGAAAGAAGCCGGAGCCAGTAGCCTGGATGATGCAGCAAGTCCCACGGACGTAGTCGCTCTGTCGCTAAAGCAACTCTTTCTGGTTCGACAAACACTGCTAGTTCCGAAGAACTTTCAGGGGGAGGTCTTTGCAAGGAAGGGACCTCAGCACGCTGAATCAACTGTGACATGATGACAGCCCATCTACCCTCCCAAGCAGCCCAGCTATACGTTCCTGATCCCTTGCCTCGCAGGTCGATCAGGTCTTTCATGCGGTGCTTATAACTCATCCATGATTGGACAGCGCCTGTGGTTTGCCCCAGCCACAATTGACATCGAAGGATTCGCAAAGCAGTCACGTCTGACAACAATCTTGCTTCGTTCCATCTTGGGGACCACTAGACATCAGACGGTTAGTCAGTATTCACTCCAGGACTAGTGACTGATACATCATGCAAGCCGAACTTACATTTGTCGTCGTCTCGAGGACACCGCCCTCAGTACTGAAGAGTTCTTCCAGAGCGGCAGCGAAATGTCGCTCAGCTACATCCATTTCCTGTCTGTATTCCGCGAACACGGCCTGCTTGAACTCGTATCGCACATTCCAACCAGATTGGGTCGTCGCTTGAGATGCTCCACCTACTGGCGTGTGCGATAGGGGAGGAGGACCACCTCTCGCTTTCTTGCGCCGGGCATGCTTAGTCAAGTCTCGGTAATAGTCTACACATTGCGGCTGCAAGACCTTCATCATGTCATGAACGAAAGTCTCAATCTCAGCATCTGAGCCCATTGGAGGCATGAAGAATAACCCCGACTTGGAGTCCAAGTTTGTTGCCCTGCGTATCATGCCCAGCCGATCTTCCAGGTCCGGCGCTTCGAGAATACTTCGATCGCTAATGAGCAATACTGCAAAGCGGGTCTTGAACATAGAGCGGGTAAGAGCATTGCGGATAGCATTGATGTCTCCTCTCAGGCGCTCATCCTGCGAAGCCTCGTTGGCACTGATCTGGAACGCAGCCAGCACGAGGCAAGGCACTTGCTCTTGATGTTTGTGCAACCACAAAGGCGTGAAAACGCCATCAGGGAAGACTGGCGAGCCTGGCGACAGAGGTGACAACGGGGAGTGCAATTCGGTGTTCCTCGCAACATGCGGACCTTCTGCTCCCGGTGACTGTGGTAAGGGGGCAGCTTTCCGGGGCGGAAGACTGTAAGTCCTGCCGACAGCTTTGATCTTGAATCGAATGCTACTTGTGGGGCCAGGCTGGGCTGAAGAGTTCCAGGCACGGTCTGTGCCGTCTAACGATCGGAACGCTTGCAGAAGTCGCTTTGCTTGATCTGAATGGCATTCTGGCGATTCGGTCGAAATCCGGGCGCCAGATTCCTGTCGGGCAGGAGGCGACTTGGCCGAATCGCGGTCCAGCTGTCCCAAGCCAGACAGCAATACCAGCGGCAGGTTGTGCTGGACATAATCAGGTGGATAGGCCTCCATGCTGGCCTTGAGAGTGCTATCACCGCTGCTGCATGTCGGCGTCGGTGTAACACGTTGTTGGTATTATGTTGACAGCAGCAAGATGTTTGACGCCCGGTCTGGAAGTTCACGCACGCCTGCCCTTTTGGCGAGCTGCCCATGAAAACTTGATTAGGGGGCATCAAAACAGCAGCACATCGGCAACAGACCCCGAGCTCCGGTCAGCTGCATCCCGCCCACGTTCTGCCAACGCGACACGACCATTCGTATATGCCCAAGTTCGTTGTCGCCCACAAGTCCGGCGCTCACAGACTCGCGGCGATCGCGCTCTATCGCGCCCTGCTCTCGCAATGTAACAAACTCGACATTCCAGCCCAGCGCCGCTACGAACTGAACAATGTCGTCCGATGTCGTTTCGCAGGCTTCCGACACACGACGTCGCACCGCCAGTTGAAGCTATTGTTCGAAGCTGGCTACGAAGCCATTGACCATCTGGATGCTGCAGTGGCCGGCGATGCGGACAGCAAGCAATATGTGCTGGATCTGCTACAGAGGGCGCCGAAGAATGTGAAGAACGGGCCCTTGATCACGCGGCGCTCGATTAGCGAAGAGTACAATGAGCCTTTTGACTACAAAAGTGAGAGCACGGAGACAGATAACGCTGCGGTCGTGGAGGATGCGGCTAGCACGGGTACGCGTTGCGAGGTCGTCCTGGTCAAGCGCAACAGCGACACTGGCCGTATCACAGAAGGGCTGTCCCAAGGCGACGTGATCAGGCCGCCAATCTCGAAATATGTCTTCGACTCAACAACGTTGCGTGACACAGACTCGCCGCCCAAGTTTCAGTACCGCCCAGCAGACGCAGCGACCATTCCCCCTTCTCCACCTTCCGTTCTTGAGCATGCCACTCCCAGAGAATGGCTGGGCGGCTCCGGGCAACGGCACATCCCCAAGGTCTTCAGCGCCAACGCCATACCGGTCTTACGCATGAAGAAACCTCAGCCATTGGCTTTGACAAGGTATCTCAACTCTCGCATCAAGCAGCGCCAAAAACGACACGACTTGCGACATCATTTGCAGGAGCAGGAGGGTATCGCAGCTCAAGAGGACGAATGGGATGACATATTGCTTGCTTATGCTGGTATCAGCGATGCCGGCTCTCATGCAATCAGTCGGTCTCGGACCTCGCCTCAGGAGCCTCGCTGGGGTTCGGAGGTGAGCAGGTCTGTGAGAGAGGTGAATGCCTACCTGAACGAGGAAAAGGCAAAGAATCGACTCATGGCAGAGAAAATGTATGCTGTCGTCGATCGAGAAGAAAGCCTGGCAGAGCAAGAGAGGCAAGAGGATAAGAGACGGAGGAACGAGATTGCGGAAGGGCTTGCGGGATTGAGTGGCATGGTTGGAGGTAGCGGTAGTGCTGATGACACATTCTCTCGTTCCACTAGCTGAAGATGACTTGGTTCCGGAGTCGAACCCTCTACGCTATCACGGATCCTGCAAGACATCATACGTGCTGGTGCTCAACAATCTCAGACTACTGCGCTTCCAAAGAATTCGGGATTCGACCAACAAACAAGCACAATCTCGCCAACATTCTCCGTCGTTGCACACGTCTTCTTCCTGCCACTTGCACCGCTGACAACATGCAATTGTCCATCAAGGAGTCGGATAGGCGCGCGCTGGGATGCGAGTTGGCGTATTTGGGCCGGCCGACGGCTCATACATGTTTCCGGCTTCTGTGAGATCCATAACTTCTATGCCGCAATAATCGGTGTAGTGATGGCGATGATATTTTGCACATCGGTTAGATGCAGTGGCCCATGGCGAAGTCACCGCAGCGTCTTTGACTTTGCCTCCCGCAGTTGTCAGACCAGTGCGGACGCGGTTGAGGAAGTCGGCAGGGCCATTGCGATCAGCATGCGGTTCGCGAAGTCCGGAGCCTAGGACATGTTAGTAGTGCGTCTCCAGTCATGCAGACCATTACATACCCTGCCCCTTCCACACATGAAGGTCGACGATCACTTTTCTCAGGTTGTTACCCCAAGTGGTGTGCTCCCAGACCTCAGCCGCCAAGTCAGTAGGAAAGCGGTCCGATAGCTCGACTTTTTCGAAGATGCTGTCCAAGACCTTGTTGCCAAAGGCCTCGTCGCTCAGAGACTTTGCTAAGACGTATAGCAACATCAGGCGATGCCATTCCCTGTCTTCGTGAACCGTCTGCTCCCCGTCGTCAATATCGTCGATGTCGCCATCCCACTGCGACCAGATTTTGCCTGTGTACAAGTAAAGGCGCCAGATGGCGACGAGCTCTGGGTCTTGGTCTACAAGGTGGATAAGACCGTTGAGCCTCGCCGGAACATTGTACAGCCAGTGAGCTGTGGGAAGCGCCAGTGTGTCCGTATGTAGAGTTATAAAGTGCGGTTCTGGTCCCACAAACAGGAACAAGATCTGCTGGCCCAATCTGCAATCCAAATTAGCTCAATGCTGGAAAGACTGTCGAGGGCCTGGATTACGCACTTGGGTGCGTCGGCCAGAGGCGCGCGGCAACGAGCGAGTGCAGCTTCAAGGTCAATGACCTTTCTCTTGAGTAGTTCAACCTCGTCAATCCTCTTTCGCTTCTTGCCTGTCGATGGCGGTGAGAGCATCTTGTTTGCGTGTCGAAGCAAGACCGGGTGGTGGCGCGTGCTGGTTGTGACGAGAGTGAACAATGAGAAGCGGGTGGGGAACATTAATAGGTACGCAAGTGAGGTTTGGTTCAACAGCTGACTAGCCAATGTGAAGTGAGGTTTCTTTGAGCAGCTGCCTAGCCAATATGAGGTTGGCAGTTGATGCAGTCTAACGTTGCGCCGTTGGGCTTCTTTTGAGTGAACGAGGAAGGATACTTCTGTCGATATCTTAAGGTCAACCGGACAGGAAAACGCGCTTCACCAAGAACTCTCCGAAATCACTGTTTCCAGTCGTCTGCGGAGTGCCAATGCAGCGCTGCAATCTGTTGCCTGCATTCAGAGAAAGCCAGTTGCCAGCATCACCAGGTCGCTCGCCTTCATCGCCTGCAGGCCATTTCTTTCTCGTGCGTCGATCAACGACACACATCCCTCGTGTCCATTGTCCAGATGTCTCCACGCGCAGGTCTTCATCTTTGAGAATTTCCCAGCCCGACACGTCAGTAGCCATACAATACCAGATACAGAGCGGATCATGCAAGTGCAAACCGACCGCATCACCGGAGACGTCCTGCTGCAGGCTCTCCACTTTGTCGAACGTTGATGTGAGAAATGCCGTCGCCCACTCCGCCAGCGGCGATGCAGCGCTCACGAGAGGCTCACTCAATGTACGGAACAGGCCGCGACTGAGTGCATGACGTTCCGTGATGTCAAGAGAAAATAATGTGACCTTCAGTTGACGTGAGAGCTTTTCCGGATAATCTGCCAGGTATGGCGGTGGTGCCTGATCAGCCTGCTGCCCAGGAGGGGCGGGTGGTACTGGTGGCATGGTCGTTTTCGGCGTGGGAGAAGACAGTGCGTACACTCGAGCCGCAGCTACTGCATCTGCGAATGTGTTGAACTCGGCCACTGCATTGAACACATTAATTTGCGCATGGCGAAGGACCTTGGACTTTACTTACCTGGTGTCATCTGGCAAACGATAGACCTGCGTTAGCAAAAGTTGCTTGTCCACAGACACTCCGAAACTAGTCACTCACGTTGCCTTTCTCATCAACGTTGCCGCCCATAACTACCACTTCCTTGGCTCTGAGGAAAGTTTCTGGGTCTTGTGCTGCAGCATGTGCAAGATTGGTCAGCGGGCCGATTGCAACAATCGTAATCGTATCTTCAGAGAAGGTACTTTCATCAGCATCCATTATGTACGACTGCCACATCGATTTCATGCTTACCTGGCTCGTTTTCTCTGAGCAAGCGGAGGATCTCGTCAACTGCTGGTATTTTCGACGCAGTGAACATTGCGCCTTCGTTGCGCAGCTCACTTGCAATGATCTTATCGGCGTCAGTTCCAGAGCTCGCAGCTTTGTCAAAGAGGCCCTTCCACGTCTCGTTCGGGGTAAGATGAGGATGCTGCCATCTTGTCAGTCAATGATCTTTGTTGCCGGACTCTCAAATCTCCCACTGTTCCATGAATGCCTCCAAGACCATCTCTTCCATCTAGAAAATGGTCAGCTCCTGGTAGGGAAGCGAACACGGGAGAGAAGCTCACGAAAGAAGTCCGCCATCAACATTTGATCAGTAAGTGGATGATCGCTGCCAACAGCAACGATGGGCTTCGTTTTGCGCAGAGCGTCAAAACCCAGGGGCTTGCCTTGAGCTGCTCGCCACTCGATCTCTTTCTCAATATGGAAGAACATGGAAACGACATTTCTTAGACAGTTTTCCACGTCGATATTGCCATAGGTGATCGATAGAAGTAGTACTTCGAGTTCTTCCGGCAGGGCAGAGAGTGCCAGTAACATTGCCATAACATCGTCCACGCCCTTTCGTCTTGTTAGCATCATCTCGACAAAAACAGCTGTTCATCTCACTGGGTCGGTATCTATGATGACTTTTCGAGCCATGGCTGTGATTTTGCTGATGAAAATTTGTGCTTGGAGGTTGGTGAGTAGAACTCCAAAAGAGAGAGACCTCCAATTCTCCACGGGGCTCCAGAGCACTAATGGAACATCGGCAAACGAAATCTGTGCTGGAGGATGATTGTTACGTACAGAGCAAAGAGGCGCTTGGCGTCTGATCGCAGGTCGCCGAAACCAGCAGCCAGGATCTGACTCATGCCTAAGGCTGCACACAGGAGAAGCTTGGCACTACATTAGAAAATCTCTCCAGCTGCGCAACTCTGTTCTTTTTCCTTCAACAATGTCTTTAACCAGGCCACTTTTAGAGTCTCGGTGCGAACGTTCAGTGTTTGTGCAGGTCCCTCGAGGCCTCTTTGCGTGCTCCGGTGACCTCAGATTGAAATACACTTGTCTGGATAACCTGACAAACCGACTCGCGGTTTGCCCGATATCCTCCAAGCGTGACAAAAATTTATATACATGCGCGAATCGGCGCTCACTTGATGCCTTGGGACCGCTGCTTCATCTTCAATCTCAGCAGATTGGCCTTTGGGCAAGATACGGTGCTCGCGTCATCGCCTTCCTTCTGGTAGAAGAGGTTGCAACACTCGTATCTGGACGTGGCTGGGTCAGCGAATGCACGAGCGCGAGTTTTGTCGCATGTCTCACAGCGCGTTGATCTGCAAGCCCAGTCAGCGCGGTCTTCGTTCATCAGCAGCAAGAGAGCGTCTACCTGTTTCTGGCACTTCTCCTCCTTGTAGTTGTTCTTCTGTATGCAGTCTATAACGTGAATTAATGCGTGGCGGCCATTGACGGCATCCGCATACTCACCTTGAATTGCACAAGCTTGCGGGTGGCAGGGAGGGTCCGTCTTCAGACCGTCTTCAGGCGTTGTGGGCTTCACTTGATCATCAGAAAGTGAAGTGACGCGCTTGAGAGGAAGTGCACATACCATTGTCGCGTACAGTCCCGTTGCTCTGCTGGTGACTACTCGAACGAGCAACAAAGCAATCGTGACGCTCTTGGCGCGTTCCGGTCCTTCTTTCCCCACTCTCGAGGCTTCGATTCTACGTCAATCCAGTCCAGCGTTGTCGCACAAGGAAATCTGATTCGCAACACGCGCACACACTGTTTGCTCACTTCGCTCTTCGTAGTAGCAGCAGAAGAGCCTAGAAGCCACCGGACAAGGTCAGACGCTGAGTCGTGGTTGTTGCCGCTGCAGCGGATGCGACTGCCACTTGCAGATCACTTCCACCTTCCGAGCTAACGACAATTCACAGCACTCGCGCCACAAGGCTTCAACGCTTCAACTTCCAACTGAGCTTCACGCTCATTCACGTTAGTCAGCGGTCGACGGTATAAAACGCGCTTCGCTCTTCCGCCTCCAACGTAAACCCCTCCAACCACTTTCTTCCACATCGAAACCAACGCGGTACACCCTCCGACCCCGCTACCACCCACGCTCGAGTCCACGATGGCAGAAAACAACGGCACACCTCCTGCAGATCAACCCGATGCGCAGCAGCCTGCGAGCGAGCACTTGAACATTAAAGTGACGGATGGCAACAACGAAGTCTTCTTCAAGATCAAGCGCTCCACACAGCTGAAGAAGCTCATGGATGCCTTTTGCGACAGACAGGGCAAGAGCCCACAAAGCGTACGCTTCCTGTTCGACGGACAGCGTGTCAACGCGACGGATACGCCGGATGTGGTGAGTAGTTTTGCAATTAGATTCAAAGAAACACACGCTGACATTGTGCGCAGCTCGACATGCAAGACGGCGATTCGCTCGAGGTGCACCAGGAGCAGATCGGTGGCTGCTGATCGTCACGCGAGAAGGATACGAATCAAAACAGCGGCTGAGCTCTCGGTTGGATCAAGAGAGATATTTCCGAGTGGCTATCGAGTGCTACGAGAAAAGGACGCTTGTAAACGCGTCGCTTGCCATCTACAGGCAAGCACACATTGAGGTCGGGGAGCAGGTGCGACCACGGACACTTCAGCCTTTAAGATGGGCACAAGGCGCGGCGTCATGGAGTTCCAGTTCCGCGCACAGTCAACTGTGCACGGCACTTCGCAGATAGCTACACTGCCTGAATTTCAAAATCAGTTTCTATGCCACAGTCTCATGTGAATGTCGATCTGCAAATGAAGCAGCCAAACAGGTTGAAGCCCACGATGAGCACACAGGCTAGACTCGAAAGTCACAATCATTCAAATTGGGTATAGTGATAAACACGACTCGCTCCTCCAACTCCTCGCTGTCACACATATCTGATCCTCCCTCATGTCAATCATCATATCACTAAAATGGTGCCTGCTGAGGCTTTTGTGTTGTTTTGGGTGTGATTGCAGCTAGCGTGTGCGAAATCATGGTCTGAATATCCTCCATTCCATCCGTCTCGAGCGAGTGCATGAGTTCTTGCTGCTGCATTTGGGTGAGGCCTTCGCCGAAGACTCCCGTGTCCATATCCCAATACTGCGGGACATACGGCTGTTGGTCTTGACCATTTGGGTCTTGGTCGAACCCGCCCGGGAAGGGATAAGCAGGGTTCGTTGGATCGAAAGCCTCGTGCGTATATGGGTTAAGATGTTGCTGAGCCGGCAGTGTGGAAGTATTAAGCATGGGCTGCTGCTGTGGGGCGGTCCATCCAGGCACTGTGATATTAGGCATGAATTCCGGTAGGCTATTGAATTGTTCGCTGTGGTAGTGGTGCTGAGGCTGGTACTCCATCGATCCGATCGTTGTGATCGACTCAGAACTCTGTTGATGGTGACTTCCTGTGCTGGATAAATGCCTCGGCGGTGTGGGTACATTGCTGAAGTTTGAATCGCTACGATATGGCAGTGGTGGAGGTTCTTCGATACTGCCCCTTGCCGCCTGGTGATTGATGTATCCGAACGGAGGCTGCTTCTCGGGTGGCGTCGCCACAGATTGCGTGCTAAGCGTAGCCGGACTGGTCGCCCGTGACCGGCTGTCTGGGAACATCGACCCTGGGGACGCCGCATCGGAGGGCGTGTTGGCGGATATGGGTACATCGCCCTCTTTGTCATATATCTTCATGATCGCAAAGATGAGCTTTTGGTACAGCTGAACGGCAGAAGCCACACCAGGCCAACGTTCCGAGGCCTGCTGAATAGCCGTCATTGCAATGGCGAGGTGCCCCTCGACTGATTCACGGGTGTACTTCCGTCGCACTTCCACGTAGCTCAAGGACCAGAGCATAGTATTGATTGCCATGAAGAGCGATTGTGTGAAGATCCACGTGAGGTCAACGTTTCTCTTCGCAATTTGCCCTCGCTGCATGTAGATGTTGTACTCGCAGGCTTCGTAACATTTGAGAGCAGCTTCCACCGACGGTCGAGGCACTTGGGGAGATGGCCGATACAGAAATACGATCATGGTATTGTAGCGCCCGATGAACCAGACCTTGTCGAGACCGGCACCTTCGTCTTGGGAAGGCGCGGCATCCCTCCATGCAGTCAATTTTGCCTCCATACGAATGAACCATGGATCGCTATCGCTTTTCGGCTCTGGCCTTTTTTTCTGATACAATTTTCTCCGAATCTCGAGCTGAAGTAGCCGCATCTTGAAGAAGTGTATAGCGACCCATTTCTTGAGAGTCGGCCGCTGTGCAGCTGGATTGATGCCCTCGGGTGTGATGAATTGATCGTCACAAGTCTCGAACCAGCCAACATCGATGTGGTCTTGACCTGTCGCGAGCATGCCGGGTCTGCCGATCGAATGGGCGAGGCCCCACTCCATGACCATGATGCACCAGAATAAGCGCCGCCTCAGATCGATCTCAAGACAATCGGCAGTGCCATCCTGCTGTCCTCTCGTAATTGTCTTCTCCTCTGTGAGACCTAGCGCCTGCAGCAAACGTACTGCGATGCCCACCACGTAGTATATTGCAGTGCGTGTCGGCGTCAACAGAGAATACTCTGCCATGAGTGCGAAACACTGTAAGGTTTTCAAGTTCATCGGTCGTACGACGGCCTCCATGTACTTGAGGGCAGCCAAATAATAGCTGTCCGCCAGTCCTGCGTATTGCGTATCCATCTTCTGGAGACTGATTGCAATGACCATACGGCATACGAAATGCTGATACGGAGTGGCATGATCCGGCTGCACGTAAGCTGTGTCGAAATCTTTGTCTAGCGTGGGCTCGTGAAGTGCTGGATACATGGGCTGTACTTTCAGCTTGTATAGCTGCAGTAACAGATCGCCCAGAGATCGCATGGGTAGGTCCGAGGCAGCAACATCGCTGATCAAGGGATATATCTTCGAAGTTGGCTTTGCCTGTTCTTGCGCATACAACTCCTTGATCTGCCGCGCTTGCTGGTCCGGCACGATTTCTGTGATACTCTTTGCGTCGGTGAACTGCTTTGCCAGCTGCATGACCAGGCGGGTGATGGCGATGCCGCTGGAGGGTCCGAGATATTTCGATTCCTTCTCATCGTGCATGCGCACGTTCGCCGCGCGCATGAGAGCTTCGGGATCCTCATGGCCATCCTCATTCTCCACGCGGTCGAGCTCTTCCTCCAGCTCTCGGCATTTATGCTGTAACCAGACTACATAGTTGCGGTTGACATTGTGCCCTCGGGTGGAATCGTAGTACTCACAGATGGAATTCGTTCGCTCGCATGGTGTACAGCGTGGAAGGCCGGGATCGCATCGCGTCTTGCGCTTCACACGTTTGTCAACGTCTTGATCCTCGTCACAAGAGACACTCGGTGTGCTGGATTACCTGTCTACAGCGCGTGCACGCGGTCAATGTGTGAGCAACCTGACTCCCCGACGATCCATCCTCGGCACTTTCATGCCGCAGTGCGGCCTTTTTCCTCCCGCCGACATTGGTGTTCAGTGCGGCGAGCGGGTGAACTGCTGCCATGCTATGATCGATGGCAGAGGGTGCGCGATCGGTGGCGCATTGCGCGTTGCTTATCTCGCCACTTGCTGAGTGTCGTGGCCTGCGATTCGGCTTGGGAGCCGGCAAGAAGCTCTGTGGTGTCTGCGGCACTGGCGGGCACGTCGCTCTGCCGGAGGTGAGCGTGCGGTGATGATGCGCGCGCAATGGAAGATGTGGCAGCGGACTGGAGGTTGCGAAGCGACACGCTCATCAGACAGCACATTCCATATGGGCGCATATGAAGCTTCGGCGGTAACTAGTACCACCGTAAGACAGACCCCACCCGCGCAAAACGGAAGGGCTCACGGCGTGTCGCGCTCGCCATTCGCCAGGTGACGAGGGACGTGCCCGAGGCGAGTGCCGCGACACCGCTCCACGGCTCGGCCTGCGCGTAGGGCACACTCGGCAGAGCAGGCGTGCCAGTGGGCGCTGCTGGCGTGGCTGCTCGCGTCAATCACGGTGCAGGCCAGCAGCTGGGCGGCACGGACGAGGAGTGCGCTTCAGCTCCACGACACGCATGCTGCGAAGCAAGCAAGCAGTCTCAGCAGCGGACGGCGTCGACGTGGTGAGTGGGCATCGCCGTCAACGATCTGCCGAACCTGTCTGCATTCCACGCCTGCTCGAACCTTCCAAATTCGCGTATGCACATGCTGCCTTGCCTTATCGGCCCAGCTCTCACCAAAAGTGGGATCCGAGGTCGCGACTTCACTTGTTGATCTCTCCTTCCACGCTCTCGGATCCGCTCCGGGCACCGCTGCTGCAGGCCCAGACATTGCTGTCCTGTCCCTCGTGCGCTGCTCGTCGCGTGCAAGACACGACTTGACCAGCCAACTCGACGTCGTCCTTCGCGCCAATGTCGACACGAGTGGCTTAGCTGGTGGCACCCCCAGACGCAGCCGTGCTACAGGTACGTTTCGCCTGCAGTGCGCCTGCTTTTAGGGCTACATCGCCTGCGGGAGGCACTATGTGGACAGCACAGCGACATAAGCTGCGCCATGCCCTGCCTGTCGGTCGCGTATGTCTGCTGAGCCTGGCCCGCACTGTGGAACCCTTCTACAATCGACGAGCTGACAAGATGGCTCCAGGAAAATTCGACGCCAACGCCCTGATGCCTTTGGAAACCCCCATCCTCAAGGTCTCGCGGTATGGCTGTCTCCGAACGATCAAGGTGACGCGTGTCACTAACGCCGCGCTCTCGCCCTAGACCCGTCGCTGCATGCTCGAGATGCCGCAATGCCAAGATCAAGTGCGATGGGTGAGTTAATGCGAATGGCGCAGACACCACCGGAAGCACATTCGCTGACCTTTCGCCGCTTGGCCTTGAAGCAAATTGCCAGCTTGCTCATCGTGCGAGAAGAACGGAAGGGCTGCGGAATGTACCAGCACTAACGACCAGTTTGCACGCGGCAAAGAGCGCAGCTATGTGTCCACGCTGGAAACTCGGATCGAAAAGCTCAAAGAGAAATTAGAGGATGCCCGTGCCAGGAAGCCTTCGGTCGTGGACATGTTCGAGGATGACTCCGCCGCAAGACGTCAATCGTATCAAGTCCAGGAGCCACCGACTCCCAATACCCCGAACCAGACGAAGGCTATGAGGCGCAAAGAGGCCGCGACGATCGATGACTTGGTATCAGACTTTGGCTTCCTATCTGTCAATGCCACCGCACGAGACTTTTATGGCTTTACTAGTGCCATGTCGTACGCTCGACTTGTGCTCTGGGCAAGCTCGAAGGAACAACTTCCAAAGTCCATGTCACAAGAATTGCCTCCTCGCCATCAAGCAGTGTCTCTGATCCAGCACTACCTTAACAACGTCTTCGTCCTCTTGCCAGTCTTCGATGAGGCAAGCTTCTGGGGCTCTGTAGACAGAGTCTATTCACGCCATCAGCATTCAGCTGATGCACATGATCAGTACATGGTACGGATTGTACTGGCCATTGCGAGTGCTTCCATGTCCGAGCAGCGTGGCGACCAGCGCTACATGGAGGCCATAGGTCATATTTGCGCTGCTCTCAGTCACTCGGAAGATGTACTCCATCCTGGAGAAATTGCCAGTATCCAAGCTTTGATCCTCCTGACAGAGTTCGCGATGTTGGATCCTCACCACTTCGACTCGTGGGAATTGATTGGAGCTGCCTCCCGCGCAATGGTCGATCTTGGCCTGCACCAAGATCCTCCCAAGGGCACCGCGATGCCAAAGGCTAAGCTAGACTTGCGGCGACGAGTATACCACTGCGTGTACGCTCTGGATCGCTCCACATCTTTGGTGCAGACTCGCGCTTTTTCGTTCTCCGATGATAGCGCTAGAGTCAAAATACCTTTCTCGAAACCTACAAGCTCAGCTCCTACTTCCCCGGCGCCAAACACCTCACAAGGACTCTGGCTGCAATCATATGAGCACGTCGCGGACCTGATCAAGCTTCGTCAGATCCAGTCTCAATGGTATACAGACTTATTCCAATCTGGGCGCACCCGCTGGGACGAGCCATATCACTACATATGGGATACCTGTGATTCGATGCGCAAATGGTTCGACAACCTGTCTGCCTCGATGTCACCAAATATGCGGGCCTTTTTCGAGCTGGACTTGCTCTACTCTTACGTCTATGTACTGTCTCCATCGCCAAGAGTACCGGTCGTGCATCCCTTCGCGCAGAAGCTCATATTCGAATATTGCATCCGATATGCCGATCTCATGCTGCGCATGATTTGCGATCCTGGTTGTACATCTCCCCTGACCTTCTACGATGCCATGAGGGTGTACATGACTGGAAGGCAGTTCCTCGACGTGTTGCAACACAATATCGAAGGTCTATTGCCAGGTCACGTACCTGCTCATCCCGAAGTCAAGCCTTCAACTGCTGCACCGCCCCGAATGCCGGTTGCCGCTTTGCCATCGGGCGACACAGTTCTGAGATTCAACATCACACGCAGCATATCCTGTATCAAGCAAATTACAGAATGTCTCTCAAAGTTCGGCATTCGATGGGGTTATATGAGGTAAGATCATGAAGAAGGATGTGCCGTGCCATAACTGACACCTATGGCAGCTGGAATCAGCGATACCAAACTGAAACCTCTGGCATGCTCGATGAGCTGAACTCTCGCCTGCGCGAAATCGATGGAACAGCCCGACGGCAAAGCACCTGGCACCACCACGGATCGACCGGCTCGATTGGAAGTAGCATCAATGGCAGTCTGTCTTACGCAGGCTCTCCGTCAGCTCTGCCTGCTGGGCAATCTCTATATCAAGGGTCTCCAGCTGCTATGCAGCATACGCCTGGATCGATGCATGCGCATCCTGTGCATCAAGTCAGCCCGCCCGCGCAGCAAGTCCCGCAGCAGGTTTCGATGTATCAAACGACGCCACCTCTAGTTCATGGGCAGAACATACACGTTGGGCAGCAAGGACAACAGCAACAATCCTACTTCCAGCAACCTGTTTACAACTTCAACGAAGTCCCCATGCCGCAGCAGCAGCAGCATCAGCGGTCTGTCTCGCATCAGGCCCATGTCCATCCCGCTTCGCAGTTTGCAAACTGGACAGGATATGGAGGTCCTGGCGGTAATCCAGACACGCTTGATGAGGAGAACGCGGTACCTCCGATTTCATATAATCCCTGGAATGTTGATACTCAGGGCTAGCGTGTGCTAATGATGGGATCCAGATCGCAGTGGAAGCTACTCGGTCTGAAGCTGCCACCCGGCTCAACCCAGGAAGTCAGATTCATCCACACCAGGGTCCTGCTATCAATAGCGATGTGATATACCCGGTCCACGAAGCCGCGGGTCGCGCGGACAGATCACGACTCCTCGATTTCAGCATCCCGAAAACTTCGATTCTGCCAGAACTCGATGGCAGAGGGCCTGCACCTGCCCCGCCTGGCCGCCGCCAGCCGAGAAGCACTATGATGGATGCAGCTACGACCATCTCGTCCCTGCCAGTGCGACTGCCATATGCTGAATCGCCAGGCACTCTAGCAGATGGGCTGAATCGCACGACTGAGCGTGGCACATGACTCAATGCTCGCTCATGCCCCCTCGTCCCATGAGAATTTCCTCGCAACCTGTAGCCCTTTCCTGTGTCAGCGCTGACACTCGCCCGTGGGGGCTGATGGAGAACTTGTTCTCGGGTCATACGGTCGCTTCGCGGCGTTACGAGACACTCACTACCAGAGCCGTAACAGTAGAGGGGAGCGAAATCGATCGTGTATTGTTACACATGCTTTTTCGACAACATCGATATTTCGGAAAGGAACGAGAGGCCTTTTCAGAGGTTCTTCAGATAGTCAATGGTACAGAAACTATCAAAATGGCACTATGCGAACTCGAGTCGTTATACACGGAATCTTCTGCACTCGGCTCATAACTACATCAGCATGCCTTACAGTTCTTTTGTTCTTTCCTCTGACTCTGCGATCCATTTGTCTAGCATCTGACGATTGCGTGGTCGAAGTCCAATCTTGAAAGGCTTGGGATCCATCGTCAAGCCGTTCGGCAGCTTATTGCACTCCATGGCGTCGAGGATTGGCCGATCCTTGGGATCTTTCGCTTCCACAACTTCAAACGCGACAATAATCTTCAAAAAGGCAGTGTACAATTCCCGATTCGCCAAATGTGTTCCAATGCACATTCTTGAACCAGCGCCATAACCGTAATGAGGAGTCCCTCGCGTTGCAGAGGCGTCATCGATGGTTTTATCTGTGAGGTAGCGATCGGGGTTGAATGTATATGGATCTTTGAAGTGTGTGTCATCGTAGTGTGCGGCGTAGGCGTTCATGTAGAAATCTGTGCCTGCGGGGATCGTGGCGTTGCCCCATTTGACGTCTTTGACGCTGCGTCGGGGTAGGCAGATGGGGATCACGGACCAGAACCGGAGGGTTTCTTTGACGAGGGCTGTGATGAATTCGCATTTTTCTTCAACAAGGCAGCGTTCCCAGGCATCGTTGTTGGGGTATTGGGCTTGGATCTCTTCGTATGCACGCTTTTGGATTTCTTGGCCGTGGGGAGAGGAGAGGTATGCGACGCCCTGGAGGATAGTTAGGTCGATGTCATTCTCAAGGATGCTACGTGGGTGCTTACCATGATGAGATTGCCTGGTACTGTGTCAAGACCGGCAGAGACCATGCTGAGGCCGATGGACATGACCTCTGCTTCGCTGAGTTTGGCCTCGGGGTCCTTGAGGACGTGGCCACTAATGCATGGTTTGTCTTTGCCTTGCGCCATGCGTTCTTTTAATCCGTTGAGCAGCTTGTACATATACTTCGCCCTGCGAGCCTTGTACTCGAGAGGTTTGTCGTTGCCACCTGGTAGAAGTCGCATGAGAGGGATGTAGTCTGCCCAATTCGTGGCTGTGCTTCGAAATTTGCTGATCTCACGCTCGACGTGGACGATCTCTTTGAGCAGCTCGTCATCGATGTTGCCTTCAATTTTGTAGCCATAGTTGAGAGTCAATGATGTAGAGAGCGCGAAGCGGGAAAAGTACAAGTTGATGTCGACATCGCGCTGGCCGTAATCGGAGTCATGTGCCATCTCTTTGATGGACTTGGTCGATTCGTAATCAAGAATGGGCATGTAGCTCGCCACTGCTGGTCTGTTCAATGCTGTTGCAGCTGCCTTTCGTCTTGCCTTGCAACTCTCGTCCCAAGGGCTAGTTCCGATTGTGAAACCTTCACTGGAACTGACCACGGTGTGGAAGGTGTGCAATGTCGGTCTGCTGATCAAGGCGGATTGGTTCGTGATCCAAAGGTTCTTGACACTGTCGAATGTATTGGCGAAGACCACTCTGCGGTTTCCCAGACGAACTTGGAACACTGGACCATGCTTTTTGGCCATCTTCATCGCGTTAACGGCATGATTGTCTCCAAGTTGTGCCAGGTTGCCGACAATGGGAACTCCGGGCACCTCGGGTAGTCCTTTGATTCTGGGGACATTGGTCCTGTCAATGATCTTGATGGCCGTGTATATGGCGGCAATGAGGAAGAATGGCAGGATGTGTGGTTGGAGCAAGAGACCGACAATGCTTTGCGGCTCCGTCGAGTTCGCCATGACGGCGAAAACAAAGTGATGTGTTCCTGCCTCTTCGTCTGCACTTGCTTTTGGGATTCAAGAATATCAGGTGCGGAGACGATGTTGATGTGACTGAAAGGGTACGAGGCCGCTCAATGGCTAGAGTAGCGAAGAGCGATTGACGTTGTCTGATATACTCAAGCACGACGGAATCGAGGAAGAGAGTCGCCGATTAACCGTACGAACAATGTCGATACACCATGCTAGAAGGTGGACATGGTGCACTTTCACGCACCTTTGATTCCGTCCAGGACATCATCTTTGCCATGATTGGTGCTCAAAAGTGGCACCAAGAGTACCAAGTACAGCCCCAGGTGGTGAGAAAGTGGGGATTAGGTTCGGTGGAGGAGCTTGACAGCGGGTCGAGGGCGCGAGCGCGGAATTTGATCCGCCACACTCTTCTGAACAGCATGTCCGTGCGCATTCAAGCTGCACTTACGAGAATTGCGAGCCTAGGAGTGCGTAGACCCATGCTACGGTACATGCGGATGATAGTGGGACGTCTGGGCTGTGGAAGGATATGGCAAAGTTGTTTGCTCGTCAACGAGTTTGCACTAGGGCTTGAGGGTCTAGAAGCACTATGCTCAGAATTTGATATCCAGGGCAGGTTCGATGCGGCCAATGCATTGGCCAAAACCCACAATCGCACCGTTCTCAGACCCACAGTGTCCGGTCAAGGAGACAGTATCCCCATCCTCGAGGAATTTGCGAGTCTCGCCTCCAACGAGCTTCACGTCTTCCTTGCCGTTCTCCGTCTGTTCCAACAAAGCTCCTTTCTCCTCTTTCGTTGTGCCACTGATCGTTCCAGATCCCATGAGATCACCTACATTGAATGGACACCCGCCAATCGTGTGATGAGCGAGCATCTGTGGGAAGGAGAATAGCAGCTGTGTCGCTGACGTTCGAGAAAGTATGGTAGTGTCGCCAGACGATGGCGTGAGAGCGAACGACAAGTCGATTTTGTAATGCGACTCTCGTCCCTTCTCATTAAGATATGGCAGCAGTTCAGTGTCGTTTGGGATGCCGGAAGTCTTGAACGGCTCGAGAGCATCCATCAAGACGACCCAAGGTGAGATGGTGGTGCCGAAGTTCTTCGAGTTGAATGGACCTAGTGGCACATATTCCCAGGCCTGGATGTCGCGAGCGGACCAGTCATTCATTAGAACCACGCCGAATAGATGATCCGGTGCGTCATCAACACTGATGGGTTGTCCCATTTGATTGGGTTTGCAGACAAAGCAGCCGAGCTCCAGCTCGATGTCCAGCTTCTTGCATGGACTGAGGATTGGCTGCTTCTTCTCAGCTGCTGGGTTGGCTAGTATTTGCCCTGTAGGCCTTCGAATGGGCGTGCCAGAAACGACCACAGAGCTGGCACGTCCGTGGTAGCCTACGGGGAGGTGCTTGTAGTTCGGCTGCAATGCGTTCGCTGCACCGCGGAAAAGGACACCGACATTGTATGCATGATTCAAGCCTGCGTAGAAGTCCTGCTCAAAAGTCAGCTCAGGCTGTCATTGAGAGACGATCAAACGTACCGTATAGTCACCTATCTGCATAGGTAAATGTGTTTGAACCTGATCAAGAGGAAGAAGGGCCTGCTTCTGCAAGGCCTCGTTCCGTTCTAGCACTTCCGGGAATGGTCCATCTTTGAGCAGTACGCTCTGAATGTACTCGCGCACAACCTTGTGAACAGGACGTCCGAGTGCCGCAAAGGCGTTCAAGGTGGGGGAGGAGAAGACTGCCTGGTGAGGCTGGATGGCAGAAAGCTTGGCGAAGCCATTCCCTTCTGTGAAAGCGTGAAGGTCCAATGCATGATCCCCAATGGCAATGGCAGGTCGCGGTTGCTTCGAAGACTGTGTCGATATGATTCCGAACGGAATGTTGTGCAGGGAGAAGTGACTCAAGGGGTCAATCTGGAGCCAACTCTTGAGAGGCGCCATGATGGAGCGTATCTTGGCCAGCTTGTTGGTGAGGGTGGAGGCGGGGGACGAGATGCGGCTCAGGGAGGATGATCAGGAGCTGCGGGAGCTCTCGCCGTGTGCTCAAAGCTGTAGCGACCAGACGCAGTGGCAAAGCTAATGGCAGCGTGTTGGCAGGGCATCTTGCACCGAACTTATTATGGACAACGTCGGTGTTGATGGCTACTGATGGCTTTGGCGCAATGTTGCGCGCGGAAAGCGGCCGCCCGTCGCGCTTAACCCGAGATCGAACCCTGGCACATCGAGAGATGACACTGCACGATGAGCCTGCGGTAACCTTTTGTAGGCGGAATTGCATCACGGAATGCTGAGCTGGAGCTGTTGCGCGGGACTTTCGGTCAGCACTGCCTGCCATAAGAGCGACGCAGTTGTAGTCCCGTTGTTCTCAGGCAAGTACCTCATTTTCTTCTCTCCATCATCATCACCATGCCCGTCACACAGTTCAATCGCGCCGAGAAGTACAGGTACCAGAACGGCTTCGGCTGCTACCACGAGACGGAGGCAGTCGATGGCGCCTTGCCTGTCGGTGCCAACAACCCTCAGAAGCCGGCATACGGTCTATACAACGAGAAGCTGTCCGGCACAGCGTTTACCGCACCACGACACGAGAACAAGCAGTCCTGGCTGTACCGCATCCTCCCCGCGAGCGCACACTCCAACTTCGAGCCTCGAGAGAGCTCTTCGTACGACCTGAACCCTGGTGGGCTGCGAGATGCCAAATGGCATCAGATCCCCAACCAGCTGCGATGGAACCCCTTCGATCTCGATGAGACTGTCGATTGGATACACAGCCTGAAGTTGGTGGCGGGAGCGGGTGATCCAACTATGAAGACCGGTCTGGGCATCCTCATCTATGCTGCAGGCAAGGATATGGACGAGAGGCATGCTTTCTACAGCGCAGACGGCGATCTTCTGATTGTGCCGCAGCATGGTGCTCTGGATGTCCAGACTGAGTTGGGCAAACTCCTGGTGAGGCCCAATGAGATTTGCGTGATCCCGAGAGGCATTCGACACCGCATTACACTACCCGACGGTCCTGTACGTGGCTTCGTGCTTGAACTCTACCAAGGCCACTTTGAGCTGCCAGACCTCGGGCCCATTGGCTCCAATGGTCTGGCGAATGCACGCGACTTTCAAGCTCCAGTCGCCGCCTTTGACGAGGATACCGAGAATGAGCATACGCTCTTTGCCAAATTCTCAGGGACACTCTTCGCGGCCAAGCAAAATCACACTCCGTTCGACGTCGTTGCATGGCACGGCAATTACTATCCATACAAGTACGACCTAGGACGGTTCAACACCATTGGCTCGATATCCTACGACCACCCAGATCCCAGCATCTTCACTGTCTTGACGGCTCAGTCCGATCACCCCGGCACAGCTGTGGCAGACTTTGTCATCTTCCCACCTCGATGGCTGGTCGCCGAAGACACCTTCCGCCCGCCGTGGTACCACCGCAATACTATGTCTGAATTCATGGGCCTCATCCACGGCCAGTATGACGCAAAGACCGGCGGAGGTTTCCAGCCTGCAGGTGCCTCTCTTCACAACGTGATGAGTGCGCATGGACCAGATGCATCGACACACGAGAAAGCGAGTAATGCAGAGCTGAAGCCAGCAAAGGTGGGTGACAACAGCATGGCTTTCATGTTCGAATCGTCTTTGATGGTCGGCGTTACGGAGTGGGGTCTAAACCAGTGTAAGAAGGTCCAGGAGGATTACAATGCAGAGTCCTGGGAGCCATTGAAGCCGCACTGGCCAGGCAAGGCCAATCTCAAGAAAGGCGGAACAAATGGCACACATGCCGCCAGCACTGAAGAAGCAGATAAACAGCAATTACCCCACTACTCATAAGTTGGAATCTATAGCCATTGCATGCAAATGGTATCCGATTATCAAGTATGAACAAATTCACCTATTTTGCATAGTTTTCATAAAAGTTCACGAATGGCTTTCACATTTCATGTGCAAGCGATGCCGGAGACTAGGCTAACACGGGAATAATAATCGAGACCCCAGATCTCCCCACAAACGGAGTAAAGCTCCTCGGATAGCGTGAACCCTGCTTCTCTGAGCCCCACAGCTATCCGAGGCCATGGTCTGGCTACCGACTCTGCAGTCGAGAGTCGGCAGCAACCAGAAGTACACCACGTGTGATTCCACGTCGCGGAAGTCTACATCACCATCCCGGTCGCTAAAGATATCTCTTCAATTTTCTCATCTTGAAATATCTTCCGAATTCACAGCAAAAGCGCACAAACATGACAGCCAAAACTCAAGTCGCCGTACCCTTCGCCGAACCACCGTGGAAGAATGGTCTCCCCAGTTTCTGGCTCACACCAGAACTGAAGCAATGGCAAGAGAAATGCCACTCTTTCATCCAAGAGCATTTGACACAACATGCTTGGGATTGGGAGAAAGAGGAAACCATACCAGCACACGTCTTTGAGACATTTTCCAAGCATAATATGTTGATTCCTTCTCTGCCTGCTCCCCTGCCAGTCAAAGAATTGCATGCTGCAGGGATCTACGATATTCTAGGGACCAAAGTGGAAGATTTCACGAATTGGCATAATTATATCTATGGAGATGAGCTGATTTCGTCTGGATTGGCGGGGCCTAGTGGTAGTTTGACGACGGGAATGGCGTTTGGTAAGATCGAGATGGGTACTGGAAATTTGCTGTGAAATGTCGGACTGATAATGGACTGAAAAGGTGTGCCACCGATTATCAAGTTTGGAAACGAGCAATTGAAGAAGAAGTTCTTGCCTGATCTTCTGACCGGAAGAAAACGCACATGTATTGCCATTACAGAACCGGATGCTGGTTCCGATGTTGCGAACATCCGCACCACCGCAGTCAGGAGCAAGGATGGCAAGAAGTTCATCGTTAACGGCACGAAGAAATGGTGAGTTGGAGCGATTCTTCGATCCGGAAAGTGCTTCTGATTCTGACGCTTTCCAGGATTACAAACGGGTTCTGGAGTGACAACGCGTGCATGGCCGTGCGCACTGGAGGGCCCGGAGCAGCGGGTCTGTCACTACTGGTGGTTCCTCTGAAGGGGCACAAGGGTGTCGAGATGAGGCGATTGAAGGTTTCAGGACAAATCAGTGCTGGCACGACCTTTATCGAGCTTGACGATGTTGAAGTGCCCGTCGAAAACCTCATTGGTGAAGAGGGGAAAGGTAAGATGTGGTCTCTCACCTTACCTGCCAATGTTTTGCTGATACATTGTCAGGAATGCTGTACATCATGACCAACTTCAACCATGAGCGCCTTAGCATCGCTATCGGCGCAACACGACAGGCTCGTGTAGCGCTTGGCTCGGCATTCGGGTATGTGCTCAAGCGAGAAGCGTTCGGAAAGACACTTTTCGAGCAGCCAGTCGTCCGACATCGCTTGGCTAAGGCCGGACTTCTGCTCGAATCGCAGCAAGCTTGGATCGAACAGTTCATCTTCCAGATGACCAAAATGAAGAAGGAAGATGCGGACCGCGAGCTTGGAGGCTTGACGGCAGGAGCAAAGGCGAATGCGGCCATGGTGGTAAGTCCAGTTCAGAGCGTGCAGTGTGATCTTCGAAAGCATGCTGATTTTTGCAGCTGAAAGAGTGTGCCGACTGTGCCGTGTTACTCTTCGGAGGAAACGGTTACACTCGCTCCGGCCAGGGTGAGATTGCCGAGAGAATGTGGAGAGAAGTCAACGGCAACCGCGTGCCTGGCGGCAGTGAGGATGTCATGCTTGATCTCATGGTCCGACAACTGGGCAAGAATTATGAGCGGAAGCTCAAGGAGCTTATGATGACGCCTGGCTCCAAGTTGTAGAAGTCGTGTATCAGGCAGAAAAGTGCCAGTAGATATATCCCAGATGCCATAATATGCTTCCCTGCTATGCTATCCCACATGTTGATCTTTTGCCCACGACTGTGCTTCGTACAATATATCGATGTTGAATGCGGGCGACAGTGCTAGTCGTCCCAGATGGCTTTCTTCGCGGCTTCTGCCTCTCGTTGCTTCCGCTCTTCCTCAGCCTTGGCCTGATCGCGTTTCTTCTTCTCCTGCACCTTCATCGCCTGATCATATTCCCGCTGTTCTGGAGTGCGCTTCGGTGCTCTCTGCCCCAACCCAGCGGCGATGAGTCGTGAAGCGACCGCAGTTGTCTTTTCTGGCCTTCGTTCTGGCGTCTCACTGCCGCGAGGGGACGAGTTCTGAGGCGGGCTCTCTAAGCCTAAGGGCCCAAAGTTTTGGTAGTGAAATTCACGCTGCCTAGCATCAGTGGGCGAGGAGGGTGTCGGCGGAGGAGGACCCGGCAGATTGGCTGTGGACGGACGGGCGGGGGTGGAGGCGGCCCCATTGTCCTCGTTCTCGTCGGCAGCGGCATCCACCTCATCCTCCCATGACTCGGCGGGCTCGGGCTTGCGCGACTTGATGTTGTCGGCGATCTTGAGCTTGCCGAGCGACTCGGCGACGTTGGCGGGAGACATGAGGTGCTGGGGAGCAATGGCAATGGAGCCTCTGTCGGTCAGCAAGCATGAACGCACATGGCAATCTAGATCTTTTTGTGTTTGCTGCGGGTCGCGCCGAAAGCTGGGGAAAGCAGGAGCAATGGAGGCGACGTCATTTTTGGCTGCAGGCGAGAACAGCAGCAACAGCGACATTGAACAGGGAAGGCACGATGAATTTTCAACAGCGATGCTACGCCTCCGGAGTTGCGATTATTCCCAGCACCCGCGTCGAGGCAATGTCGCTACATTCAGGAACAGGCAGGAGCTGCACGCCAGCACGTCTGCTGCTGGCTGCCGATGTCGGCATTCCCGGCGATGAAATTATTCCCGCGAAGCTTCACGTCGACGCGGTTGTCGGTAAACTGGTATAAAAGCAAACTGGACCATGATGTCGCGTGCGGCTCAATGAGACACGGCCCTTTCTGCACCCTCTCGACCTCTCTCTCCTCTCCATCCTCATTCCTTCTCCTCAAGCATCACTCATTCACTTCGCGCGCCGCTGCAGAAAGAAGCTGTGTAACGTCATGGCCACGGCTGTCAGAAGCTCACGAGCTTCACGTCTCACACAGACGACACGATGTATACCGCAGAACTCCACAAGACCCTTCTCGAGCTCGCCGCTGAGAGCTTCGTACGATGACACGGTGCACAATCTCAAGATTGGCAAGCACACGCGTGTTATGTACCAGGGCTTCACAGGGCGAGTTGCCACGGGAAACGCGAAGGACAGCTTAGCATATGGCACCAACATCGTTGGTGGTGTGACGCCTGGCAAGGAGGGGGAGCACATTGGTCTCCCTCTGCTGCCAGATATGAAGAAAGCCAAAGAGCAGCTCAAGCCAGACGCTACAGCAGTCTTCGTGGCAGCATCACAATGTGCGAAAGCCATCGAAGATGCCATTGAGGCTGAGATCCCGCTGATTGTTTCTGTTGCTGAGCATATCCCCGTGCATGATATGATGAGGGTGAGCGTGAGCACTAGTCAGGCTTCCACACATTCGCTGACATGCCACAGGTTGCAAGTATATTGAAAACCCAATCCAAGTCGAGACTGGTTGGCGCCAATGCACCAGGAATCATTGCACCAATTGGGTTTTGTCGAATCGGTTTTCAGCCACTGCCTACATTTGCTCCAGGTCACATTGGCATTGCTGCAAAGTCTGGCACTCTTTCCTACGAAGCGGTTGCCTCCATCACAAGAGCAGGTCTTGGCCAAAGTCTGGTAATTGGAATGGGCGGCGATATCGTGGCAGGTACCAATCTTGTGGATGCTCTTAGGGTCTTCGAGAAGGACGATGAGACGGAAGGCATCGTTCTGATTGGAGAAGTTGGAGGCAAGGCAGAAGAAGACGCAGCAGACTGGATTAAGGATTACCTGAAGCGAGAAAAGAACCCAAAGCCCATTGCAGCCCTCGTCGGCGGCAAGTGCGCAAGACCGAACACAGTTATGGGACATGCAGGTGCATGGGCAGCTCGGGGTGAGCACAACTCTCACGAAAAGTACAGCGTACTCAAGGAGGCCGGTGCTACCATGATCGATCATCCAGAGAACTTTGGTGGCATTATGAAGACACTCTTGTCACAGAGCGGCCGCGACGTCAATAAGATTCAACAGAACGCCCAGGCTACACAGAAGCGCGGATATCACACCCTGCGTCGAAGTCCAGCATCAGCCCGATCAGGTCCAGTCCTTCGCCCGCGACAACAGACACAACAGCAACGTGGACTGCACATCGCCCCCGAGCTCACGCCAGTCCCACTCTTCCCCTACCTCTCCAAGATCCAGGGTGTCACCCTCGCACTCGATGAGTCTCCCAAAGACGGCTACTATGTAGGCATCATCGTCGATCGAACCGAACGCTGCCCCTGCATCGCCGTCGCACCCACCGCCGACCCTTCCACAATCGACGCCCGCGTCAAGCGCTTTCCCTACGATTGGCGAGAAGGCCCCTCTGAATCGCTCATAGCTTCTGCAGTCGACTACCTCCAAATCGGATCTCAACAAACGGCTCGTCAACAAATCACCCAACTCATCACCTCCCTCGCAAAAATGTACACAGAAAAGGAAGCCATCATTCTCTCCGGCTGTCTCTCCATCGGCGGCTCCGGTAACCTCAAATTACACCAACCCTCCCTCACTCTCATGTTCGACGACGCCGCATACCGCAGCACAAAACGACAAGAAGACATCCATCGCCTACGACAAAAAGACCAGGAAGTCCCCGAAGAAGTGGAAGCGGAAAAGGATGGCATCGTCTACGTCAAATTTGACGACCCAGACGCCAAAATCGGTACACTCGTCAACGGAGCCGGTCTCGCAATGAACACCGTCGACGCACTCCGACTACATGGTGGCTCAGCCACAAACTTCCTCGACACCGGCGGCAAAGCTACTTCCGAGACTGTGAAAAAGAGCTTCGAACTCATTTTACAAGATCCCCGCGTCAAAGTCATCTTCGTGAATATTTTTGGCGGTCTCACAGACGGAGGCATGATTGCGAATGGAATTTTATTGGCGTTTAAAGAGGTGGATATGAAGAATATTCCCGTCGTCGTACGGATACGAGGCACGAATGAGGAAGTGGGACAAAAGACAATTGCCGAGTCTGGGTTAGGCTTGGATGCATTTGATAAGTTTGAGGATGCTGCGAAGAGGGTCATTGAGATTGCGAACTCATGATCGGTGCGTTAGGAGAAGCATTTCATCGTTAACAGTGTGCCGACATTTTTGAACGGATCTGCGAGGCATATACAGGGAAGAGGGTTAAACGGAATGTGAGATCAGTTCCACCAATAGGAGCCTCGGCAAGACTTTCTTGTTCTTTTATACAAATGATATGCACACATTTCTGGCATCTCCGTGCCCAACACCTGTGAGCAGTGATGACGATCATGTTGGCCCTCCGAACACGGCCATTCTCTATATCCTGGTCCCGACATGTGATGATGGGTCTAAGGGCCGCCAAACTGCTGGCTTCCCTTCGGTTTGCTCTGTTGTCTGTTTCGCTATGCTAATCAAACAAATTTGTGCTTGCAATCCGAGTCAGAGATGTGCACCGATGGCATTGTGAGTGTCCTGAAATGCCTCTTCACGGCGCGGCGTTGTGCTCTCGGCACGGCTTATGAAATCAATGCGGCGGGATTGCCGGGAAGGCTCGTAGGCCTGTGGGTGTTTGTACTGTGGTCCATCACCGAAGTTTCAAGGCGCGGTATCATCTTTCTTCGCAGAACTAGGCTCTCCGCTGTACGGGCCTTGCGGAAATTGAGGTGTGGTGCCGTCCTGCTGACTGGGAGGATGCTGCGTGTTGACCGGCGTCTCCTTCACTACCACCTCATCTTTGTTCAATGTCTCTGGGTGTGTTTCGAGGCGATACTCCTTACTCAGATCGCTCTTCGAACGTTCGCGGCCGAAGCGCAGACTGTCGTTGTCGCCCTCTCTTCGCTCAATTGGTGACCAACCCCCAGCAATCGAGCCGGCGACAATACCTGCCATGGCTGCGCCAGCGAAAGCAGAGTTCGATCGTGAGCGACCACGTTTGCGACGCGAGTCTGGAGTCGGGGGAGCAGGTGAATGTCCATCGTGATCCTCTGGTTCGTTGTTTGGCGTTCTTGGTAGGCTAGAGCTCGCACGGCTACGGCTCGGACTACGGCTGTGCATGAAAGTCTCCTTCGGGTGAGTGACGGCGAACTTGAGACTGTTGATGCGACCTCCCTTGTACTTCTTGAGCCAAGCCAACTCTTCCTTGATCTCGTAGAGTGCTTGGTTGAACTCGAATGGATTCTGGGCACCTTCTTCATCTGTGATCATGAGATTCTTCTTGTCTTGTCTCTTACGCGACCAGTTCTTGATGAAGGGTGGCACGAGCTTAGCAGCGATTTCATCGGGAAACAGCCGGACTATCACGCCGACAGGAAGCGATAGGACACCCAGCACCAATGCAATGCCCCATTGGCTGCCAGTCTGACGCTCGGCATTGAAGGCGTTCCATCCACCAACGAAGATAATGAGCACTTGACCACCAATCATGACCAGGAAAATTCCGACAAAGAACAGGTTGCGGGTCAATCCTTCGAAGACATTGAAACGATTATCGAGACGGCGATTGTTCAAGGCGTTGAAAATCTGCATCCAGGTGAATGTGTTGAAGACGAGAGTCCTGTGTTGACGATGCTCCAATTCGCCTTCGTAGTCCAATATACTCGGCCCAGCAAAATAGAGTATTAGCGTCACAGTAAGCTGATAAATGGCTTGTCCAATGATCATCTTCCACATAGTAACCGAGAAGAGTGGTGCCGATTTAGGATCTGGCTTGCGGTTCAAGATCTGTCGGCTAGGTGGGTCAGTGGCAAGAGCGAGAGCGGCCATTGTATCCATGATCAGATTGATCCACAGCAGCTGTACAGCGGTGAGAACGGACTCTTCTTCTGCGTTTGACACCGCGCTAATAAATGCGAGCAGGACAGCCGTAATGTTGACGGTAATCTGAAACTGCAGGAACTTCCTGACAGCATCATTGACAGCACGACCCCACATGAGTGCCTTGACGATGGAAGTGAAATTGTCGTCCATGAGGATAATGTCTGATGCCTCCTTTGCGACCTCTGTGCCAGCGATGTTCATTGCGAAGCCGACATCTGCAGCTTTGAGGGCGGGCGCGTCGTTTGTGCCATCACCAGTCACGGCGACGGTCTCGCCCATCTCTTTGAGGCGCTTGACCAACGTCTTCTTGTCATCTGGCGAAGACCGGGCGAGAACTTGCAATTTCGGAATTATGGCGCGTTGCTCTGCTTTGGACATTCTCCTAAACTCAGGACCCTCGAGAGCAGTACCGCCCGCGGTGAAGATGCCACATTCTGTCGCAATGGCCTTGGCAGTGAGAATATTGTCGCCAGTGACCATGCGTGGGAAGACGCCTGCCATGATACAATCCTTGACAGCATCGGGCACTCCAGCACGTAGTGGATCTTGAATGCCAACAATACCCAGGAATGTCATTTGTTTGCAGATATCCTCGATCATGGCCTGAGTCCTATCGTCTTCTGAGCGTCTCACATTACGAGGTGGCCACGACTCGGAGTCGAAATCACGATAAATGAAGCCGATGGTGCGGAGAGAGCGGGAGGCATAGGCGTCAATCAAAGCCTCCAATGTTTCCTTGTTCTCGCCAGTCATGGTGGTCGCCTCAAGCCCTTGCGTAGGATCACGAACGATGAAGTGGCAGTGACGGAGCATGATCTCGCTGGCACCCTTCACAATCAATCGGTAGCCGTTAGCGTCCTTTCGCTTGATAACCATGGCCATGAACTTGCGACCAGAGTCGAATGGAATCATTTGCACAATCTCAGCGTTGCTCCGCTCGGTGGCGATGCGGTCCATGCCTAGATAGTCGCGTGAGAAGTCCAACAAGGCCGTCTCCGTCTTTGAGCCGACGAAGATCTGCTTTCCATCCTCCTCGGCTTCGAAAGCGGTTGAGTTGATCGCGATGCTATCTTTCCACAGGTCCTTGATTGCTGGGGATAATGACTTGATACATTCAGCGGTTGGCACATCGTCCACGTTGTCGTGCACATCCTTGTTCGGATCCGGTTTTGCATCATCGGCGGCGCCGCCAGCGCGACTGCTAAAGCGACTCGAAGTACCAACGGTGCCGGCAACGACGGTCATGACATTTTGCGTGAGGGTTCCAGTTTTGTCGGAGCAGACAGTAGTGGCGTTTCCCATCGTTTCGCACGAACGGAGTACACGCACTAGATTGTTGTCCTTCAACATGCGCTTGGTTGCATATGCCAGGGACAGCGTAACTGCCAATGGAAGACCCTCCGGAACAGCAACGACGACAATAGTGACGGCGGTAATAAGGATTCTCATAAATTGTTGACCTTTGTCCGCGGGAGTCCTGTCGTTGTTCGGCAGCCCGGCCAAAAATTTGATGAGCAAAACCACAAAGAGTAGTAACGCGGCGGCGCTTCCCAACTTTGCGATGTATTCAGCAAGATTGTTCAGCTTAGCTTGAAGCGGAGTTGCGTCGTTGCTTTCCTGTAACGAGAGCATAGTTCTGCCGTAGGTGGAGTTGGTGCCAACTGCCGTGACAACCATGCGTCCAATTCCCTCGGTGACTTTGCCGCCAGAAATCATGAAAGGATCCAGCTTCTTGAGAGGCTCGCGGGCCTCCATGGCACGGTGGACTTCATCAGCGGCAGTCTTCTTCATGATGTCTGATTCTCCAGTGGCTGAAGATTCGTCACATTTCACGCCGTGGCCAGTTATGAAGATGCCGTCGACAGGGAGGATGTCTCCGGGCTCAACTAAGAGAATATCGCCAACCAATATCGCTTGGACATCAATCTCCTGAGTTCTGCCTGACCGGACGACTTTGACATTGCGCGCTTCCTTCTTTTTGTTCAATTTCGCGAATTGACGTTCTTTCTGCCAGTCATTGACAGCGCCTACCATCACGACTACCGTGATGGCAACAATGATTGCGACACCTTCGATCCACTCGACGGTACTGTATGCAATTGCCTGGTAGATACCCAAGGACAGAGCAATGACAGCTGCGACCGTCAAGACAATCAGCACCTTGTCGTTGTAAGCGATCCACATCAGCTCGAAGATATTCTTGACCCTCTTCTCCGGCAGTTTGTTCTCGTCAAAAATGCGCTTGCGGTCATCGAAAGCGCCAGAGGTTGCGTCCGTGCCACCTACTGCCATCTCTGGCTCTTCAGTCACGGTCTTGTCGGACGAGGGACTCGCCACATGAGTGGCATCCTCGAAAGAGACTGTGCCCTGTAAATGGTTCTCATCCACACTGAGACCACTGTTGCGATCCGTTCGTAGTCCTTTCTCCAACCCAGCAAGGCCTCCTAGCGCGTGGAACGCACCGAAGCTCTTCGGATTCAGCAATTTCGATAAGTGTCCAGGCGCAAATGCGAACGGATTGTTCTCACGGTGAAACTCTCCCTCGGTGCCAGGATCCGGTTTGAGGGCTTCTTCGTCCGAGAGCACCGCGTGTTCTTCGGCGTTAGAACTACCTCCGAACGCCTTTGAAGCGTCCGAAGGCGACTGCGTATTCACGTATGTGGTGTCAGAAACGGAAGATGTCTCCTCAGTGTCTATGCTACCTCCACGACTTCGCCCGGTTGGCACGGACAGAAAAGCTCCCGGCGACTGTCCCCATTGCTGAGGAGAAGACACATTATGCGGACTCGTCGGCCGTGAATCTCTGCTCTCAAAGCTCTGCTTGCCTTGCAGATCGGGAGTAGCATGAGTGCTATTTCCCGAGGGTCGCAAACCTGAAGAGACGGAACCATGATCTGCAGTATCGACGCCTTCTTCCTCTCCCGGCCTTGCCCCATCGGTCGACCTTCGCACGTTCGAAGTGTCGATCGTTATCGTGGGTGCCCTCTGCCTCCCCTTGGAGTTGTCTGAGGACAGGCCCGGAGGAGCTTGATCTGGCGGGTCTGCCATGCTGAAATGATGGCCGACGCGGTCAAGACCAGAGCTTCGGCGGCAGCCAGAAAGCTGTCGAGGGAACTCGAGGGGTCGCGCGGATCGGTGGCGGCCTCAGGATCGAATGCTGGTCATGTAGATGCCACGAGGGAATGCCCAGTAGTGCTGCTGGTATGTGATGAGGGTGGCGCAGTAATATCGCGTGAGAGGAATGTGTAGGACGACGATCTCGATTGGGGAAAGTATGGATGCGGGCAGTGGGAGGTCGAAGCCGGGGCGGCCTCGTTTGCCGCTCTTGCTTGATTGTTGATGTCTAGGTGTGTGCTGCAAACGCCGGTCGTCAGTACGATGATGTGATGGCCAGCACAACGGCAGGAGCAGTAGGGGAAGTCAGAGGGCGAGTGAGGCTATGCTGCAGCTGTCGGGCAACACTGCAGGCGCCTCCGCGGCCGGGGGAAGGCACATACCAGAGAAGGAGGCAAGTTCCTTCAGATGCGCTGGACAGGCGTCCAGTGAGCGGTCGAGGCGAGCACGCGTGGGCGGCCGGGCGTCGGGCTGTGTTGGCACATGCAGTGAGTGGTGATGGCCGTCGAGCTGCAGAAGAGGTGGATGCTGGCAGAACAATGCGAGGACACGCGGGACACGCGACGGGCCTTTCGTGCAGTAGGCGTCGATGGGACAACAGTAGTAGACAAAGACTGTCGAAGAGTTCCAGTTCCAGTTCCAGAGCTCTCGCGCTCCCAAGCCGCTAGCAAGCGCTATTGGTGAGCCTTGGGCAATTCACTCACTACGGTTGTGGTCGATTGAGGCAGTGCAAAACTGACATGGGTCGCTACGTCGGCCTGCGCTTTCGTCCACCCCGACGCCATCAGGACACGACAACGCGACTCAGACTCGCTCAAGTCTGCCAGACATCTGCTACGCGCCGCACATCGTATTTTAACCACATCATGTCACACCCGTACAACGCGCCGCCTTCTACATCGAAACCGTGATGAGGACTGTTTGCGGTATTTCGTGGCTCCACCCATACAAATCCCTGCTAAGCTCCCTGGGTCCCACGCGGCAACAGAGGCATGCAAATGCAGGTCGCGCAGGATGCGGCAATATTTCGTCAACACTCATCAACCTCAAACGCCTGCCTTCAGCGTGTCATTCATCACCGCTCCCTCTCCTCGCCTTCATCTCCTGTCACGGTGTCGTGACAAGCGAGCCGACTCTCACAGACGTCCAAGACCAACGCTTCGACCATATCAAATCTCACCAGACTGATCGCCGCCAGCATCGCGATGCGCCCCGGCCGTTGCTAGCTCGTTTTCTCGAAACTGATCCGACCCGGAGATCTCCACATGGGTGCGCCAACCTAATTAACATGCCAAGCCCTTCAACCTCTCTTTCACCTTCAACCGCAATCGTATAACAACATATTCAGCAGATACCTTCACTCTTGTGATCGATAATCTCGTCCATATCAGCTCGCGAACTGCAAAATAGGCCCGTATGCTCCCGGAGGAGAAGTGGTGGCAGCTCCCGCCGGTGGCGCTCTTTCGAACCGGAGACCGTCCGGGCCAGTCATAGCCCAGCAAACCCAACGCATCACTCTTGCTGCACGTCTGCTCGCCACCGAACTAACCTTACTGCCTCGAGACACGAAACGATCATCCGCTCAACTCCATCGTCATCGTTCAAAGCCTCCAAGAATCGATGTCGGCATGGCAAAACATGGTACTACTTCTGAGCCATTCAAGCGAGTGCCAATGCTTGCCTAGAAACTTAATCCATAAACTCGCGAGAGGCTTTCAAAAGTGTGTGCCCCTACGAAACGGCAAGAGTTGGCAAAGTTGGCAACGAGCGACCGAGCCATGATGGCCAGCTCCTGATCAGGCGATACGACCACCAGACTTCTTTGTTCTCGCCGCCACTCCATCGCGCAAACAGGCTTTACCACTGTGTCCAGGTCGATTGGCCAAGCTCAGAACAAAGCTGGCATGATGCTTACATCCATGAGAACCCACCCTTCAAGCTTCTCGAGCTCCAAGAGCAGGGAACAGTAGTTCTGGCACTACTGTAGTACCTCCGTAGTAGCAAGTCTTGACAACACTCGCTGCGGAGACTCTTGATGGCATTCTTCCTCGGTCGCGGCAGGAGATGGCGCAAGTCTTGACTTGGGGAGAGCATCATGCTGAGAATATCTCACCACGATGTGGTCGATCTCATCTCTGATCAGGCCAGGGCCGTGGTAAGCCGGTCATACTCATTTTCGAAAATCGCAGGCGAAGGGCCTTGTCGTGAAAATTTTCGGCGACCTGGGCTTTGAGTCTGCGAGGGCTGCCCAGCTCATAGCACATGGCTGGCATGCTTCAGATGATGTCCACCTCGGCGATGGGCGCATCGTCCGGGAATAATGCACAAGCTTCACATGCGCGGTCGGAAAGGGCATGCTGCAAGGCCCCAACCCTCCTATAACGATCGGGTCCATCCATCTTCTCCAAAATGAGTCCCAGCTGCTTGTCGATCATTCCTTTAGCTTCATTTCTGGTCTCCGTGACAAGCAGACAGAATAGGTCCAGGTCGGCAGGTAAAATGTAGTCAGCACGGAAATTCCTATGCTCATGCTCATGGTCTGACTCCCGCTCCAACGCAAGCTTTCGGTCAGTCGTAACAAAATATCCATTGTCATGCCGCCATTCATCTGGCCGCTCTGTCATGTCCTGACCCCACTTGACTTTGAGCAAAGGACCACGAAGACGAGTGGCATATGGTCCGAAGTCGTGTATCTGGCCTAGAGCGACGCTGAATTCTGTAGGCTCGGGCAGCGTTATAAGCTCAGCCTTCAGCTGTGCATCGATGAGATAAGCGTACCTGCCGTCAAACATGGCACGAGAAGCCATGTCTACTATCCAAGGGTTATACACTGCTCGGTTTCGTGCCATCCAGGACCAGGACGGCGCTCGATCAAATAGCTCCGGGTCCGGATGCGGTCCCTCTGCTCGAAGCGGAAACCAGAGAAGATCCGTCAAGAAGAAATCATGCCATAGGCCAAAAGACGCCTTCATGCTGAATTTCTTCTGGATCAGAGCACCAGCTCCTGCCAACGCACGACTTTTATCTTGGTCGAGCGATAGCGTCGAATTCGTGTAAGCTGAAACAATGAGATGCCAGGTTGTTCGCAGTATCGACTCCCACATCAGATCGCGTCCATCAACGTCCAGCATCTGGAGCTTGCTGTAGCAACGCTTTAGCTTTCCTGTCATGCCATTGTCCAGGAGGACGTCATGCTCCCGAATATTGAATTTCTTGTCCTCTTCCTTTTGAGCTCCGCCGTATGCATTGGAGCCTTCGAAAGGTTGCTGCTCGTGGTCTGAGGTCTGTCTACAATCCCAGAATATATGCTCTTTGCCGTAGTAGATGGTACGAGGAGACAGTAATCTTTCCTGTACTACCCATCCTCTCTTATCGAGAGGACAGAATCCAGGCATCTGATTTTTAAATAGAGAAGTCAGCAAACGCCCTCTGCACGCGAATACTCAAGACTCACAGCAGAATGTTGTTGGCCTGCATCCGCATGGGCAACGATGTTGACATTCCCCTCTTCGGTAAGCCAACAATCCTGCCAGGACAACGGCCATCTCGTCCCCAGGAAGCCTGCGTCCGTCTCTGGAGCATTGGCCAAGGCAACAGTGAAGGTAGAGCCAGCGTACACCTCGTTCATTCTACTGATCTCCTTGGACAACGACGCCTCGTCGTCTTGCACTATACAAAGGGCATCGATCCATAGATGTGTGAGTCCGAGCTTACGTACTACAGTCACAGCGTCTTGGAACGTTTTCGGCAGGTCTGAAAATGGTATGCGCTTGCCGTACTCTTCTGTCGTTGCCCTGGTCAATCTAGTGGCAAGATTCGCTCCCCATCGCCAGCTAAGAGTGGCGTACTGGACTGTCGGGCCACAGAAATTTTGCCCAACTCGCACATCTTTCGATCCCGGAAAAGCGTCAAGTCGTAGTAGTCTCGAAGGCGATCGATAGTGCTGGCTTGCTCGACAGTATTCATGCTGGGTCAAACAACGATCCAGCCACTTCCAGACCATTTGAAAACACACATCCGCTCCGAGTGAAGTATGCCATCTGCTCAGGTCTGACTCGATGGCAGTTGGTATGGTGCCTATAACCCTCGTCAGAAACAATCAACGTGAGCATCCGCTGTCATCACCTTGACTGGGTTCCAAATAGACACTCCCTTGATTCAAAGTCTCCATCGTTCCATCATCCGCTCGCCATCTGAGATCCAGAATAAGATAGCCATTGTTCCTGAGAAATCTATGTTTTGGCTTCGGCCGGTCCACGATGCTGTCAACTGCGAAATGATCATCCTCTCTCCACCGGGGCTTGTCTTTGATCTCAGGATGTTCTGCAGTATGTCTCAATCGACCGAGGATGATCGAGCACAAGTGGCAGCCTGCTCGCGCTCCACGAGAGATGTTCAAGTTGGAGTTGTAGTGTATCCATCGGTGAGGTGGAGTGAAGTGTTCAAGTGTCGCGCAAAAGACGCGACATTCATCGCAGAGCCGGTGGGGCGTGACTGTCTCCGGTAGTGGCTGGTCGCTTGGTGTGGAAGGAACGTGGAGCTGGGGTAGAACTGGAGCGAAGGTGCGACGGCGGAAATAATAATGGTTCTCGACACCACGACGAAACATGATACCCGCTGGTCACTCTACAATTCTGCTTCCAGGTCAGTATTCTGATGTCCAGAGTCAGCAGCATTGTGCTATTGCATAGGTGCGAGAGGAGGTGCGCTTTAGCGCCCATGTGGCGGCGGCTATGCATATTCCAGCCATGATGGATCGAACCAAAAAATTTCCTAATTTAAACATTTCTATAGACGTCGTAGAAACCTTATGGCCAATATACAGCCAAAATGCAAGATCAGCCTGATGAGTAGTAGGAATGGAAGTGGCCTATCACCAAGTCCATTGATATCGATCGACGCCGCAGAATCCGTGAAAATCGAGTCAAATGCTCGTAATGTGTCAAATCGTAGCACCGCCAGCCAGAAGATGTCGAAGAACTCGCTCTAGAGTCCACGGTGGCTTGTTGTGTATGTGAGGTTTCCGTCAGCCGTGCGATGCAGCCATCAGCTGTTTCCAACTAGGTTACCATCGCAACAGCGCAGCGTTCAGAAACAGTGATCATGGGTCTTCATTCAAGGTGTCTTGCTTCTGATCCACGCACCAGAGAAGGAAGGGACCAGAGTATGCTTCTCCCTCGATGATATTGGTTGGACTCCACCAGCGACCAATGATGATCTGGCCGCCTGGCAGCACGACTCCTTCGTATGCCCACAGAGACTCATAGTCGATCTCGTTCGTGTCATCTTCGATGAAGTACTTCATCATGGTCATACGCTGCCAACCTGGCACTCCCATCTGCGGCGGAAGAGAATTGAACCAACCATCAGCGAGGAAGTTCTGCTCTTGGTCTTCACCTGCGCCTCCAAAGCGGAAGGAACGCAACTCTGGGTTCTCCTGAGCCATTGCGCTGGACTTTTGTGCCCGAGTGCGCATCTTGCGTTGTGGTTTCGCCAGGGAACGCAGAATATCCTCAAAGACCGGGGACCAAGACTCTGCACCAGCCTCTGTCACGTCGAGAGTGAGGTCTTGAAGATCTCCATGTACTTCGTCTCCGCTGAATTCATCCTGGATGTGTTCATGCTCGCCACTGAGACTTCTGATGGTCAGCACCTCATCCTCAGTGACAAAACCATATGCTCCCTTCCACTTTCTGTCCATGCAAGGGGCAACGGCATGCTCCAGTTGTCTCTGCCAGAATCGCGGCCTCTCATGGTCCTCGAGCAGGGAATAGCAGTAGTTTAGTGTGGCCTCTTGCGGAGAGAGCAAGTGAGTGCGCCAGAAGTTCAGCTGATGTAGTGTCCATGTGAAATTAACATCCAGGCCACTGCAGCCGATGAATATCGGCTGCTGGCGAACACTCGAATAAGCCATGTACTGTGATCGCGGGTAATCGGCAATGTGTGGCTCATTCTCGGGGTCAAAAGGACGAGGATCGAGCAAGCTGGGCGCCAGAAGGACCTGGAGCATTCGCATGACCGGATTTGCGTTGACTCGAGCGATATCCGACTCGCTGGTGGCACGTGGCATGTAGTTGGAGCCGAAGATGCCCTTGAGCAAGTTGCAGTCATGTTGGAACGTGACAATGTGATCGTGGATGTTCTTGGAGCTACCGTTTCGGTGGGAATAGGAGTCTGCAGGCTGTATTAGCAGTAGTACGAGGCGGATGTAGCTCAACGTACCGAGGATCATGTCACGCAGCACAGCCAAACACTGAATTTCTCGTTTTCTGTTTCCCAGAAGAAAGAGCGGCTTGTTCCGGAGGACCTCTCGCCTCTTCTTGTATTGATCTTCAAACTGGGCGTCGCCTTTGATGAAGCTGCCGACCCGTGGACGATCAAACTTTGTCATGAAACGTTGCTTCCAGAATTTATCGCTTTTCACCGTGATGTCTGCGTCGCGGAAGCTCAATTGAAAGTTGCACAAATCTGCATCGTCTTCAATCTGTAGGGCGATGTTCCACATCAACTTCTCAAGAGTCAGTCACGGTCAGTCGAAAAGCATGCCTGTGCTTACCTCAAGGGGCAACTTGTGAAATGGGTTTGGCACGCTGTCCGCATCATGTCTTGGTGTAGGAACACTCGCATGTTCTCCATCCACGGTGTGTTTAGAGGCTTGATCAAGGCGCACTACTTTTAGCGGTGCTGAACTTGGGAGGATGGCTTGGAGATCGGTCTCGACCACAGCGTTGGCATCAACATCGCTTCTACCGCCGTCGTCTCCAATTTGGGTGCGCAGCGTGAGGATCGGTCGTGGAGCGGAGGCGACTTGACTAGGTGGCGCTGTGCGAGGAGCCAGATGCCGGCGAGGCATGTCTTTTCGCGGCATGTATGCAGCCTCGAGAACTGGAAAGGCTACCAAACGCTTGGTGATATTCGGCGGTGTCGTTGAGCTATGTGACTGTGGTAAAAGAACCTGAAGCTGGAAGTGGAAGTGGGCGGTGTCTGTACGTGAATAGTCAAGGTGAGCTTGCAAATGCACAAGCTGCAGGGGTTGCCTAGAATGTCAACGGGTGAATAAAGTGAGCACCTGCATGTTAACGTCCTCACTTACGCTTCGATCTGCCTCACATGCAGAAGCCAGGCTCTCACATGAGCAGTACTACCTTTGTTGAACGGCCGCATTACACGCAATCAGGTGCTCTTGCTCACTGTGCGCTGTACCAAGAGCTAGACATGTTGGGACTTATTTGCTTGGAGAAAGGATACTCACGGAGTGACAGTGTTGAGTGAAAACAAAGTCGTCGCAGCCACATGTATAGCGCGCCACACAAGACTCTGCGATATTGTCAGCGCGCACCGGCACTGTGTGAAGATCTGATGCCATGGAATTGCAAACTTTTCGTGAGTAATCTATGGCCGTGCCGCTCGTTGAGAAATCGTATAGGCTCGGGGTCGCAATCACTGTGTACCGCCAGCTCCGCGGCCTGCGCCTGGTCCCATAAATGACCTCGCGAGCTCAGCAATGCTGGGGTCGTTCATAAGTTGACTGAGATCCGGCATGCCGCCACCTCCACCTCCGCCGCGGCCAGCACCAGCACCGGCACCAGCACCACCTCCTCCGAACTGCCCGGCCATTTCCCGTAGTCGAGGGTTGTTCATAAGATTGTTCATCATGTCTGGATTGCTCATCAGGTTCTGGGCCATCTGTCTCATCATCGGATTCTGCATGAGCGATCCGAGATCAGGCATGCCGCCTCCTCCGCCTCCTCCCATCATTCCGGCTAAGGCTGAGAGATCTGGCATGCCTCCCGCACCTCCAGGCCCTCTTGCGGACTCCTGTCCTGCAGCGGTGTCGAGCTCCCCATCCTGCTCCTGCTCCTCCACCTTGCGCTTGGCAGTCTCGTAGCCCTTTTTCATCGCATCACTCCCACCATTGCCTTCAGCATCGATACCCTGCTTGTATGCTTCCATCGCGCCTTTGGCATCGCCCAGTGCGTATTTCGCGAGACCTAGTCTCGACCAAGCCTTGGTGTACTTTGGATCAGTCGCGGTCGCCAGTTCGGCGTCGTTCTTCGCAAACTCGTGTTGGCTCATGGCGCTGTACGCAGCAGCTCGGTTGGACAGGTAGATAGGGTTGAGAGGACAGATCTCGAGAGCCTGTGTGTAGTAGTCCACAGCGGCCTGGTATTCCTTCTTCGCCAGTGCGGCATTGCCCTGGCCCTTCAACTTCTCGCTCTCCTCGGTTGGCGCGCCTTTCGCCTCAGGCTTGTCACTGTTCGCCGCAGAAGCACCTGCAGCAGCGCCCGAAGCGGCTGCAGCCGGCGTCGACTTGCCCTTTAGCTTCTCGTAGACGCCAAAGATAGAGAGCAGATTTTGGCCACCTAGGGCTTCTTTGACGGCGGTCTGGTCGGTGGGGTCAACGTGGAAGACATCGCCGATGCAGTTAGTGGCGATCTCGACTGAGTCTGCATCTTCGGGGGTGAGCGTGCCATCCTTCAAGCTGGTCTGGAGGAAGTCGCAGATCGCAAGAGCGAGGCGCTTGCGCGAGTCGGTAGCCTGGGACATGATGTCAGTGAAAGTGCATAGGCAGGATCGTGCAGCAGACTCACCATGATGGCAGAAAGTGTGTCGTGGTATCTGCGGAGAATTGTCAGTAGTCGAGCAGTACTGCAATTAAATAAGTCGAGATGTCGTTGGAAAGTTCTCGGGACAGAAAGTCAAGCTGGGCAGGGCAGCTGCAACGTCTCGTCACGAGCCGGAGGCCGCACGGACCTGACTCCGCCCTCCACGTGTTGTGCCCCGCGATATCGAGGGGTCCATTGCTTCACCCAAATTGACATCTTTTCTGTTGCAAGTTTTGGTCACTGGGCTCATACCGGCCCTACACTCGCCCAACATGTTCAAGAAGGAGTTAGTATGACCACTATCATCTGCACGTTCCCAGCCTGACATGCGTACGACACAGGTTCCAGCCCGGCGCTAAGTCAAAAGTCAAGTCGTCTGCTCAGAGAGCAATACGCGCCAAGATCGTGGAAACATATCCTCTCATCGAGCCCTACATTGATCAGATTATGCCCAAGAAAGAGCAACTCGATGTTACAAAGATCCCAGACCGCGTCCAACTCTACAGCTTCGGCTCCACACCACTTTTCTGGCAGCACATGGACGACCCGATAATACCGCATCTGAAAGTCGTGCACCAGTACCCACAATGCTTCCAGCATATTCGCATCGATCGTGGTGCCATCAGATTTGTGTTGAGTGGTGCAGCACTCATGGTGCCGGGGTTGACGAGTCCCGGCGGAAGACTCCCTGGTGGAAAGGAAGAGCCATGGAACAACGGAGGGAATGAGATTGAGGCGGGTGACGTGGTTGTCGTGGATGCAGAGGGCAAAGAGAATGCTTGTATGGTGGGTGTATTGAGCGTGGGCACCAAGGAAATGAAAGAGAAGAAGAAAGGACCAGGCATCGAGGGAGGACATTACGTGGGCGATGGCTTGTGGAAGTTGGACTTGTGAGCAGTATCTGGATGGAATGCACAGCAGTATCCGCTCAGAGACGAAGACCTGGGTCAGCGTGCCCTGCGAAGACACATGGAGCGAGAGATACACCCAGAGGAGTGGTCTATGCCCAGCCAGGCACAATATGCAGGCGGTTGACAACCAACTGAAGGGTGCAATACGTGCGGTCTCCAGTACTTACGCACTTACATGCCCGACTCTCCCCAAGAGAATTGCAAAAAGATTGCAAGAGGGGACAGAAGGTGGTGACAGGATGACAATACCTGATACAATCGCAAAATTCGTTATCAACTCTACTGCGAGTCCACAGGTATCCGCAGCGTGCCAGCAAATATCTTCGCCCTAGCTGTTCGGGAAAAGGCTCACTGCGTTCAAAGGCAGGAATCCGAAACAATCGAATATCGACGTGCCGTTCACCCAGTTATTGCTGAGTCTTGACAACACGCCCGCAGTACCTCCTTCGCAGATCGAACGGGGTCGTCCGCCGAGAATTTGGATTGCCCTCTCCCATCCCATCGAGTTCATACGCTGATCAAGACTAGCTTCTGGCGGCACCACCACATTCCCAGCACCAGTGAAAAGAGCCTTGTGTGATAGAGCGTGGGGTCGGACAGAGACTGATCATTGCTTGCAGATTCACCACGCTGATCAGAGCTTCATGTTTACTGGCGTTCAGCTCAGTTTAATCGTCAGAAGGAGAAGAGTTCTCGATCGGAGAGATTTGTGAACCACCTCGTGCCACTCTCGCTCAACGTGTGAGCGTACTCAGGGCGGCAGCATCGCAGTGTCGAGACCTCTCCGTGAGAGGCAACGCGCTGCGTGCAGGAGCACTCCTTCCCCAAATATCGCTGGGATTGAGAGCCAGTGTATGTCGCCAAGTCCCGCAAGGGAGCACGCGTCTGAGAATAGAGATGCGGCGCCTGATTGCATTGATTGGACTTTCGGCCTTTTCGTAGTGCCCGCATTGGAGGGCATTGTACTCATGCGTGGCCAGTGGAGCTTGACGAGCTGCAGCAACGTCACAAGGTTGCCCAACGAACGTAGATCCAGCCGCCATCTTACTACAACTTCCACTTAATTGCTAGTGCCCTGGCTTTCGGAGGCAGCGACAGCCAAGCTCTCAGAATT